GCTTGCAAAAAAAAATCGTTTTTTTCCTTTTCTTTATTTCTTCGTCTTGTTTCATCCGTTTCTTGGTGGTCTATGCAATTTCGGGCTGCGTACATTTATATACACCCGCAAACATCTAGAATTGGGTGGAGGATGGGAAGGAGCAAGAGGTGGAGGAGGTCGGTCGGTCGGTCTCTTTCCTTAGGTTGTATCTTGTGTAGTTTTGCATCAATATTCAGGAAGGCGGGCTATCAAATTTATGGGGCCCCATGTTTATAGACTCGCGGGGACGGCCATTCCTTTCTTTAATTCCGTCCCGGCTTTATGTCTCGGCCGGACGTGCCGGCGGATATAGATGGCGCGCACACACAGTCATTTCCGGAAAATGTCTCTCACCTGTACACACAAACGAAGAAGAGCAAAGAAAAAAACCGTTAAAGGTCGTATTTTCTCGCCTTAATCCTGCGAACAAACGCCTTGATTATCTTTCCCCTTTTCGATTGTCACAATGATTGCTGCAATTTTCAATCGATTTGCCCGGCGTTTTTCCGCAAATTGAAGACAATTTGCGACGACAATCATTACAACACGAAACTGCAAAAACCGCAGTGAATACGATAAAAGAACATTTACATTTCGCATATCAATAATTCCATAATCCCAACATTTACTTCCATTTCAACGCAAAACTAATTCAATAATCAATTATTTAGTTAAATCGTTTCATTTCAGTAGAAAACTTTTTAATGGAATCTAATTTTATTATGAAATAAAATCCTTACATTTTTGTTACAGAAGACTTGAAATGTCAAGGAAATGTGGAATAATAGTAATTCTTTAATTTTAATTTCAATGAAAATCTTAGCTGTTTCATGTTGAAGTTAAATATTTGTATATTCGTACATATTATTTCATTACGTTTATAATTGTATACATATTTGCGTATTTATTTAGCAAATACTAAAATGTTTATACTTGCGAATCGACTATAAAAAAAATGTGAGTAATTGAACAAACTTGTTACATTTTTTTCTACTTCTTCTTCTAGCATTCTTCTATAGTTCATTGCGGGTGATTCGGGGGTGAGCGAAACTGTGCGTTTGGGACGTAAGGATGGATGGTATTGTTTTATATTTCGCGTAATGGCGAATTATTTCCGCTTTATGGGCAATACGTTTCCGTGAGGACGAAAAAAAAACCTCATTCTTTCTCCTCGCGGACGAGAGAGGAGAATGTGTAAGAATAAAGGAGGGAACAATGAAAAATGAAGAGGATGAGAACTGCACCAGTTTTTATTCATACGCCAAAACGGCGCCCGCCATTATTTCCGTCGGGTAGTTCTCATGCAAGAGTAATTTTTGGCGTCCCCTCCTCTACCTAAAGCGCCGCACAATTATTTATTTCTTTGAATAATGAAATAACCGCTTCAATCTTTAAGCGTAACGTTTGAGTGAATGCGTTCCAATAAGATTCTCATTTATCTGTAGTTGAATATAAAGAAAGTCCAAAAGTTAAATTAAAACTGATTTAAATGCAATAGAAGAAAAAATGGAGACAGACGAAATAGTAAAGCTTCTTTCATGACACTTTGATTGGAAGTGTTATTAGTTCTAACGATAATTTTTATGTTGCTTTTAGATTTGTTATAATTATTAGACAAATTATTACAGTCAATATCTTATGGATTATTTCATGTAAAGTTTTGCTTTATCAGGGCAAAAGTGGTAGCTGTTTCCGAAATTAAAAAAAAAATGAGGGAAAGAGTCTTCAGTTCGAATGAGGAGATCATTAATGCAGTTAATTTCGAACTTGAAAAGATCCAAAAAGTCGACTTTGAGGAATGTTTTGAAATGTGGCTCTACCGACTTAAGAAATGTATTAAAATAAATGGAAATTATGTTGAGAAATTACAAAAGGATGATAAATTGTTGTTGAATGAAAAAGAGCATGCATGTTAACCGATCACAATCACACAACTTATTTAAGAGAATGGATCGAATTAATCCCGTTTCGAATGCATTATTTGCATAGTGATTTTTATGTTTCTACAACGTATTTGGACACACAAATAACGTAAAGAAACATTTATGCATATCCCTTTTTTGATATCTGTTTGCTCCCGTTTTTCCATTTGTTTTCCCATCGTTCTCGATCGTTTTCCTCCTCCTCCACCTCCACCGCCTTCTTTCTCTCTCCCTCTCTATGTTTATGCAAAGAACAATTTACTTGACAACATCAATCAAGGAGGTATTTATTTTTATCGCTGCACGATATCCAGCATATCAAAGGCTGGAAATGAAGGTGGGAAGGCTGCTTCCTTCCTTCTTCATCGTCCTTTCCCATTCCTCATCCATCTCTTTCCATCCGTTTATACCACACGGCATACATTTCCGTGACTTCGGACAGTAGTCATCGAATCTCTCTGCGATTGATTAACTATTGAAGACGTAATTCGTGTATTTACATGCCGTACCGGATCGACATGCTATTTCTTTATAATTTACATGTCACGCTCACTCCTTCCCCCGTGCAAGGATAACATGAAACGTTTTAATTTTTGCTCCTTTTTTTCCTCTTCTGGCTCCTCCTGGCCCACTCGCACACAGCTAACCCACAATTACTTAATATTTACCTCGTCCCCTTTACCAACCCTTCACAATCCACCCTCCAAAAAAAAACAAAAAACGAAGAAGTTGAATATGGTAATAACAACCCACGAGACGTTTCTTCTTCGAATGTCGTGTTTCTTCCTTTATAATTGCACCCAAACTAAACCACTTTTTAGTTTACTTAATCATAACTCCCTACTTTTACCCAACACACCATTCATTAAACTCAATTATAAACTTTCTTCCTCAACTCGTTCCTATCTTATAAAGTCTCAAAAAAGAAACAATCAAGTTTTAACTAATCCAAAGACAATTGCTTAATTAAAATGTATTGCTACAATTAAAACTTTCTTTAGTCAGTCCAATTACCATTACAAAAAAAATTGTAACAAATTTATTTAGTTCGAAATGGTTTTAATTATTAGAATTATTAATTAGTTTTTACGACTATTACAATAAACGCTTAATATTATTATAATATATGAAATGTTTATAAAATCAGTGACTTTTAAATTACTAACTTTGCAGCAACTAATGCCATCTATCTTTCAGCAGCTGAAAAACCAATGAATGTATATCTTCATCTAATTTACATCTACCTTCATTTACATCATTTCACCACGTCGCGTATGCAGATTTCTAATTCCTCTAGTTCTTCTTCATTCGTGTACTTATTCAATATTAGTTACTACATTTATTCTTAATACGATATATTTTAAAACAAAGATTTCATTCAAAATCATGTAAAAGAGATACATGTTTTTATATTTTATTAAAAAGTTAATTGGGTTTTCTATCTCGAATAAACAAAACATATCATGTCAAAAGTGAAACTAATTTTAATTGAAGTTATGAATTAAATTGTTAGTGTATATTGTCTACATTTATATTGTGTATAATATAAACTAATCAGAAATAATTGCATTGAATTTGAATAAAAGATACAATTCGTTTGTGTTTCAGATTCCAATAAGAAGTTAATTGGGTTGCCTACATAAATGAATTGAATTAAATTTAATTAATTGTTTGATCATTAACGTAACGAAACTTAAGAAGAAATAACTTAAGTAAAATGTATTGAGTTTGATATTGAAATTAATGTATTAAATGGAATGATTATGTGGTGGATTTGAAGTGTCAATATTCGAAAAACCTCAATGATCAATTAGGAAGGAAACCCATTAGCAAAATTTTAATACTTTTACTAACAATTTGTTTATACTAATATTGTCAAACTATATGTTGATGTAATTATTGTCTTAATAATATTTTCTGTAGTATTTATATTTTCATTAAAATTAATACCTAGGAAATAAATTGTTAATTCATTCTTTTTCCTCCTACACTAGTTTTTTTGTATGAATATACACTTCTTATTTTGCTTAAATCCTTGACTTTCACGGTCAATTCGTCCCAAAAGTTTCAGTCTAAGTCAAAAATAATTTGTGTCTTATTGCAGCAATATTAAAACCTCTCCTGCATACACGAAAGTTCGCTCAACCGCGTATATATGAAACCGTGTAAGTCGAGGACTTACTGTATTATGAAATTATCCTTAATAGATCCTTTCGATGTACATGCTGCCATCTATCATCGACCGAAAGCATTGACCAGCAGGAATCTTTTCAAACATTCAAAACTGCGTTCCTGCATATGCGCAAATCCAATCATTTCCATCCTGCTAATTCAAAAACCATTCCACCTGTTTCCTTTTTTGTCATTGTTTATGCTGTCTTTTTATGAATTGTTGCTGTTGTTGCAATGTACTTTCGTCGCACAAACTTGACCTTCTCTCAGCTTACTCCGGCGATGATGAAGTCCTTCAAATGGAAACTGCATTGGGAAAGGCGAGATGCGGAGATGCAGTTAACTCTCAGTGGTTTAGCCATGTGTGCTGCAACGGCGAGAGCGCAAGTCTGCCATACCCTAAAACCACCGGAACAATCAATAGACATCCTATAAAACCATTGACGTCCCAACTAGGATAGTTCTCATCTATGAAAATCCATTTATTTCAGTTTTATCATCGTCATTTTCAGGAAAATACCTTTTCACTACACAAATACCCTATACTTAGGCAAATAGATTTAAGTATTATTAACTTAACTTAATTTGTTTTATAGTTTAATAATTTGTTAATTCATTTTATTATTTTGTTGTAAATGGCTGAAACATTTGATTGTTCTTGATTCCATTGTGAAAACTGAAAGAATTTCATAGTTTTTAAAGCACCAAAACTTTATTTATTTTTTTTAAATTTTCAGTACATTGAAACTAGAACATTTTAAATGTTAAAAAAGTTGCAAAATATATTGAAATATATTTGCATTTCGAGGTTTTTAAAACGCATTTTTATAATCAATTGAGTATTTCTATGTGGTGTTTTCAAGTGAATTGTTCTTATCTATGAATATATTTATGAGTGAATTTCTAAAACTAAGCAAATAATAATGGAATTCTCTGCTTCGTTGCTCCTTGTTTTAAATGCGTAATATTGAAAGAGCGCTAAGAAAGGAGCGGGGATTCCCACCCGACAGGAAACGCCTCTGGCAGGAAACCCAGTGCGCTGGTTTTCTACTCCGTTCACATACATTCGTAGAGAAGAAACTCGCACGAAAGCAACAGCAACAAGAAACCACAAAGTGGAAGAAGCCAAAGGAAAAAACATTGTTTCCTTTCGAACAACAAAAGCGTTGCCAGAACAACGACAGACAGTGACAGTAAATAAATAAATAAACAGTTTTGTCAGTCGAGTTTGCGGGGGTGCGCGTTCACAGACACACAAGAACAAAAAATTAACAACAACAACAACGAACAGCGGCAGCGGAAACTGTAATTAATAATTAGCAGAAAGTGCCGGAACTAAGGAGTCTGTGTGAATATCGTCGAGGGGGAGACACTCTGTTCGAAACGTATTAAATCCCGCCGCCCCCGTACATTAGAATTCATTGGGTGCAAGCGAGAAGGGTATATATATAGAGAGAGAGAGAGTAGGAGTGAGGAGAGCGCGCGCGTTTTTTGATGTGGTTTTCATCGGAGTGATTCATTCGAAAACGCACTCGAAGCACACGGGCGCGATTCATTGCACGAGAGTTTTTCGCGAGTATAGTTTTATAGATCTCATCATCTCGCATATATATCGCTGCATCATCTATTCAATTGCTCCGAGATGGAATTCCGCTTCAACGTGAACGAGATCTTCAAGCAGCCCATCGTCCAGGTGGGACACACTCTCATCCCTCAGGGCTTCAAAGGGGACCGCAGAGCGCTATGGTAATCATCACGCCTTCCTTCCATCCTTTACACCCTCCTCTCAATCATCATTACCATCAATTGCAACTACTACGATTATAGAGATTAGCATCTCTATCAATTTGGGAGACAGATGCTAAAGGCGAGACATGGATGAAGTAATGATCCTTCGCACCAATTGGGCGGCCCTTGAGAAAATAAGGGCGTCCTCGTCTTGCCCATATCCGTCGCCAGACAGTATAAATAATAAAAAATAAAACGCGCGCCGCTCGTAAAACGTGTAGGCGACATCGGAACGACTTTACTTTCACCGCTGCAACAATTGCACAATCGATACCGAAATTGTTAAAATATTACCAAAAAACACACATCCCAAACATTTATTCCATATGTTCATCAATTTTGCCGTGATTTTTATATCTCGTTTATCGCGCGCACTCTCTTATCGTTCGCAAATAAAGCGAGCTGTTGATTAATTGGACGCAGAAAAAGAAAATTCGCTAATTGGTCTGTTATTTTTTTTAATTTAATTACAAATTCACTGACTCATCATTGTCTAATCTTATTAAATCATCTAAGTAAATTACGACTTATGAACAATGGAATATGCGAACCTTGAGACTTTGTTCAACTTATTTGAACAGGTTTCCCCCAAATTCTTCTCAATCTCTTATTGTGTAAGTGGATATGGTTGTTTGTAAACACAACGGATGCTTTCTTTTTGATTATTTATGAACCGTGATCTAACTAACTTATTAATAGAAGTTGACTTAATTGAATTGCTGGAATGAAATAACGTCGACCTTAGGCAACTATTGAATATCTGCAAATTCAATGAGACTACCTTCGATCTCGAAGCGGCTATTCCAATTAGAAACTTCCGAAGTGATTTGATGTGTGTCATTGTCGGATCTGCGGATTCGTTGTAACGTGACGGTCAGTTGTATTTCGATGTGAAATGCCCATAAAAAATTATTTACTTGTAATTAATTTATTTCTTTCATTTGTAAACTAATTGCTGGTATTCAATTAAATCAATTTTGGTAAACTGTATGTATAAACATATTCGATGACGCATGATTTCATCTGGAATTAATTAAATCTTTTTATAACTGATGATTTGCAGTCTTTGTTTGAAGACTGTTAAATCTATTATAATTACTGTTGTTTTTTTCTCAAATTTAAGAAAATTTATTATTGTCTTTGTGTATTTAAATGGGAAATTCACATTGTATTGTTGTTTCGTTATGTTAATGATTATTTTGAAAGTAAATTAACAAATATGTAAATTTCTATTATGAATAGGAGAAATTGGGTTATTATATAATTTTGAGGATCGAGTAAGAAATAATTAGTTTGTGTGAAATTTCCGTGTTAAATGAGATGCGCAAAGAATTTAGTTGTTTCGATTTTCTTTGGTAGTAATTGAGAGATCGTTGACAAATTGATGGACGTTTAAACATAGCGCACCTGGTGGTTTTAATTAATGTTTTCATTTGTGTCTGTTTGTTTTAGGGATACTTTGAGCAAAGTAACGGACATAGTGAACGCGATGGGCTCGGCCTCTGCAACTGCCCAAGGTTTGACCAAACCCATAACCAGTGCGGACAGACTGCGTAACTCCGAAAACCAGAACCTTTACCTGCTCATCGAGCCCAACGCATGCAAGTGAGTATAATACCAAGCCAACCCATCCATTCATTAATTCCACGCGATGCCTAATTTAATTAGTCCACTTTACAATTATATTTATTTATTTATTTTTTCGGGGTAAGAAATCGCGTGCCGCCTTCGTAGTACGAGACTTTGCGAAGCCATTAATTCTTCGACATCGTGTGGGTCGTGATTCATTCAAAGAACGAAATTATGGCAACGCAAAAGAAGTAAAAGAACAAGAGTTTACGAGTGTATTTCGTGTCGAAGTCGCGCGACACGATCGTCCTTCTCGTTCGCATTCAATCCGCGTAACGACATTTTGTTCCACGATCTTAATTGAAGTGGACACCCCGGGAATAATGAGATGTTAATTTACCGTCGCGCGTCGATGCGATGAGATCACGGCTATAAATGGAACTTTCGCTTATTTGTAATTTAGTTATTTTTTCGCTGCTTTTAGGAAGCAAGCAATCGGAACTATGATATAAATATTATGTATTAACGGCGGCGGTAGCGCGATTGAGGTCAGAGGACGATTACGAGAACGGATTCGTGTTTGGAAACACACCTCGCGATAAAAATCTCGAGATTCTAATTACCTTATAAACACAAATACTTTGCCGACGTGCCATTATCAAAATTGCTCTTATCGCGTGGAAATAACGAGCGGATCGCGCTGATAACGAGATCGCCATTATATAAATATACATTATATAATCGCAATCGGCGTTTAATTTTTATACTTTTTCTCTCTTGTCGTTGGCCCTTTCGACGCTGCGTAAACACACGGCCGAAAATCGATGGAAAAGTAATTTCGAAATATATCATAACTATATTACACATTTTTTTTGTTACCTATTTAACGTTTCGAGGGCCGCAGGAATCGATAAGCTATTAACTTCTTCTCCTCGGCTTGTTATTAAATTTTCTTAGCGCCGGAGAAACTGCAGTCAATATTGGTCGGAGAGCTCGTGGCATATTTTATATATATATATACATAATGGAATGCTCGGACGAGTTTGCTCATTTCTTTTTCTTCATTATATTCTTGTTTTTCTTGGCTCTAATCAAAGCGACGTACCGCTATGATGATGGGCTCAAATGGAAGTGGAAAAGAGCCGCTTCGCATCTGCCACAAAAACCATAAGGCCTAACGACCGGTCTCCTTCTCCTTATTCCACACCGCAAACCAGAGTCGTTAATTAGCGAGAGATTTTGATGATCTCCTCTAACATGTTAACTTTCGAAAGTTAAATGAAAAACGCACTAAAGATCTGCGGATAATTTTAATTTCAATTGCGTTTCTGAACAGCTAACTTTTGCACAGTGCGTGGTTTGATTTAAGCGGCATTCAAATTCAAAACCTAGAACAAAGAAATATAAAAATTAATACATAAAATTGATAAATATATAAAAAACACATCATTAATCAAAATCTAGGTAGACCTTCAAATTGAAAGAGAAAATGAAGTATAAATTACTTAATAACTCAACGATTGAAACGTTTGCACGAACCGTTACAATTTGATTAACGCTACCTGCACCATTGTTACGATACTAAAAGAAATAACAGTCACTCAAAGTTATAATGGAATAGATTGTAAATGATGGAGGATGATATAAAAAAAGAAGATAAAACTAATGTATACAGAGGGAAAAAAAAATAGAGAAACACACGATGTGGTGTTAAATTGAATTTCAGCAACACGTAACGATCGTGTCACAGCGTTTGTTAATGGAAATGTACGGTGCATGCATGTTATTTATTTATTTAAATTTTGCATTTATCGAGGTTTAACCTTTTCAACTTTCACGCGAACGCTGTTTGCAATAAATCGGAGATTAGCACGGAATTAGCACGTCCACTGACGTCGTTATTAATGTTATATTATTATTATTGTAGCAATATGGGATCGTGCAAGAAAGCGAAGGATGCAATTTGAATTGTTGTAATTGGACGGCAAGTATATCATTACGTTTTAATGAGGCCGCTTTTCTTAAATTAATTATTAAACCACGTGTATGTGTGGACGGACGGGGGAGGATAAAATCGATGCTGGGAAACCTTCGGAGAATTATTAAGACGGAGTAGAGGAGGGTAGTGTGTGTGTGTGTGTGTATGGCGAAGATGGGTCAAGTTGACGGTGGTAATTATTCTCCGTAATTTGTTTGAACTTTGATCGTTTGTTCATTAATTGTATTAAATAATAATACATTCTTTGCAAATGTCAATTATGTTGCTTATAAACTGTAATATAATATAGATTTTAGATGAAAATTTTAAATATTTAACATATTCTGCATATTGAATTCCAAACGCATTCCTGTGCAAAAATAATTTCGCATATTATAAAATATTTCAACGAGCTAAATTTATATTAAACTAAAAATTTAATTTCTTTTTTATTGGGGGGGGAGGAAATTGAACATAAGTGAATTTAAAATATTAATATTTGGCTTCGATTTGATGCGAAATGAATTATTTATTATTTTTAGAGCTGGAATCGCGTGCATCCAGCCTTGTCGCCTACAAGTACATAAACCGCACGATATATATAACTTCACCGATTGCGCAATCGAAAAACGCTAAATTATATGTTTTCAATGTAATTAGAGGTGAAAAAAAAAAGAAGGAATGTGGAAAGCTATAATTATATTCAGAAACCTTAGCTGGAGTGGGTGTCTGAAATGCCAGATTACATAATACCAATCGCGATTGGATAATGTATCAAGAATTTGCATTCTAGCGTGTATTTCTGTTGTTATGGGATTTGATTGTTTTGTTTGTTTGTTTATACACCAGATATTTTCTTTGTTTTAAAATCGGTATTTACACGCTAGCTTATATTGGGCAAGTTACTTGTGAAACTAGGTCTGGTAGTAATTTAATTAAGCATGTAAAGAGAAGGTGACGTAAAAATTACAGACATTTATCTTTTGTTCGTTCGTTGGAGGGTTTTTTTTTTCTTTTAGGAGGAAACGGAATTCGCGCACGGGATGTAAAATCGCATTTAATTAGGCTACGCGAGCAGGCAGCGAATTGAATTCGTTCTTGATTATGTAATGTGTGTAACTGTGCTCTTTCTGGCTTTCTCTTCTCCTTGCGTCTGCGGCATTGCGAACAATGGATGAGCGGCTTCCGCAGAAGTGGGTTAAAGCCCATTGTGCTCGCCGAATTAATTGCTTCGAATTGAATTTCATCCATTAACGACGACGACGTCTGTGTATATATATATTTAAATGTTATTTCTTGCAGCGGTAAAGGGGCCGTGACTGGACTGCTGAAGACCGGACAGAAGGGCCTCTACGTCTTCGATAGGGACGGCCACCATTACCACGTGCAGGCGCCATGCATCCTCGACTTTTACGTGCATGAGTCAAGGCAAAGGACCGGCTTCGGGAAAACCCTATTCGAGCACATGCTCCAGGTAAGATCCAAATCTCTTCTCCCCCATTTAAAGTACAATTAAAATGCAAGTTGCTAAAGCAGCAGTAGACACGCACGGACCCGCATAATAATTGTTTGCTCCCGTTGGGAATCGAGTGCGTTGCGATCACAGCAACTGCGACAACTATCTATCAAAAAAAATAAATAAATACGGTTTTATTTTATTTTCTAAATATATTTCCGCGCGAATCAAAATCCGTTTGTACGTTGTAAATCTTTTGGGAATTCGTGAAATGCCCGTGACGCATGAGATTTTGCGTGTTTCGTGATTTGCTGAGTAAACAAAGAATGTAACAAAACAGGAGTATTTGCACGTAATCGTTTTGCATAACGGCTTTCCGATCTCCGAATTTTCCGAAGGTGAAACGCAGGATCGATCCATTTGTTTTTAAGGAAGAGAGGCGACAGACACAGACATTCAGACTCTGTTCTTCGGGCGAGCTGAGCTGAGCTGGCAGTGCAAGGTTGAGTGCCTTCTATGGTCATTGCTATTCCGAGCGTTCAAAGTTGCTGAGTGTTTGTGTGTGTGTAACTCTGTCGAGGAAGGTTTTTACTGTTAGGTATGCATCGTTATGCATCGTGGATTCATTTAAAAAGGCGTTACAAAAAAAAGAAAAGAATACGAATGAGAATGGAAAACAAAACTAAACATATTTTTAACAATCTTTGTTGTTTCTCTGCAGAAAGAGACTGTGCATCCGGAGAAATTGGCGATCGACAGGCCTAGCGACAAATTTCTTGGTTTCTTGAAGAAGCACTACAGCCTCGTCGATCCGATCAAGCAGATGAACAATTACGTCGTCTACGACGGATTCTTCCCGAGCGTTAAAGAGATGGAGGCAACCAATAACAACAGGTAACGATGATTGCACTAATAATGGCAAATCTAATTGGACGGTGGAGGGCGGAAGATTAAAGTTGTTATAAATACTAAATTATTAATAATTAGCAATTCACCAAATAAAAACATGCGAGGAGCGAACGGACTGCAAGCGCAGATTGTAACATCACCTTACGGCCGTTACGGAGCACCGAGACCGGCGTGCAGCATGGGACAGGTAATTAATAATACACGCAATTACCATACCGTTCATACACTTCTCAAAACAAACATTGTGCGCATACTAAATCGAATAATTTGCTTAGATAATACATAACCAATCGTCGGCTGTTGCGGCGCAGGAACCTACAGGGTGAGTAATAATGGATTATTATTCATAAACGTTGAGAACTGCTGCACCTCCACTTGAAACTACTGCCCATTATGTAACCACTCAACAAAGATGGTGTAAGCTAAAACACGCACGCAGAGTGGGGTAATTCATTCAAATGGAGCTGCACTCGTGTTGTTTATATTTAATATTCGCATGAGCACGCTTACTAAACTCCTAGTTTTAGTTTGAACATAAGACCCGACGAGCAGCCGAGGTGCGCGCCTCGGGTGATAAAGTAAGTAGCAAAACCTATCCCATTATGATTACCTATCCATGTCCGAATATATCCAAACCTATGTGTGTACAGCAAAGGCCCTGTAGAGCCTTGCGCGCAATCGAGCGGCGAGCCAGTTACTACTAGTACGGTTTCAGCTACAAACATCTCAAAGGTTGCAACAGTTGGGAATGGTTTAGGGGATAAATCGCCCGAACCTATTATTGCGACGGGGCAGATAGAACAACCACCGCAAGAACCATCTCTGCAGTACTACTGGCCATTCGCGAAACCCGCCGAAGAGTATCCATCGATTGACAAGTCTCAATTGCACGCGAAACCCTGCTGCGATACTATACACGAGCTCATAACAAATCAGTGCACGCATCAGCAGCCTCCTAAACCGCAGAAGGTCCCCACCGACGAGATCGGTATTCCCATAACGCAGAAGGAACATCCTCAGCAGCGACGACACCATTCGGCTGGGTTGAATTCGACGTTGCATTCGTCCAGCAAACGGCTTCAGACTAATACGCTGCTGGACGACGTCGGCAGCTACAGGACTTTGCTGAACAGCTTCAGCAAGGAGGGCGAGCATTACTTCCATCATCCATCTATGACTAACGTGAATCAACCTTATAGTTATTACAAAAACGCGCCCTCCGCTTCGCAATCGCAAACGAAGGTGGTGTTATCGAGGAGACAGAGCCAATTACAGGCAATTCCCGAGCAGGATAGTGCTCAGCAAGCACGCAACCCCAGCCAGCAACATTTACATCACGTCGAACGAAGACCCTCGTCATCCGCTCACCAACAGCATATTTCGGAAGAACCACAGAAGATCATGGAACAACCCACACGTCAATCGCAGCAAAACATCCATCAGCATCAACAAAACATAAATCGCCAACAGCAACAAGAAAATTTGACAACTAACAATGTAAATAATCAACAACAACTAAACACTGGTAATCAACAGCAAAATATTGCGCCCGATACTTTGATCAATCAACAACAGCATACGATGGCTGATGGTTTGCAAACAAATTTGATGAATAATCAACAACAAAATCTAATGAACAATCAACAGCAACAACAATATGCTATGACTGGCGGTATGAATAGTACGCAGCAAATGCAAGGAAATTTGAACAATCAGCGGCAAGGTAATATGCCGAATACATTCATCAATCAGCAGCAGGAGCAGCAACAACAATATGCTAATATGAACAATCAACAGCGCGTTATTAACTATGCGAATTACCAGCAACAACCATATTACAATAGCCAATTATACTATCAACCGCAACAGCAGATGATGCCGCCGCAACAACAATATCACAATCCGTACATGCATCAACAGTATCAACAACAACAGCAACCGATGAATGTTCAACAAACTCCGCAGCAGCAGGTTGAAGCGCCGCTACAAGCTCAGCCTGTGGAGCAACCATTGCAGGAGCAACCGGTTTTAGAGGGAAAACCGGAAGAAATATCTGAGAGCGGTCAAGGGGAAAGGGTTCTAAATCAGAAGGAGAGCAAAGTTAAGGTAAACGAACCGTACAAACAGGAAATCGGGCAAGGGGAACGTCGCAACGAGCTTGCGGATTTTCGGCAGGGAGAACAAATTACCGGTGCACAAGGAGAAATGACGCAGCAGCAGCAGCAACCAGACCACATACCGCCGCCACCTGCAAATCATCAAGGCGAAATCGATGAAAATGTTGCCGAGAAGGAAACACCGCAGCCGCAAGAATCCCGACAACCTCAAGAAACAGCAGTGCCAACGACGATGCAAAATCAAAACGCGATGCCGGTTATGAATCAGCAGTATATGATGAATCAAATGCAGCCGTCTTGGATGCAGCAACAGCAACATCAACAACAACAACAGTATGCTAATTTTTACGGGAATCAAAACGTGCCACAAAGGATGATGCTGCAAGGTACAACTGTACAAAATCAGAATTATCCCAGGATGCAGCCGTGCGAGCCACAACAAATTACGGCGCATCAAAGTGAAACGTCGCAAAAGGACGCCATTGCCTTTAATAATGCCGATGAAGCCAACAGACAACAACAGGTTTTCAATAATTTAAATCAACTATTAGAAATGTGTAACGGTTGAATTTCAGGCAAATCAAGTAGCAGAAATGCAGCAACAGCAATCGCCGAATAATCAACGTAAAATTGCATTCAGTGTATATTATATTATTTTCTGATAGACCGATTTTTAGAGATAGAAATGTCTCAGCAACAGCAGTATCCTTCCCCGCAGCAGAATGAACACCGACAAGGATTGGACCATGAAAGTTTGCGAAATGAGTCGGAAAAGATGAAACCTGAATCTGCACCATATTTGGAACCCATATATCCGGTCACACCGTCTCGCACAAATCAGATGAGCGCAAAATCATCGAATAGCAACAGACCCAGATCATTCGTGGCCAGCCAACATAATATTCCGAACGCAATGCAGAGGACCTCAAAAGTTTGCCAATCTGAAGAAGCTAAGGCACACAACAAACTGACAAAAGAAAACCAGCACAAGAGGCCGCAACAGTCTGTCAATAGTCTGCAGAGGAATATAACGTCGGCGTTACGCAAAAGCCAAATAGGGGCGAACTTTGAGCGCCAGTCGAAAATCTTCAACGCTTTGGAAAATGACATGACCGAGTCGAAATTGCGATTGATTTCACCGAAGGCCACTGGGTTAGAACAAACTTGAAAACCAACCAAAGATTAAAGCTAAAAAAATTACGATTTATAAATCATCTTTCAGGGACATGCAGAGTATGGTCTCCCCCAAGTTGTATTAATAATAATAAACCCCCACACGCGACACCACAAAATCATCCGTTAATACCCCCAAATTCCCTCACCTTTAAATGCAATTCCATCCACACTCCCTCCTTCTGTGTTATGTAAGTTCGGCATGATTTTATTTACTTATTGTTTAGTGTATCGTTTACGTTCTCGTTTGTTTATTTACTCTTTTTTTTTCTTTTTTTATTTTATGTTTATCCCTGCTGATTGAATTAAACAAAACCAAAAACAGGCTGCAGCTAGCGTCCCAATAAATGTAACGAGCAAACACAACATACAAACAAACAAACAAAAATTCATCCGGTTCGACACGCAACAAAAAAAAAATAATTCCGATATTCCAGTGAGTCTCAAGAAACGCCGCAACATCAACCTCAGCAGGATGAGGCGAAAGCCCTGGAGGCTCCGCCGCTCCATCCGAAACTGGACCGCCCGCAAACGTTGTCTCTGCAAACTAGCACCGACGAAGGCATGAACAATATTAAAAACGACGTGCGACACGAAGTGGAAGAAGTCGAGGAGACGCTGAAGATTGAGGTGGTACCCAAAATCGTGGACGAGCTGGACAAATTGCACATTTCCCGTGAAAAGGAGGCGGGCGAACATTCTAGTGACACGCCCCAGAAGAAGGCCACGCCCAGTCATCTCACTGACCAGGGCTTCTTCGACTTGAAATTTTACCACAACAAACTGTGGTAAAACTAGCATTTGGGTTGGGAAATTATTATTTTTTTTTATTTTTATTTTTTTGTTTCATTGTGCAATGCTAATTGTTGTGATTATTTTACAGAAGGTACCTTTTACATACGTTTTTTTTTTACATAATGTGTACTTATTTATTATAACGAGAATATATAATGGAAAGAGATGAATAAGAAGGATACATAATTTATTTTAGCACAATTCTAGTTTATTTAGTCGTTCGGTTTATTTAGCGTTAGAGTCTGTTACCACTTAGTTTATTTATTTATTTCTTGATGGAAATATATTTATTCAAGTGCATAGCTGATAGCTTTAAACGATTACTAAGTGTTAAATTTTTAGTTGGCACGTTTTTATACCTTGATATATATATATTATATAATTATATATTCGTCTTATAATACTATATGTGTTTATAGAATAATGTTTTCTAATTTTTGCAGAAAAATGTATAGGAACATCTATATCGATCTGTTTATGATACACTGAAAACCAATTTATTTAATTTTTTTAAAACGCATTCACTCAGAATATAAATAATTTCCGAATTTATTATTTGTTTCGCATTATACATGTAAGAATTGAATAAAGAACAAACAATATTGTATAAACAACTCACTTTAAACATGGTACTCTCCTCCATCCAACTTTTCATCTGATAAATAGTTCATCATCCATCTGGCAGTACTATCCTCAACATACAAGAATCCCATGAGAATTCCAACAAACAATCCCAAGAAGACGCCAGCTATCACATCAAGCAAATGGTGTCTGTGCATTAAGAGCCTACTAATGCAGACAGCTGTAGCCCAGACGATCAGAAGAGGAGCAAAGATTATTGGTGCTGGATGCAAGTTCAGAAAAAAGTACACCACAAATACAGCCCTTGATGCATGACCTGATGGAAAACTGAACACATCTGGTCCAACCTGACCCAGAGCATCATCAGTGTTCTTCACTGGTCTCCTTCTGCGTGTGAAAGCTTTCAGCAAAGCCACAAACACAATATCAAGAAGTAAACCTGAAACACATTCAATTTATTAATAAAACAATAAACGCAAACTCGCAATTGCAAACATTACCTAAAAGTATGTTGACCTGCATTTGTATAAGCGATGGATCATTGAATAACCATGTAAAACCGATCCAGAAAGCAAACCAGGGGATGCCGTGGCAAGAAATCTATTTGGAAACCAATTGAATATTCAAAAGAACGCAACCAAATATACATATGTATAAATGTCATCAATTAACATAACCCCATTTTACCTCTAAACCTTTAAAATATGTTTTGCATTTAGCCAAATTCATCTTCCTGGACGCCATTATAACGAGCTTCTTCGTCACCTCCACATCCTTCTGGAGGATAGCCTTTAGTACGGGCGGCACTTCTCTCTTTGGCTTAAAAATATACACAAATAGTAAAATGTACAGTCTTTTAAACTCAGAGATCCCTTACCTGCGACATCACTGCAAATACTTGTATCACAGAATTTCACCTATGTACTTATCTATATTATATCACATTAATTAGTCATCAAAGTATAGATATGCGGACACGTACATCACTCTACGAAGAACTCCTTATTTCTATTATTATGAATAATGCATGTAGGAATGCCACCACCAGGGGGAGCAGCCTGTTTCATTTTGAATATTCTATTCATAGCTAACTCTGCAATATTCATAATTTCTTATTCAATTTATTTAACACTATTTCCAGGCCAAAAAATTAACTTATTCTACTCAATAAATATTATTAACACAATATTAATGAATTGTTTTAATAAATACTTTAAATAAGCAGTTGCGATAAGATTTCGATACGATGTGTATTGCAATAGTTATGCAAGTATTTGCTTTAGTAATTAGATCATTGGCAAGATGCTGAACATCTTTTTAGCACTTAGCAATATTACAAAGATTTTAAACTGTACTAAATCCGCATTCCAAATTTATGAGATAAAATATTTTAAAAAGTTGCGTGAATTGATTCGAATTCTCTGTAATTATGAAATTCATATTTAAATGTAGTTGAGATGTTGAATTGTGTCGATGGGTTTACTGCATTTCCCGCAGAGGTTTATTTACTTTGGCAGAACGCCCAGAGGATATGTAGAGAAAACACCTTGATTGGACGCAATTGAATATGTTTTTGTTTGGGTCCTTGGTGCCGAATGAATGTTTGTCCCCTTTTGAGAGCGCGTCCAAAGACGAATGCTGCTACTAACAATAAAGATGACGCCGCGCGAGATGCGCGCATCCAGCAGTTTAGGAAGCCCTGAGGTCCAGCGATTGTGTAATCAGCTTTAATAATACAATTAGGAGGAGTCGGTCAGGGAACAAAACGGCACAGGTGCATCCGACCTATCCAGAATAATCCAGAATCCAGGAAGGTGAGTGCAATATTTGGTATGAGGAAGTTGGTGGCTAAGGCATGAGCGCATTGAATCATATTACGCGTGTACTCTATAAATACACGCGGACGGCATTTCACCGACCATTGTGGACTTCGCTAACGAGTAATTCAAATACAATTGGTTTTCGCGAGAGTCGGTGTAAGTAAGGAGGAGTGTAAGAAGGAAGTGGTTGGAGAGTCCAGTCGAGTCGGTGGTGGATGGTAGCGTCGGAGCGCGTCATCTCCTGCGTGGTCCACGGGAATCAATAAATCGGCGGTTTCGCAGCATCCGTTCACTCCAGGCAACCAGCAGACTATAATATCGTATCATCGTAGTAGACGGTGGACGGAGGGAGAGTAGGTGAGTGTTCTAGGTGGGTAAAATAAAACGAGATTCGCGAAACGGCGTCATTTTCATTACACATCTCGAAAATAGCATCCCCAAAAATAAACCGTTCTGTCCAGTTGCGACGTCGGAGCCGGACTGAACCGCAGTCGCCGAAGATTGTTTCACGCGTGTGCACAACAGGGAAGAGAGATAGGAAGTGGCCAGGAGAGGAGAAGAGAAGAGAGCAGAAGACCTGCTCCACCTTTCTACCTTCGGGTTGGACGAAGAGAGCGACAAGTTTTTTCTTTTCTTTTTCACTTGATCATCGCAAATCAACCCCCGCATTGGAGGAGATTTATATTTATTTTTGAATCCATACACACACACAGACAAACTCATTCGTTCGCGTCGCTTTTTTTTTTCTATACCCGTTGCGATTTTTTGGCATGAACATGGAATTTTGGAGTCGGAAAACCGCGGTCCGTCAGGATGGACGTCGCTGAAACGGCTTCGAACGCCGAAGGTGAGACCTAATTATTACAAATCTCTTTTCTTTTTAATTATAGTCGCTCACTAATGAAGCAACCGCATATGATTTATATATATATATAAAAACACAAGCGCGCTCAAAACTCTTGGTATACCAATATTTCTTGGCATGCCTTGCAAATAGGTCAAAGCGTCGAAATCATTTTCTATCAATCTCGAAATTCTGCTCGTAATACTTTTTTTTTTATTATTATTATTATTTCCCCTCCAATACGGCTGCGAGAGCTGGGCTCTGTGAAATAATCCTCGACTCCGCTAAATAAATACGTGTTTCGCGAGTTTATCCCAGAAATAACTACGGGCCGAGAACGTGGACGCCCACGCGCGCTGCTCCGTCTCCTCCTTTACCGAGCAAAGCTAATTTGTTTACGCGAAAAAATTATCACTAAACAAACCAAAGATATAAAGCAGCGAAAACCCCAAAAAAAATTATTATGTAACTCACTCTGTCTCTCACGCACCTTAATTGTGATTTTAACTTTAGTAAAACACAATCCGCCCGTGCCTATCAAAACCTACCAGTGGGAGGACGTGAGGCGGGCCCGAATAAAAGGAGGATACCCGTGGACGTACATCGATAAAGATCCTTTTGATGAGAACGCGAAGATGGAGGAGAAGAAGAAACCCCAGGAGGACAAGCTGATGGTCGGCTCGACCAGCTCGATCGACGTCAGCGTCTCCCAATACTTGGACAAGGACGTCCACCCATCGCAGAGCAGAGAGGAGGAACCCAGCATATCGGCATCTCCGGAGCAGATGGAAAGCAAACGCGCCAAATCCGAAGAACCGGGAAGGAAGAGGAAACTCTCGATCGACAGCAGCTACAGCCGCGTCTCCAAATACAGCCTATCCAAGTTGGGCTTTCTCAAACGCCTGAAAGAAACCAAAATCAAACTACCCAAATTCAGCTTCTCCAAATCGGACAGCAGGCTCAACAAAAAATCGAAACCGATCGAAGCCGAAGTTGCAAAGCCGCAAGAGAAAATAGAGAAACCGAGGAAGAACGAAGGACCCATGTACATACACATCCCCTTGAAACCGCCGCCAGGCGAAACCGACGAATTTTCTCATTTGGAATTCGACGATCAGAAGAACAAACCGATCATCGCCCCAATCAAAGAGGAAACCAAAGAGGAAGCAACTGAACAACAGGAAACACCCGAGACTCCAATAGATCCAACCTCGCCGGTCCAGTTCATCATCTTGACCGCTCCTTCTGATGACGAAATCCTGGACGACACCCCAATCCCAGAAACCCCATCGGAAACGGATAAAAAATTCTTCGACAACAAGCGAATCGACGAGTTGAAAACCATCGCCAGGGATGTCGTGGACAGATACTCGCCGGAAACCAAACGAAGGAGCATCACCAATAAGGAAGGAGTCATCATCGAAGAAATCGAAGACGAACTCGATTTGAAAGACGAAGAACCTAACCAGGAAATAATCGAGGAAATCAAAGAAGAATTACCCGTGGTCGAAGTAAAAGAAAAATCAGAAGTTGAAATTGTCGAAGTGGTGGAAGAAGTTAAAAGCGTTGTAGCAGATGATCCGATGGAAACTGAGGAAATCGAAATTAAAGAACCGATCAAGAAGAAGAAAAAGGGCAAAAAGGAGAAGGCACCTAAATTGAAAATTCCAGAATCGCGGAAAACTGACGATGATAAATTGAAGGAACAAGACGATATTAAAAGGGCAGTGAACATTAATGATGACGCAAAAGTGAAAGAAACTCTAGAAATGGACGTTGCCAAGCAAGTGAATGAGGATGTGCAACAAGTCACTAATATTAGCGAAGCTGAGAAACCAATCGACGTTATTAATAACCAAGTGAGCGAAGATATTAAACTCGTTAAGAAAAATAAGGATGATGAACCAATGGACGTTCCCAAAAACCAAATAACAGAAGTCGCCGAAAAACAGGATGATGTCACCTTAAAACAACAAGATAAAATAATCGTAGAGGATAAACCAATGCAAGTGGAGACAATTGTTGAACAAGATAAAAATAACATGGAAGAGGAGGAAATTAAAGTGAATCAACAAGATAAGATTATCATAGAAGATAAACCAATGGAAGTGAATGAAGCTGTTAAATTAGATGAACAGCATAACGTAGATAAACGTAATACGCAAATGGAAGACGTTAAGCTCGAGTTAAAAGAAGTGAAGACAGCTGAAGATACTAGCGAGAAAAGTGCAGAAGAAATTAAACCTATAATTATAAAGAGTATTTTAAAGGATGATAAATCTGCGAAAGTAACGAATAAACAGAAGGAAGAAACTGTGAAAAAAGTTGATGATAAATCTGCTGGTAAAGCAAATAAGAAAGAACCTTTATTTTCACGTTTGAAAGGAAAGTTTACCAAAACTAAAGTTGAAGAGGTTAAAGCTCCGGTCAAAACTCCGGTAGTGGTGGCCAAGCAAAGTGAACGAAACAAGGATACACGTGAATCTTACAGGATCCCACTACATTCTGAAGAGTCGATGGATAGAGAGAGCTTAGACCTGCGCTTGAAGGAAGATATCATTAGTGATCAACCAATTGACATAATTGCTACACCAAATTTAGAAGATGTTACACAAAAAGAAACTCTCGTAGAAGAAGAGAAACCTATCGATGTTATCGATGAAAAGCGAAGTGAGGTTGATGACAAAACTACCTTAAAAGAAGAACCAATCGATGATATGATTATGCAAGATGATACAAATATTAAAGCTGTTGATGAGGTGAATGTTGAAGAGGAAGTTAAACCTATTAATGTAAGCATTGAGAAGGAAGTGATTCCAGTTGTTGAAAAAGAACGTATTAAGGATGAAATTAAAATGTCAGTGGATGAAGAAGATGGATTGAAAACGGAATCAACTGTAGTTGAGGTACTAGCCGAGATAATTAAGGAGGATGTGACAGAGCTAAAGAAGTTATCTCCAATTCTCAAGAAACGAGTATCCTTCAAGCGGAGATCCAAAGAAGAAAAGGAAGGTATTTACGAGGACGTGCTGATTGCTGGGGACAACGCGAACATAAGCCAATCCATGTCCGTTGATGAAGAGAAGACTTATCTAGATGGAAAGATCATGAAAGATACGTCTCTTGAGGAGGATTACGACAAATGGTCCAAAGTAAAGTGAGTACTCTAGTTTATTATTTTTTATTATTGGTCTCATCTTCCATTAGGAAAGATTGACACATCGAGTTTGCTTTTTTTCGGACGTATTTTTTTGGCACGGCGACAGGCGACAGAAGAAATGTAATATTGTTTCAATGTTAGAGGCATCTCGTACAAAAATAAAACCGCGTTTCGTTTCGGACGGACTCGGCGATCTCGGACTTTGCGGCTAACAATAGATTCGACTAAATTTAACTAGTGGTCAATAGAGATCCAAGCGGGAAGCAGCAACAGACGTACGCAAAAAAGAAGATATATATATATATACACTAATACTAATTGAGAATGAGATAAAAAGACTGCGATTGAGAATGGCTGAACTGTGAGTTATGGAGCCATCGAGGCCGGCGATTCCAAACTCGCGCTACAGAAGAAGATCTGTACCTTCTGGTGATGCGCTGGTACACGGACGATCGACGTCCGAAGGAACCGCGAGAAAACCGCGACGGCCGAACGTAACGCGTCAGGATTCCAATGGGTCATCGGCGATCTCTTTGGATGTACGATGCGGTTGTCAGTATTTCCAATGCGATTCTCTATTGCCAGACCGCAAATTCCAACAAACCCATAGAGCGAACGCCATCAATAAGGTCAATCTAATTCGGTATGTTTCATGAACACGACTCGTTTTTCGCTTCTCCTCTTTCTTTTTCTTTTTTTTTCTCTTTTTTTGGTTTCGGTAATAATGTAGAAATTGCAATCGCTAGCCACTATTAATAGTGGATCGCGGGAGACTTGGCAGCGACCGCAAAGTTCACTACACTTCACCATTTACATATATATATGTATCATAAATAAATATAGATGGATTTTTGCAGCGACCATGAATACGAGCCCATCAATCCACCAGAAGAGGTGCTACACCGCACGACGAAGGCGTCCACTCCGGTCACAGATAGTGACATTGAATTCCTCGCAGCGAGGGCTGCTGACATCGAGATGAGGACGACGGGAATCATCACCGTGCAGGATCAACAATCCAAGGGGGTGGACGCTATTTTCGTGCCACTCTCATCGGCACTGAAGGAACCGGAAGTGGAGGAGAAGAAGGAACTGCCGGCGGAGGGACACGGAAAGAAGTTCCAAGAAGCGATCAAACATCAAGCTACGAATCTGAGGAGGCAAGCGAGCATCCTTGGAGAGAAAGCAAGCAGTCAAGCGGAAAAGATACACACGCGAGTCAAGTCGATCAAGAGACCGAAAATGGATAAGCCGAAGTTCAAGAAACCCAATTTGCCCACACTGAAGATCAGCAAACCGAACATGCCGAAGTTCAACAGGCCGAAGATGCCGGAATTCAAGAGACCCCAGTTCAAGAAACCATCGATGCCTCATTTCAAGAAACCGAATCTACCGCATATCAAGAAACCCAACATCAGCTTCACACTGCCCAAAAGGAAGGAGGGTGGCGGCGGCGGCACCGCGCACACTAGCCGACAATACTCGACGGAATCGAACTACGGTGATTCCAAAAGAAACATATTCGACTTTAGCACCTATCCGAGGTTATTCAAGAAAAAGAAGGAGCAGGACGAAGAAGAGGTGCAGACGCCTAGGAACGGAACGGACATAACTCCTGATTCGGAGCGATCCACTTTGCCTAGTTTCTCGCGATGGAAAGGGAAGTTTACCAAGGCCAAAGTGGAGGACGTTCCGGTACAATCCAGCACTTCGGTGGTGTCTAAAGAAAGCGAACGCAGCACAGATACACGCGATTCCTACAGAATCCCGCTCCACTCCGATGAGTCGATGGACAGGGAAAGCCTGGACCTTCGCTCAAAGGAAGCGCGCGAAAGCATTGAGCGATCACGCCGCGAGGATTCGCTGGAAAGACGAATGGCTCTGGATAAGATCGAAGCGGAGAACAGGTACCGAGATGAAATGGAACTCGAAAGCGATTACATCAAAGAAAACCAGGAGATTCAACGCGCCAGCTCCATGAACGAGAAATTGAACGAACGCTGGAGTCGCGGCACTTTCCAGCCGCAGATCACCGATTTGGATGCACCACAAGAACTGCCGCCGCAAGAGTCCAGTAGCTCGGGTGATCTGCCTAGACGTGGCGTCTTGGAAGAAATCAACTCCGATGAATTCTTCTTAAGGCAGAAAGGTATTTCCGAGGACAACATGGAGGTGGTAGCTTACCTGAGTTCAGAAATACGAGAAGCCTTCCGCACACCCAGCAACGCGTTGAACCAAATGGAAGACAACATCCGATCATCGAATCATTCTCTTCCCGAAGCCCCGAAGAGGCGACCCATGAAGAAACCCAAACGCAAGAAGACTCCGCACGTATCACAAGAAGCCATCCATTACGATCAAGATTCGATAAACACTGAGCCGGAAGAGTATCCGAAGGAATACTATCCTGAAGATGAACCGGAACCGGAAAGACCGAGAAGACGTAACAAGAAAAACGATGACGTCGACTTGGATGGTCTCGAGGACCAAATCATAAGGCAACTCAATCGCGAAATATCCGATGAAAATATTCTATACGAAAACGAACACATGCAAGGAATAGAGCAACCGGGCATAGTCGTGTCCGATCCTTACCAGGAAGCGTTCTTCCACGTCAATCCATCAGCTCCACCAAGAAAACACAAAAGTCTCAAGAGCCTCAACGATTCCATCAACGAAGAGAACATGGAAAATAGCGTAAGTTTATTTGCTATCAATACATTTTATTTCATATATAAACTAAAACAAATAAACAAATTAAATTAATTGAAATTGCAGATCGAACGGTACCGTATGGAACACGAGTACCAAATACCCACTCCAGATGAGCCACCGAAAAGACCTTTCAGGACTCGTTCGAGGACTCGCTCACAATCCACAAGCATTCAACAGGAAGAAGATTTATCTTCGAAGAGAACGGACTCTCTGGACAGCGAATGCGTTCCATGCGCGGAAGAACCATGCTCAAGAGTACTTTGCGACTACATGGGTTACTCAGTTATAGACAAGTCAAGGATAAGAGACCCACCATTACCGCCATGCGCTCCCAGACGCAAGAGATCAGTCAAGTCAAATGTTTCTGAGCAAGAACAGGAACGCTTTTTCACGGTTCCCAGAAGATTATATAACAACGAACAGCCAATAAGACCTCTGAGGAACTACAGTACCTTAGGACCAAGCCGACCACCCAGAAAGAGATCCGTCCCGAATTTAACCGACGAAGAGAAGGAAAACGTGACTGGTAGCCAATACATCGAAATGGAGGATGATTATCATACGAAGAACTTGCAGTCCGGAGATGTTATTCAAAAGATGAGGGACAGACCACTACCGGCGCCACCTCGACCTCCCAGAAGAGGGAAAGACGTGCAAAGAGCACCACTAAGAGATATTACTCCAGAGAAAAATCTGCAAGAAGCGGAGGTTTCAGTTCAAACAGAACCCTTACCCGATGACTTCGTTTGCGAAGAATTGGTACACGAGGAACACGACAAGGTGATTACTCCTAGTGTGGATAAGAAACCGATCAGGGAATTCGAACATCAAGAGACCATTACACATGGAGCTCTGATAGTGCAACCTTTCAGTGGAGAAATAGAAGAAACGCCAATGGAAACTTTCTCAAAGTCAACTGAACGTATCATAACAATCCGAAGAGAAGTCGATGAGGATTCCGAAATCCCCGAAGAGTTTAAGTTACTACAATCTCCGGCGGTCATAGAGAGAATAATCGAGAGACACGTCCCCACCCAGTTGGAGCCAAATCAAGAAGTTGAATTGCTGAAGACACAAAAGTTACAGGTTGCCGATTTGGATGTGGACAGGTTGGCTGTAAATGAATTACATGCGAGCAAGATTAAAGTCGGGGAAATCGAGAGCAGCAGTATTAACGTGAACGAAATAAACAGCAATTCTGGTAATTTGGTGGTGAGCGGCATAGAGTTGCCACCGAGCTTCTTCAGGGAGTTGGTGGAGAAGCTGCAGGAGCAGAAGGAGAAAGACGAAGCCGAGAAAGCCGAACAAAAAAAAACTCCGATTGAAGAAAACGTAGCGCCCCAGAAACCGCCCCGCACCTTTGAGCCAGCAGAGAAAGTCCCGGAAAGAGTGCAGGAACACATCTACGAACCCATAGATGAAGAGGAACCTTCGGTAAGTAAGGAAAGCAAGCCACAAGATATTGTGGAGGAAACACATGAAGAAATTTCAGAAACTGTAGATGCGAAAGAAGTGGAAACAGTAGAGACCACTGTCGAACAAGTCGATGAGGCGTGCAAAGAGGAAATTTCTCCTATTTACGAGGAGATTAAAACACAGGAAACACCGCCTCCTAGACCACCACAGCCTGCCTTGGATCCCATTTACCTCCCTTCGCAACCGCCGCCGAGCTTTTACGCTTTGCGCTCACCGCCAGTAGCATTCAAAGACTTTGACATTGACGATGACATTCCTATGGCACCACGAAGACGTCGTCCACACAAGGCTGCAGTACCATCGGTGTCCAGCAGCGAAGACGAGGCGGCGGCACCTCCCTCGAGGAGAAGACACCGGACGCCGGAACCTTCGATTCCTCAGCTCACTGGTCAGCTGACCAGGGCTTGCGTGACCGCTGCTGATCAACAGCTGAAGAGACTTCTGCGGCACCTCACACAGTTGATCATCGGTCATTCGATACCCGGCCTCGATGGTAAACAGGATGTCAACGTGGCCGTCGTCGTTCTCTTGGTCCTCGTGGCAAGTATCATACTGCTGGGATGGGGCAACGGCAAGAACGTTCATCATCATCACTGGGAATACTTCAATCCTCCAAAGGATATTTAATCCTCACTCTATCTCTCTATTGCTCATTTCATTACATTTTAGCTCTATCCTTATCTAGTCATAACACACAAAATAACAAAAAAAAAGAGAAGAAAATATGTTTGTAATATTTTAAGTTTCTTTATATCTGTATGAATAAAATTTATTGTTAATTATAACGAGTTTTAAAAAGAAAAAAATACGACGTAACTTTTAGTTACAAGAAATAATAAAGTTTTTTTTAGCGAGGTCCAAAAATAAAACTACTGTAAATATTTTTTATATAATATATTATGTGGTTAATGATTTGTTATGTATCCAATAAAACAAATTAGGTCAGTTGGTTGCTTTCGTGTTCAAAAGCATTCGCTGATGCGCCATGAACTGTCTCTCGACAACATCCTCAAGATCCTTTAAGGTATCGTTCCTGATTGCTTCCCTAATCTTTTCAAAGAATTTCATAAAATGGTAATTGTTGTGTATCTTTAACAGCAGAGGTCCCAACAGCTCTTGCACCGTTACTAAATGATGAATGTACGCCTTCGTATGTTTCCTACACGCTAAGCATGCACAATTCTCAATAATAGGTTTAAAATCATCAGCAAACCTAAAAGAATATTGAAACAATTTAAACCAATTAATGTACGAAATAATTATCGCGTAAAACTCACTGGTTCTGTCGTAAATTAATCTCGTATTGTTGGGTTTCGCTAACGTTATCGAAATTAAACGTTAAAGCCGATGATCTTTCAGTAACTAAATTACAATATGATGTATCAAAAACATCGATGCCCATCCGCACAAGTTTAAGTATAACAACAGGATTCCAACAACCCTGAACAACTCTCATCTTATCCTCAGGTAAATAGTTCTAAAATTTGTTCAAAGTTAATTCCCATTAACTGTGTGAAAATATTGTCTCACTGACCACTATAAATTCCACAATAGACTTTGGTTCTTCAAAGGCAATAAATTCGACCTCAGGTCCATTATTGTGCAGACCATCAATCAGAACCCCTTTGACTATATCATCTTTGGTGACCTCATTTATGCACTTCTTTCTGGCCTTGGTGCAATAGCCACCAGCTATTGCAGAAAGTACAAATGAATTTTTTAAAACCTCTGATTTCCTGTGTCTGTCCAAGCAGATTTTGAAGAAGTTGACTGTATTCTCCACAGACTTTGATATACGCTTTGTAGCGCTCTTGGCGTTGGTATCTCCATCAGACAGAAAGTAATACATGTCTGGTTTAAATGCCTCCACTGTGTTCATATATTGTTCAGCATTCAGCAGAACTTTCCCTGATCTCGTCCATAAAGGAATGTGATCCTTGGCATGATGACCAGGTTGAGTCAAGTCACCAGGATCTTGCACTGAAACGCAAGTTAAGCAATCTTTCAAACCAACAAATTCGGATATATTCCCATCATATTCTTCCATAACCTCCTGGTAATGATAAGTACTGACCATTGGGATTTGGATGATTTGTGGCTCTTTGCTTATAATTTTAAACACTTCATGCGTTATGTGTGGTATACTTCCACCCTTTAACGAGGATGTTAATCAATGAAAATAAGAAACTAAATTTCTTGTATTACATACCCGAGTGTAGAGCATTGCCATTGGTGTTTCAATGGAAAGCCCAGGATGAGCCTCGATTTCCTTCAAGGCGCCGATGCGAGGCACGCATTTCGTTAAACCCTCCAAAATAAATTTCATCTTCTTTTTGTATATAAATCAATAAAATCACAATTCAAAAATTTAATACTACATAAAATAATAATAGGTTATGAATTTGTTTACGAACACATGGGATAAATGTTGCCAACCGAATCAGCTGTGTTTGTTTCTCCCTAAATAATATTATTGTTTTCTTTCTTTTCTCAACGAAATTATTAAAGGTTATGTTCTAAGATGGTTTATATACATTTTCCTGCAAATTTCACTGAAGAGGAGCTGATGCTGCAGAATAAATACCAGAAATTAAAGAAAAAGGTTTGTGTCTCTATGCAGAATTTGTTGTGTATTAATTTTATTTATTTTTAGAAAAAAGCTCTGCAGGTTCTAAGAGCTCCGAAGCCTGAACCAGAGAAACCGATCATTCCAAAGAGGCCAGCTGAGGCAAGAGATGCAAAGGAAGTCGCTAAGAAATTGTTGAAGTCTGGAGTTATACCAGCAATTCCCAAGCAGCAGAAGCAACCCGAACAAGGTTTTAAGAGACCAAGGGGACTTGAAAGGAAATTGGTCTCAGAGAAGACCGTCAGTGGGTATCAGCCTTTCTCAGCTGTACAGAATGAAGTGGGTCCAGATAATCCAGAGAATAAGCCACCTAGGATTAAGAATTTGTATGATAGTTTTGCATCTGCTCGTGATAGAGAGGAGAGAGGGATCAGTGAAAAGCCTAAAGACAAACCTGATAAACCTAGGCAGGGCAATACCATTTACGTTACTGGATATAAAATTACTGATGAATTCTTGAAAAAGCATTTCGCTACTTTTGGCAGTATTGTCAATATTTCTATGGAAATTGAAAAGAAGTTAGTATTTTTGTAAGTTTTATTTGTTCCATATTTATTTTATTTATATTTGCAGTAGGGGCTTTGTTACATTCGATAAGGTGGAATGTGCTGACAGGGCTATAACTGAAGTGAGTATTTAATGAGAGCAAAAATGTATTGATTGCTAATAATTTTATTTTATTCAGATGGATGGTTGTATGGTGTCCGGAATTGAGTTGAAAGTATCTTTGGCTAGGAGGCAGCCCCAAATTGAGCCAATCAATGATGCTACATCTTCAACGGCATGGTCCACAGTTGCTGCAAATCATTCACAAAAGGGTAATCATAGAGACAAGAGGGAGCTGGTTACGTATGATGATATGTTTGATTGAATCAATCAGATATAATTATTGTTTTTAAATTTTAATGATATAGAGATATATGTGCATATAATCGATACAAATAAATTAATCCTGAAACGCTAATAAAAGAAAATCGTTGCAAATTTCTTCAGTTGCGCATCCTGTTGTTGGTAGCATTGTGCGACTTTTTGTATTGAATCCAGTTTGAATGGATCTCGACGGCTGTGCTTCGCGCAAAATCAAATAGAATTTATTGAACAAATGAATGTACCTTGATTATTCCCCGAATTGTTGTCAGTCCATCTGCGGAGGGTAGCGAAGTAGGGTGGCGTTCGGTGGTGCGTGGAACCAACTGCCCGCTATATCAAGTGATGATTCATTACGTGCGAAGTGAATTGTGAGCGGACTAAAAAAATCGATAATCCCTTATTGTGTTATTTTGCAAAATGCTGCCGGAGCCGAAGGATTTCGAGAAATACTTCCATGAATTGTACAGACAATTCCCAGAGACCCAACAGAGGTAATTGGAATTCTTCCTTCCAATTTATATTAGTCAGAATTTATTCATTTTTTTTTATATGTATATATTTTTTGTATTGGAGCAGAAAGAGGCAGGAATGGAAGAAGATCAAGAAAAAGGTCAAGCACAGTAACAAGCTGAAAAGCAAATTGGAAATGATGAATGAGACAGACTTTCTGAATCCCCCTGAGATGGAGCTCCCAGGGAATGCATCTGCTTTTGCCATGTTTGCCTCAATCCGACTGGCTGTATTGGATAGATGGATGAGGCAGGCTAATCAAGAGTATCTGCAGAGCAGCTGCAGTGCTCCATTGGCTGAGCAGAGTGAAATCGAGAGTGACACTGAGGATAATACACAGAGCAGCACTTACGTCCCCATGAAGGTTTCAAAAATAGTTGGTCTAGGCTTAAGGTCTGTGTTTGAGTTGATCAAGGAGAGTCGCAACAGTCACCCAAAGTTATGCAGCAAAGCACTTTTGGCTCTATTGGATGTATTGCAAGGACAGGCGCCAGAGGGTTTAAAGAGTGAACCTCCAGATGTTATTGATCCATTGTTTGATTTGCTATTGGATTTAGCAACTTTACATGGACCTGAAAGCACCTATCCCAACGACGGGAGCCACTTAACGGCGATAGCCTGTGCTTGTTTGCTATCGCTGGTTGTAGTGCGCGGCGACACAGGAAAATTTCTAGCTGCAACCGCTGCATTACTTATGTGTCCAAGAGCTTTGGCCATGCAGAATATACAAGTAAATTTTCAACAATTTGTAAAGCTATTTGTTAATTAACTCTTTCAATATATAGATGCCGGTGGTATTAACGTCATTACAACGGAGTATTCATGGAGTTCTCTTGGGGAAAATAGTTAGGCCTGATTGGATTTCTCATGGAGTTCCTGATTCATCACACATAGAGACATTTCCAATTCGTATGCCCTCCGAAATCCAGAACACTGTTTTGGTGTTGAAATCGCTCGCATGCGATGGACAATACTTGTATTTATTTACATCCAAAGGTTTATTCAAAATTGGTTCTGGATACGGGGGTACTTTGAAGGGGCACGTATACGTTTGGAAACCCGACTTTTATCCCAGTGATAAAGGATTCTTATTGTTCTGCTCCGTAAGTTCCTTTAATTTAAATTAAACGAATGATTTTAAATAATTACCTTTTTAGGGTAATTTATATCTTAAATTGTCCGGAAGAAGAGGAATAGAATTCCTTATAGTCGAAAAACAGAATTTACTGATTTGCGGATCTATAGCTCTCCACAGTCGAGATGCTATGGCTTCAGTGGTTTTCTCTGATGGTGAACATTTAGGAACCATTTCACCTGCTAAAGATGTACGTTTATGGATTTACCAAATTTTATAAATTCTAATTTTATATATTTAAGGACGGTTTTGTGGTGCGAATGTTAAATCATACTACGGTGCCAGCATCTCTGGCATTAGAACTTCCTCTTAAATTGGCGAGGAAATGTATCGATGTACTGGGCACTGCACCATTTGAAGAAGAACCCCAGTTCCACACCGTCAACTCTTGTAACGATGAAGAAATTGCAACGATTTGCGCCGGAAAGGAGTTCGGATTAATTAAAACTGTCAATGGGAAAGTCATGTATTGTGGAAAAGCCTCAAGTCTAGGAATAAAACAGGCTGGTGTCAGAACCAGCAAATGGTCCGAGTTGGCCTTAAGCAAATCCCCAAAAGTAACACATATCGCCGTTGGACACGATGGATTGCATGCCATTTTAATTATTGAAGATGGCTCTGTATTCTTTGCTGGTATTATCTTTCTATTCAGATAATTTTTGCACGATATTCATAATGTTTATACTTTTAGGTACCGCTAGGAGAGGTGAAGATGGAGATCAGAGTAAAGTTCGTAGACAACCGAAGCCGGTGAAGCCAAAGAAAATGATCAAAGTTGATGGACAGAGCATCACATGTGCCGCCTGTAATAATGGAACGACGGCTTTGATAAACCGCGAAGGAGAACTTTTGATGTTTGGAAAAGATACTACGCATGCTGATAGTAGTACTGGAATAGTGAATAATTTGAAAGGCGAATTTATAGTGCAAGTGGCTCTTGGTAAGGCGCACGCAGTTGCATTGAACAGCAAGGGACAAGTCTTCTCTTTCGGAATCAACAACAAGTATCAATGCGGAAGGGATTTTATAGCAATCAAAGAAGGTTTGTTACATATATATTTTTCCATTATTATTTGATTTCATTGATTTACCTTAGATCAAACGCCCACAATAGTGGCCATGGATACTTGTATAAGCCACGAAGATCAGGATATCTATGAAGAGGTGGAAGAAGTCAATCGACCTGCCGAAGAATTGGAAAACCAACCAGGGAGTTCGGATGCTAATAACGAGGCCGAACCAAACAATCACCACGTTTGTCCAGCTGGAATGCACACCTGGAACCATGAAATGTGTATGATATGCACGGTGTGTCGAGAATGCACTGGATATTCGATTAGCTGTTTAAGTTCCATGAGACCGGATCGTAATCCTGGACAGTGCGTATCATCATTTCATAATCTATAATGTTTTATTAATTTGAATGTTTCAGTGAGTGTGGATGTGGAGAAGGTGACAGCGGATGTTCAGTGTGCGGCTGTTGCAGGATTTGCGCTCAAGAAAATGTGGATAATTCTGAGCTCACGATATTTGAACCTAGCGGTGCTGTTAATCTGGCCGGTATGATGAGGTTGGATTTGATTTTGCGTGATAAGGTAAAGGAATTGGTTCAACCTAAACAAAGGGTAAAAGTACCGGAACAGGTATGCAAATTGTAGATTATTATAGAATTTCAATGAATTGTTCGTAATTTCTAGCCTCGTGTCGATGAAAAGAAAGTCAGAGGAAGAAAACCAGTGGCAGGACCCAGTAAGCAAGCTCTAAAAATGAAAACTTACAATATATTGGCCACACCGACTCATCGCATAAACAATGCCATTCGGCAATCTAGTCATTTAGGTATGATGATATATTCAATAAATTGTAATATTTAATTAATCTAAAATTTGATATATTTTAGCGAAAAGTCAGCAAACTGGATCTGATGTAGAAAGAGATACAACGAGGATTGCTTGTTTACCGCCAGGTAAAATACAAGTTCCTTCAGAGAGTCCTGTAGTTCAAATAGCATGTGGCCTACACCATAGCATTCTGCTTTTGCAAAATGGACAGGTTTACAGTTTTGGCTCAAACCAGTATGGACAACTGGGATGTGGAGATATCTTGGCGAAGGCGAGTATGCAATTGGTGAAGTTACCATGCAGCGCTACGCACATTGCAGCTGGAAGCAACCACTCGGCGATATTAACATCCAAAGGCGAAATCTTCACTTTTGGAAATTATCAGAAAGGACAATTGGGACGGTCGCCTCCTCCAAATTCACCTACGGATACTTCAAAGCCGGGTCAAAGCTCATCTATAAAATATCCAAACCCCAGAAGTCCTTGGTATTCTACCCCTGGTTCTATACCGAACGTAGGTCCGAAGCACGGAAGAAGAGCCACATGGGTCGGAGCATCTGGTGATCAAACCTACTTAAAGATCGACGAGAGTTTAATCAACTCGGTGAGCTTGTCCAAGTCTACAGTTACGGCAAACAATAACTCAATTGGTAAGATAACATACATTTGGACTTCATTTGATATAATTCTCATTTATTTCAATTTAATTTCAGTGCTGATTCCTAATCAAATGGAAAGTGCGGCCAGTTTCAAGTGTCTGGTTATTAATAAACGTGACGGCAATTGCAATTCATTCAAGTGTAAGGATCAAGTCGATTTCTACAATAAGATAGTGTGCTTAGATCCAATACACAACGTACTGTGGTCATATAATCCAGTCAATCATGAGATGTCTTATTTCAATATAATTTCATCCGATTTGCGAACAAATAATGAAGAGAATAAGAGAAATGCTTCTGAGGAAGTGGATAATTTCCAAATGTCGTCAATTTTAACACCAGAATTAGCTTTGCCATTTGTTTCGAGCTGTCATATTACTAGGCTTCAAGCTGCTATACATCTGCTGTGCTGCTTAGACACTTTAACGGTGGCGCATGATTTGCAATTGTGTACAATTAAAGAAGAGATCGAGGAAAGGCAATTGGTATCTGGAAAGCAGTACAGCAGAGAAGATTTCCAAATGGTCAATAGGTTTGAAAGTCACGGTGGCGGTTGGGGTTACTCCGCGCATAGTATCGAGGCAATTAGATTCATGGCTGATACAGATATTTTGTTAGGAGGGTTTGGTTTGTTTGGTGGTCGGGGGGAGTATACTGGGAAATTAAAGCTTCTGGACATTGGGCCAGATGGGGGTGAACAGGAAGGTGATGGAGATTTGTTAGCGGAAACTGAAGAAGTACCTTACGAATGCGGACCCAGGCAAAAATTCCCTATGCTTTTTGAGGAACCAGTCCAATTGCAGGCACATAGATGGTATGTCGCTTGGTGCAGAATCAGCGGTCCAAGCAGTGATTGCGGATCTTCAGGTCAAACTATGGTCACTACAGAAGATCAAGTTTTATTTTATTTTAAATCTTCGAAGAAATCAAATAATGGGACAGACGTGAACGCAGGTCAGCTTCCACAATTACTTTACAAAGTTATTACTCCGGAAAACCAAAGCCCTCCAAGACCTCTAGACCTAGGGGAACCAATACACATTTTAACAAAAGAATTCTCAAGATGCGTAACTAAGGAATGTTTCCAGAGCTTGCTATCGCTACTGCAGTGGTCCTGGAATACCTTCAAGATAGGTATAGCGGATGGTCAGTCTCTTCAACACATGTACACTGCCTTAGAACTGGAGCGATTGGTTTACATCTCTCGCGCTAGTTTAAGATTGATCAGAACGTACACTAACGAGATTTATCCGAATCAAATTAACAAGAAAAATCCTCTGGAGAATGTTCACTTGGCAGAAAGCATCGGTGACGTTCGATCACTACTTAAGCAAATACTATCTGACAGTTTGCCAATGCTCGGAAATAAAAAGTCTAGTAAATGCAAAGCTAAAACGAGCAGTATATACATGAAAATGATTAACGGGATCCTGGATGAATGCCATAAAACTTTTGTGTCCTGCTTCCATGCCTTCTATCCAACTGCTTTCTTGAAGTGGACCTGCTTATGTGATCTACTGGCTGATATAGAGAACGAGAGCAAATCTTTTTCCAGCGTCAATAGTCAGCGACTTCTGAGCGCCGTCCTTTGTGCTCTTTGTGGTCCTACCGTCCGTTTGCGTTCTACGTTTCCTCTTCTTGGTGGCAACATTTCCAATGACAGCTCTTTGCACAAAGGTTTGAGCCCTTCCGATAACACTGGTTTACCAATGATGAGTGGGTCAGATTCTCACCATTATCCAATATTGGTAGAGCAAATGAGTTACAGAAGCCAGGTATTTATTTATTATATTATATGTTATTTAGACAAACTTAATGCATATTTTGTAGATGGAATCGCTATCAACGGGATTCAGTTGGTCTTGGCGTGAAGTTCTCGATTGTTTGCTGAACCTTGTTTCAGAGCCAGTTTATAAAGTGCTGCAAGGTAATAAAATAGCACCTTTGGCGGGGTTGACTAAAAATTGTTGCCATTTGCTGGGAAGAGTAATTGCAGAATTGGTACATCAATGCAGCGCTAATGAGGTGAGAAGCTTGAATTAATAAAAAAACGCTTTGCAGATCAATTTTTACTTAATATTTCGTAGGATGACATGCAGAGTGGATGCGGTAGGATTTTACACATGACGCCTTCTCGGTTTACAAGAACCAATCAATCGAGAACTTGGAATACTGGGAACGGTTCTCCGGATGCTATTAGTTTTCAAGTTGACAGGCCAGGTATTTCCATTGCAGGAGTTAGTGTATACGGGGGAATTGGACATTACGATTATGAGTTGGAGATTTTGGAGGATGTAAGTTTGAAGATTTAACAATAATTCATCAATAACATTATGATCATTACCTAGCAAAGCACTGTTGGAAGTGAAAGCCACACTCATACTCAGCGCTGGAACAGCATGGAAATTACTAGAGGATCTTTTGGTCCTGAGGATTTCGCTCCCGATATGACCGAGATAAAGTTTGACAAACCCATACAGATTAAAGTAAGTTTTCTTGGATTATATCTATTAAATTTAAAAAAAAAATCATACAATTTTAGGAAAATATTAAATACGCGATAAGATTGAGAAATCACGGCGGAAGAACTAATAATGGAGATGGTGGATTGACTTCCATTAAGGGATCAGATAATACCACATTCTGTTTCTCGACATGTTCTTTAAGCTTTAATGGAACTACAATAATGCGCGGACAAATCCCTATTATATTGTACTACAGCAATCCCGTTGAGAGCGGTCGTGTTACTAGTGGAAAACTCGAGCAGCAGGCTAGGAAAGGGGCTTTAGCGATGACAACTTCCATCATACAAAGCTCATGTAAACTGTTAACATTAGCGCGGGAAAGAGCGGACGAGGTGGCTTCTTCGGAAATTTTAGGATCGGCTGATATAATTAGGATCTTATTACCACTGGTTATGGCTCATATAAGCCCATTAGTAACGGCGGATCCAAGGGTTTGTTTTATTACAATGTTTTGAAACCAAATTGTTCTATTATTATTTTGTTCTTCTTTAAATATTTCAGAGTGCCGTACAAATATTGAACTTGATCCAAGAAATGTTGCCGCACGTCGCTGCGCTTAATTTACTATCTTCCGGAGGTGACGATTTAACTACGACTACCAGTCACCATTACACATGGGTTCAAAGCGATCATCCTTACAAGCCAGCAACCGTATCTAATTATAGGTAAGTTAATTTAATACCTTCTAAACATAACTTTAATTCATTTAATGAATTTTTATTTTAAATAATTAAAAAAAATAATATAATATTATACTTTTTTTTTCAGAGTTAAGTTTCCAGAAAGCGTGAAGTGGATGTCAATTGAATTCGATCCAATATGCTCGACTGCACAACCAGAGGACTCGCTCCAGCTGTACGTTCCCAGCCTTGGAGGAGATCATGCGAAAAAAAATGAAAACGAAAACGAGGAGACTGTCTCTTTACCATATTGGCCTGTGGTTCACAAATTCACGAGCTGGTGAGTCCGTTAAATATCTTTCTGTGGATCTCCTTCACTTCTATATTTCAGCATGCAGTGGCCGCAAAATTCCCTAATTTTGCCGGGCCATGAGGTCTTGTTCTCTTTAGAAACAGCATCGGATTATTTGAAGGACGAAAAGTCCAGTTCTTATGGTTTCAAATGTCTGGTCGTTGGATATGAATCGCCACCGGTGGGTGGTGCTACCTCTTTGGCAGGTCTGAAACAGCTCGAAGCTGAACTGTCCTTTTTAGGTGGAATGTGCGCTGCTAGTCTCATCAAAAAAGATCTTATACTACCAGTGGGAGGAGGTAATTAAAAACATATAGTAAAGTTGTATATTATTATTATTAAATCACTATTTCTAACTAATTTCAGTAGATGATGTTGAGGTGGATATAGATATGGCAGAAATGGTAGCGGCGCAGACTTTGGCATCGCACAGTTCGCTACTTTCTAAGGGGTTGGCTCTAAATTGTCCTCCGACCGTAATTCAAGCTTTGGATGGTTTACTTCCCTATGGGTGAGTACTCGTTCTTTACATTTTTTAGAAGATGCATGTCTATTTGAGATTTTCTCTTAAAAGTTTTCAGTAACAGAAGTCTATAGTTACTAGAATGGTTACATGCACCTTTGTATACTTAACATTATTGTCTTATCTAATTTTGGTAACTTGAATTTAAATAATTCTAAACTTAATTTATCACAGAAAATTAACGCGATACAAATAAGTAAATGTACGTAGAAACAATACTGAATCAAACAATATAGAGGTATTGGCTTGGGGTGTATAAGTCATTACAAGTCGGTAGTCAATAAATCTGCTCTTTCAACTATAACATGCAATTCCGTCTCCCTGTATGTCCTGCCATCTGGTACGATCATGCTCATCTTGCCCTGCTTTTCCGCGCCTTCTTTACCATAACTACCGCATCTGTATAATCTACGGAAGTAGCAAACAAACCCGATAATACCGATCACTAATAAACATGAGCATACTATGACGACGATTATGGTAACGCCAACTTTGCTGGTGAGCACCGAGCAGTGCATGTTTTTATAATCGTTGAAGCTAATCCATTCGTTGTCTACTAAGCAGTTGAGTTCGTGCGTGCTTTTCATATACTTGTCCTCGTTGTTGCAATCGCAATTCTCCTGCAGTCGTAATCCGCTAAACTTCGGTATGAAACTAGTTTCGTTAATGACCAACGCATCCCTGCTCAATTTGTGAAAAGTATTCGACTCTAGCACGAAAAGCTGCAGCCCAGGGACTTCCTCTCTATTCAGATTTATGTTGCGGAATGCCCCCATTCCAACGTTGAAGAACTCGTTGTTCCTGACGTGCACGTTTCCACGCGTCGTCACTTTAAAACCTTCCCCGTTGAAGTTCACAATTGTCGAATCCCTGAGCTCGAAGATGTGCGGGTTTACGATGATAAATCCGGATGGCTTCAGTGTCTCTATCGTGACATTCTTAAGAAGAAACTCATGCTTAACCAGGACATCGTAGAAAGCCCTACTGGGAATTTCTCCAAACACCGAGTTAGTAATCACCAGTTTTTCAGTGGGGAATTTCTTGAAGCTCTGCGGTAGAAGTTCTCGGACGTTGACATGATCGAATTGTATTTCCTGATTCTGCTCCAACGAGCTGAAGCCGAATGGGGCTATCTCGTCGATTTCTACGTGCTGGAACCGGATGCGGTTGATGCGGCCCTTGATCGCGTGACTAGAGATCTTTTTGATCGTGCCCCCAACAACATATATCTTCAACGATGGAATAGTCGAGTCCCAATCTTCAATTTTCTCTTTGTTCCTTGTATACCCAGTCCAAAGCAAAGACTCCTCCTCGAAGAATAAAGATCCAATTCCGTTCAATTCCAAAATCCGCAGATTCCTCATGTCCGAAATAGCGTTCGGCCCGAAACGGATCTTGCCGCAATTCGTAATGTTGATCGCGTACAAATCGGTCGCCGGTATCGAGTTCTTCTTTATGTAGAATTCCTGTAAATATTTGTTATATTAGCTCTGGCCGCTCTCTAAATATTGAACGGCTATTCACACAGATTTTGTTTCTTTTTTGTTGTATTTTTGTTTCCCAAATACCGGGCGTATTTATCAGTCTGTTGCTATGTTAGAGAATGTTTCGAAATAGTTTTCGATTAAAAACGAAAATAAAGATAATTACCTCGTTCCCGGTGAGGCAAGAGCATTCCAATCGTGAGTCCGTGCCTCCCGACCATTTGCAGTTGAAATTCGGATCCTCCGTTAAGTCTTTGGTGGTCTCGAAACCGTTTAGGATCGCGGACGCAGTGGCCACCACCAGCCAGAAGAACGCGACTCCAGATATTGTCACCTTTCGCCACATCTTTACAGTATTCTCATTATAACAATGCTCAATGTCAAACCTGAAACGTAAACACATTAATCTTATCTGAATACACTATGTCACTGCTCTCGTCCAATATTATTACCAAACACATCAATAATTCAAGTAATAATGAATTAGCAGCGCTTTGAAAAAAGAAAGAAATTTAAATGAACTAAATAGGAGGCGCGCAATTTGCTGCGAACAACGCTGCACTGAATCCGCGCTACAACTAAGCACACTCCTCCAGCTCATACAAACACTTCTAATCTTATCAACGCGACTCACTCACTATGTTAGGTGAGTAATCATTCTGGCGAAAGGTTTACATATTTTTCTCTAGTAAAACGAGTACATTTCTATGGATGAATGACGATTCCCAATTGCGACGCGCCAAAGGGATCTTCGGGTCAAAGCGGCTTTCCCGGTATTAAAAAGAAAAGACAACCAGAAGATGCGACTGGAGTGTCGAACGCGACCAGACTGCTTTGCATGTCGCCTTTTCTCATCATCATCGTCATCTGTGTGTACATTATTACCGACTCGATAATTAAACAGAAAACCCTTCGTGCATTTACGAGCCTTGTTTGTTTTCCATTTACGTACGTTGGAGAACTTTGAACTGGAATTTACACGTGTTTCTTCTAAAACACAATAATAAATGGTAATTAATTTGGTATAAATTCATATATATATTTAACGAAACAATAATGCGAATTGCGAATAATTAACAATAATAATTTCTCATTACCTATTGATTCCGCGGTCAAAGATCAAACTTAAAACATTTAAAAGTTTGCTATTTTTTTTTCCTTTAACCGTATTTAAAATTCTTCTCATTATTTTCATCCTCGAAAACAATGCGAACAATTTAAATAGAAGTTGAATAACTGCCGGTTATGCAATAACGAGGTCGTTAGTTTGAGATTGTGCTTATTTCGGGAAGTTTGCAAGCATGTGCAAATTAAATTGTTTGCAAAGCTCAGTTTCAATTAGAGTAACTGGAGAGAGAGACGAAAAAGAAAGAATAAACGAAGTGAAATAGAAGTAAACCAAATCAAGTGGAGCACAGAAGCGTTTCGTCGACCATTGTGTTTCGGCATTGCAGCTCGGGCATCTGCCGTTTTGCATTCCATGCAAACGTCCTGGATGCCATCAAAGTCACGTTCCACGATATAAATCACACATCAACCGCTAATTCCCACACATACACTATAATCGACCTTTTATATATATTTTGTTTCCTTTTCTTTTTTCGCCTTTAATTTTCTACGTGAGACAGTTGTTTCCGCTAAGAAATAGTGGTTTTCGGGGCTTCCCGCGATTGGATTTCTCGGCAATTTGTTAGCTTTGACCCAATTGCGAGAGCTGATAATTAAACCCCCGCGACGAAGTGGTTATGTTTTTTAGCTTCGCTTTTACTCGGAAGACGTATTTTTGCAATTTCCGCAAAGCAAATATATGACATCATTTTAAACCAATATTAGTTTCTTTGTAACCTTCTTTTTCATTATCCTGTACGTTCTTATTTTTATTTGTAGAAATATTGAGATTCGCATTATCCAAGGGCGGATTTGAAATCTGGTGGTGCATTTGCTATGGTCGGCATATTATAAGTGTGGCGATGATTGTGCAATTGTGCATCGACACGCGAAATCCTGAATAATATCCATTCCAATTAGCGATCCTGTTGTTTCAAGCATAAAAGCGAAAATGATCATCGTCATTCTTGTTTTCTCTATGATCGGCATTACGTAATTTTGTATGCAGTTGTTACAGCGCGAAAAAAAAAAACCAGATAGAATGAGACAGAGGACAAGCGCGCAAAGTTGATTATGAAGCGAAATCGGTTTGGGCAAGGTTCAAAGCAGCTCTTTTTCAAATTGTGTTTTCGTCAGGCTTTCCCATGTGTTTACGTAAAGCAAGCATGTTAAGAAAATATGGGTGGCGGGCAAATAAACAAGAACGAACGTTTGTCGCTTCGCCCTCCTGGGTGATATCTACCGTTTTCTTGGAAACACCTGTGGACGGGAGCAAACAACGAAAATAGATCAACAACTCTTGTATGTATGTATAACAACGGTTATTGATCACTTTTTGCGTCCGCAATATATTCTAAGTATTATGATTTTTGCGACTTACTGTCCAATTGTTCTGCGACTCGTCAAAATGGTCAAACGGAGTACGAGCGGTAGAAGTTTCAAAGCATTTTCAAATCATTGCCGAGGTCACGGAGAGAGAAAGAAAGAACGAACGAACGAACACTCACAAGGATTTCACGCGGAGGTGGAAGCGCAGTCGGGGCTCGTGTTGTTATGGACTCATGTGTGTTTCTGTGCCGCTGGATATACTGTTTTGACGATACGTCTCCATGGGAACGGCGTCGCGGCGCCGCCGTCGTCGTAGTCCATACTGGCAGACGTATACGTTTAGATCCTTTAAGGAAGGTCGAGATTTACTGAAGCAATCCTGCGGGACGATTACGTCCCGAAAGAAAATGCTGGAGTTACAGTTATTGGCTGATTTTATCCCCGGAACAGGCATCAGCTTCCAGACTTTGAAATCTTCCTTCTCCAACTTTTTTTATGTACATGTTTGAATTGGCAGACGGGCGTTATTAGTAGACATGCATGTGTACAGCATATCTGAGGATCGTGTTATCAATTCTACGCATGGCATGCAGCGTTTGATCAAACAATAATTGTAATTATCACAAAGCGCAGATTCCATTTACGATATCACATCCGGAACCTTGTTACAATAGGCGCCAGATTGATCATTGTTTAATGTCTGATTATACGCTCGATTGCTACTTCGCTTTTTGTCCAAATATATACTCGATTATACTCGACACCATTCGAATGATTTAAGGACAATTCACACTATAAGGAAATCAAAGTCATATCACTTTACGCTTTGTTTATACTTTCCTTCTAGAAACATATAAATACTAAATAAACATTAATTTTTATCACATACATTTTGGACTAGAAGTAAATGAAAATGCCTACACAATATTTGTATATAATGAAATATTTCAAAGAAAATTGAAAAGCAAAATATTATATTTCAACACAACGTCAAGTATTCTTTCCAGTATCCTAGATGGTCCATGACGTTGCCTACAAAATTCATTATATATTTTCATGTTATAATAGACGTCGACGTTCATGAAGTAGAGTACTCGAGTCGATGTTTCTAATTACTTTATTTACGTAGCTCTGAGTTCAAATTAAGTTAACTTATTTGAAAAGATTGCTTGAAACAAACAACTTTTATTTTCGCAATAGCGAATAGATGTATTTTTGAAGATGAATAAGAATATTAAGGTTGAATCTAAAATAAACGAATTGGCATATTTCCAAATATGGATTTTCGGTAGAGTTCGCCTTAATAGAATTTTCCATCGAAATTAATTGTTGTTTTAATTTGCAGTTGAATAATGTTTAAATATTACTTTTTAGTTATCTCTGAATGATTCATCGCGCAATTAATTATTTAGATTCAGCATTTTTTTTAATAAATAAAAGAAATGTTTACTATTAATCCGTAACCGAATATGAATAATCAAAATTCCAAATTAATGACTAATTGTTTAGGTTTCAGTTAACAACACTTATACAAAAAATGACACTAAATTGTGTTATCAGCAGAAGCTGGAAACCAATTGAACAATATTTATTTGATTTATTTTCGGAGAATATCGCGGTGGCTCGCGCGTATTGATTTCGCTGTTGTGTATGTGACTGACTGTGTGTTGTATATGGGTCAAAGATGAGAGTATTTATTTGCATCCAAGTTGGGTGCTTTATTTCAGTTCGAATTGATCATCCAAGGCGGTACATATTCGCGGTACGCCATCTTCCGCCTTCCTCTTAACATTCCCGCGCACGTATTATGCAAGTCCTTGGCTAATTATAGAAATGGATAGGTCTATCTATCTGTCTTCGTGCGCATTCGTATGTCTCAATCATTTATTTACACTTCGATGCGTTTATGGTGCATCGACTCGGACTTACTCTGTTGTTGGTGCGGGAATTCACCCGGTATTCAGCAAATACCAAAATCAATTAATGCGCTAGATCTTGTAAATGTAAATCCTGGAGCGACGAGCCTCATCCTCATCCACTTCGCACCACGAACAGGATGAATTCATTAGCGCTCATTGCGAGGTGAAAAAAAAATAAAGGAAGGACCGCGACGAAACTTTGGTTCGCGCCCGACGACCGACGAACTTGCTCTAAATTGCTTTTTATTATTGTTCCACTTGTTTGTACACTCTTGTGGTTTGCTCCATCTCGTTTCCTTGCATATCTACATCTTGGTTGTTCGTCCTGTTTTTTTTTTGTTGTTGATTTGTTTTCTACGTCCACTTATTGTCGCGTCCTCGCGCTCCCCGCGGGGTCACAGCACGAATTAACATGTACATACAAAAAGACACGTAGGATAAAATAATTCGTTCAATTCGGAGAGCGTCATTAGCTCAACGAATTGCTGCATACTTTGTACGAAGTGATTTAGTCATTATGTATATTTATTTATAAGAAATGTAATATCATACTTAAAAGATATGGCCAAAAATCCATACGCTTTTGGCGTTGTAGTTCAATAGTTGTTCAAACATCCCTAATTGTAGGGATTCACAATACAGTAAATAAAATATTAGCACTTTTGTTGTTTTTTTTTTTAAATATTTTAATATATATATCTTCATTTTTTTTCTTCTTTTTCTTTAAAGAATTATGTACAGACTTTATGAGATTGTGTCCACTTATCACAGTTGATTCAAAGACCAAGACATTTTACGTGTAAATATACATATATAATTTTATATTTATATTTTATTTATGTTATGTACAATGCCTTGGGCTTCCGATAGGGCAAGTGTTTTTAATTCGCTTGCGATCGTTGGAACAGTCTCGTTTTAATTATTATTTGGAATTACATTGGGGGGGGAAGGATGACTGGGTGAGGTGTGGGTCTGAGTGAGGGGGTTGTTTGGAGATCAGCGCGCAGAAGACGACGGGCCAGCCTCTTCGTTCTCGTCTTTGGGTTGTTCTGGTAAAGGCCTTGTGGCCATTTTGCTTCCGGTGGATGTTAGGGATGCCCTTTTGTCTTCGCCCCTTGTCCTCAGCTCGGTGTAGACGTGGTGAGCGGCATCCTTGGGTTCCGAATAGTCGTTCACCGATGGCCTGTTCATCTGCGTGCTATGATGACCCGAATGCATGTTCCCTAATTCCTCGTACAGATGTGCCTCATCGTCCTGCCTATTGTTATTGATCACCCTGTCCGTTTTCACCACTTCCTCGTACAGCTTCTGTATCATCGTCGCGGCGTTCTCCGCAGTGTCCGGATCGTTCAGTTCTTTGCGCAATCGCACCAGAAGCTCTTCAGTTAATGGAGGAATGTCTGTGTAATCTACATGCTCTAAATCCAAGTCGCCGTCCTGCGGGACGACCTCCTGCTCCTCGTACTCGAGGCTCGATCGCCTCTGACATCTCGGCCTTATAACGTAAATGTATATAATGATAACTACGATTAAGAGTAGGAGAATGCTGAGTGCGGTCACGTAATGGTGGATGTTCTTGTCGCCCTCCTCCCCTACCAGGAACGGTTTTGTAGTGTTCAGTTTCTTGGTTTCCCCGCGATACGGCTCGCAGTGAATGTCGCTACCCGAGCCGCACGTCAACGCAGTAAAGTTCTTCATATTGATCAGCCCTTCATTCAATACGAAGCACCGAGCCAGAAGGTTGTCGACTGTGCAGAAACTGGTATCGTAAACGTAATAAGAGTTCGGGTTCAGGAGCAACTCGGAAAGCCACTCGGAAATGTTGCAGTAGCAGGTCTTCTTGAAAGAATTACTGTTGAATTTGAAATGGACCAAATGCTTTTGCAGCAACGGAAGTGCGACGAACGCTCCTCGTTCCGCATCGTGAATTTCGTTCCCAGCGAACACAAACTCAATCACGTCCTCCTTGTATGGCACCTCCAAGAAGTTTTCTTTCAAGATCTTTATGATGTTATTCTCCATGGCGAATCGGTTGCAACTGTTGAAGACCAAACTGGACTTGGCCAGAGAGTTGATCTGATTATCCGAGATCATGATGTTCACGTTCATCGTGCTATTTATGGCACCGGTGTGGATTTCCGTTATACTACAAAGGAACGATCAATTTATTACGATTCCATCCTAATTTAGTGTTAGTCTGCTTACCTCGAAAATTGTATGGTCAGGTTAGTTATGGCAGCCAAAATAGCGTATTCCTCGATCACGTTGATCGAGCATTTGGATAGGATGAAGTTGACGATCAAGGTGCCTTCGCTCAAAGCACCCGAACGTAATTTATGGATGGTCGTGTGGTTGATGTAGATTTCATTAATCTGCGTCGCCTTGAACGCTTCCATATTGATGTTTTGAATCTCCGAATCCTGGATGCTCACCAAAGCCAGAGCGGACACAAAGGTGGCACGAGGTATCTCCGGTATTTTAACATTGTTAAACGACAACTGTAAAATATACACATACATATATAACTACAAATAACCACTTGCAAAATGCACTTACATTAGTGACAGGACCATGTCTGCCGTTGTCCCCTTGATTCTCGAAGGTGAAGGCACCTTCCGCGAACACCAGCTTCTTTATGCCTTGAAACCGAGCGTCCTGCAATCTACCGAAGGCGGAATTCTCGATCGAGACGAACGCAGTGTTCGATATGGAAACCCTGATCGGCGTCTGAAAACACTCAACATTTATCCTTCGCCTTCTAAAAACAACACCTGCGTGCTTTATTATTTTCGGCGCAAACAGGAAATACGTGCTCTCCTCGCGCTCTCTTACCTCCATATTCTTGAAGGCGTTCTTCTCTAGAAGGAATCTTTCGCAGCCGTGCACCTGTAGGTCCATCGCCGTCGAGTTCAGATTATTAAAGCCATGTTTGCTGATCACGAAGCTCTTAGCCCCTTCGACCCTCAGCAAATTGAAGCCTCTGTGCATGTGAAAGCTTTGCTCGGAGATGACGATCTTGTTTCCTCCGGATATGGATAGTTCTATGGTGGTTGCAGGGATAGATCCATGCCTAATTTGTAAATTCTGTTGGACATACAAAATGTGATTATTATATGATTTGTTATTTTTAATCATTTGTTGTTATTAAAATAGTATAGATTACATAAATTAATTAATCCTGTGGAAAGATATTCGCGCATACACATATTCTGCAGGCCGAGTCGCTTGCCTCGCCCAATAATGCAACTCATCTGGAATATACTATTAATACAATTCCCAGCAAATGGAGCAAAACATTATATAAATCAATACTTTTCGGGATCGTCGAGTGTTGTCGTAATTGATGCAACCCCTGCCATCAATTAACTAAATTGATGCATAAGGGCGTCAAACGAGGCGGAAGAGAGCAGGCAAGAGCCGCTTCCTGCTCTCCATCTGATCTCAGTAAACCAGAGGCAGCAATTACAGATGATCGGTGTATGTAAATATTATTGGAGCGACAACTGGAATTGAAACCAACCGAACAGATGTGTTACGTTTTGTTCTTGTCGCATCTACACCACTATGTATTTTTTTTTTGTAACATAGAAAACCGGATGCGTTTAGAGATATTTGTGAACAGTCTGTAACTAAACTAACCGGCTCAGCATTCCTATACAAAAGACAATTCAAAACGAAACAATACAAACAAAAAAAAATATGTTTTTAATAAACGGAAACTGGCAATTTGCGGATGCAAAACAGCGGTGATGTAACTATTTTGTTAGTAATTAAAGCAAACTGTTACGCAAGTCGCTGTTATCTGGGTGGATGGAGTCTCAAGAGAGAAGAGGAGATTTTCACTTTATAATTGGACAAAATTTACTTTGAGGATGAAAGTGTTTGTCGATTCTGGACGCGGCGGTGCGTGAAAGCGTCCCATTTTCCGTGCCGATGAGATCTCTCTTCGAGTTAATAAAGATTATAAACGAATTATCGTGCTCTTAACGAGCTTTTAGCCGGGATGACGAAGATAGTCTAAATTAATCTTTGCGGTAAGTTCATTGTATCAATCTATGACAAATATTGGGACAACGGTCTTCGACTCTTAATATCTTCCACGAAGGCAAATAGTCTATTGTTTGAAGCTGAAGTACGTGCAATGAGCGAGCGTATGCTAAAAATATTAAATTCCTGTGGACGGTTCCATTCGGGGGTTGCTTTGAGTCATCTATTTAGTCACCTGATTAACCAGTTGGCCGACGAGAAACGCGAATTTCCACTATTTATAAGTGCCATTTAAAATTAGCACTTTTGCGGTCCCTCCTCCACCTCTTCCTCCCTCATCATTCTCCTCTTCCCGGACACACGCCCTCTTTCCTTCGTCTTCCACTCTCTCTCTGTTGATTTATACGACCTGGAGGCATTCTTCAGCTCCTAGGCGTAAACCATCAGAAACACAGAACGCATCCAGAGATTTTCGCCAGACACACACACAGATCCTCCCAAACCATAACAAAACGCAGAATCGATTGGCAAATCATTTCCGGACTCCAGTTAGTTTCTCAGACCATCGAACTTATTACAACAATGTTGGATTATTTCCACAAACATTCCAGACTATTATTAAACCATTTATTATATTTTTATCATCTCCCGATTGTTTCAATTCCCATTGATTGCTGTTCAACAATTGACTGGCTACTTTAGTCATCGCATAACAACACTCCAGTAGATAAATGCTTTGATTATTTTTACATATCTTTGTCATTGGCATTTGTAAATAATCAAACATTAATTAATCAATATTGTGTAAAATACTTGTTATCAATAAAGAGATGTTGTGCACATAATTATATATTTGTTATCATTATCATTTTCTTGATGTACAATGAATCATTTCGAATTGAAACTTACACAAAATATGTGTTTGTGTGTATTAAAATTTAATACATTGAGTAAGCTGGTATTTTTAGTCTAAATTGGATGCCAACTCTAGTAAAGCCAAATCATTTAAAAGTAGATCGCGGCACAAGCGAAATCTGCTCATCATTTGCAATTTTAGATGCCGAACATATTTACCTCGTATTTCCTTTCGTGATGCGCATATTTTCGAGATGGACAAAGAATGTTTGTCGTTGTTTTTTTTTTGGTCGAAGCAAGTAAAAATAGGGTACGTTCTATTAAAGAAAACTCGAGTCTGTCCCAATACGAGGAAACTATTCCCGACATTATTGATGAAAAATGAGTTACTTGTTTCTCACGAAATTAATTTCCAAAACTTAATTAATCTTTTCGCTTTGTGTGCAATGTCTTAAAAGTTATACTCTGTCGCTGATCGAATTTCCAATTGGGTTGCGCTTTACTAAATTTATTTTTGTAATTTTAACATTAAATTAATTTCTACAGAAAACAATATTGAACGAAAGTGATAAAATTAATGTACACAACATTATCTATATTTGATAGATAAATTATCAAGTTATGTATGAAACATTAATATATTTAGCCGTACAATAGATGACATCATTATAGACTCGTTACTTTTAATAACTCAATTATCTATTGTTCGTGGCATATAACTAATATTTAGTGGCACGCAATTAACTCTCGAAGACCAATAAGTTATGCGAAGAGAGTAGCGCTTGTGTCCTTTCTGTGTACAAGAGCAATTCAAAACAAATTCCCTGAGGGGAAGGAAAACAGAGAAACGTATTGTATTTCGATATTTACGCTTAGCAGAAATGATATCCAAGTGAAACGATGCTTGAAACATTATTACTTGTTGCGTTTGCTTTTAACCTTTTCGAATTAACACACAGCAACGATTTTATTTTGCATCGGCGTCCGTTGGAGCATTTGTGAAACTGATATCGCTGGAAGGTCGAATGCAGTTGGAGGAAGTCGAGGAGGATATATGGTGTACGCGATAAAAAACGTGTATCGGAATTCTTGAACATCTCCAGTTTTAATGAGAATCGCAAGAACTCGGTGACGATGATGATTCATGCATGTTCTCCACGTGCGTTCCGCTAAACAAAGAGACGCCGATCGTATTTCGTAAATAGAAGAGTGCACACGATTTTCAGGACGAAGATCACCTTCAACTTGCTTGCTTGCCTCCCCGAGTAATAGTAGTAGAAGAAGATGATGATGAAGAAGGAAGAGAAAACGGGTCGCGTCAGCGCGCGCGGTTCAATGCACGTTTCAGGTTTCGTTCAATTCCCCTAAATAAATGCACCGCACCTCGACACGATCCACTTCATTATTATCTTAACTCGAGCACATATATATGTGTGTGAAAAGGTCAATAATGTGACGGGCCATGACCTTATGGCAGTCGCTCGTAGTCATTCATTAAAGAGTGTTTATTTCTGAAGCAGGAGAGATCTGAGACAATCGGAGATGTTCGTCGGAGCTTTCATCCTGCTCGTCCTTCGGCACCCAAGTGCCAAGTGTTATTTTGGATGGGTTCAATGCATCAAGAAACGCGTAATGTTTTTGTGTAACAATGCCGTAACCACCGAAATAGACTTGGCCCACGGAAAACGAACAAACACCTCCACCGTTTGACTCTACAACGAAGAAGAAGAAAAAAAAGCATTAAGAAAACAAGAAGAGTTGATGGTAATTGTTTCCATTCGCATTGATCGAATTAGTCGGATGTCTCGAAATAAATTGAGGCGGCGGCATTTTCCATTACGATGTTCTGGTTAATGATATTAACACTGATTTTTTTTTTCGTTGGTTTCGGTGTCGCAACATAGCATGCTGTGTACGAAGCACACATCACCGATTGTCTCCGCTCCTCCTGCACAAATAAACGCAGCGAAGAATTGATGTGGCCTTAATAATAATTATGAACGAAATACGCACAAATTTCGTCGAAACGAGAGGTTGATGATTATTATAAACATAAACAAGTTTTAAAATGCGAGACGCGTTGGGCTTTTGGGCCGTTCCGAAGGGAATATTAAAGAATTTATTCATAAAGTTAAAAATAAGAGGCAAAGCCGGAAGTGGCTCGACTGACTTGGGCTTATTACATTACGAACACGTCCCTCGATTCGACGTTTTTAATTAATAAAGACGGGAATCGATTCAAGGATACGACCATTCACCGAGCCGCAGCGGTTTCTTCTTGTCCACTTTATTATCATCGAGATCGAGCAGGTAGAAGGAGAAGGAAGGAGTGAAACGACGAGGAGAGCGTTTCTCTCGAGAGAGTGAGATGCTGTGTGGCCTGCACATGTTCGAAAGGGAAGAGAGGAGATGCTGGCTGCTCAGCACGCTGAAGATGGAAAAAATAAATAAATAAACATAAAAAAAAAAACGAGAAATGTATAAAGAGTGGAGAACTCTCTCTCTGTATACGGCGTGACGTACAGCTCTAGTTCTTGTCTCTCGCATATATCCCCCTTTATAAGGATATTTAATGTGCGTCTACGAATGCTGCAGCTCCGACACACAACCTGTTCTCTCAAGCCAAACGAAAAATGAATGAATCTCCTTTTCCTCGCTCTGTCGAAACGTATTTCGGTGTCTCCCTATTTTTTCAAGAAAATACAGGTAGAAAATTCAGTCAGGTAGACCATGTAAACATCGGGGGTTTAAGCTGCGCAAAATAACAGATTTCGCCCACTACAATTGTTATTATCGGTGTGTGGTGTTGTTGTTTATCTCAGTCTATAGGATGCAGCCTCGTTTTTTCTTTAAAATCTCTTTTTCCCAATGAACGATAATCGTACTTTTTCATAATCTCAGCTGCTAAACACCTGCGACCTTGCAGCACTTCGCAGAAACCCATTTCCATTATGTATTTGCATTTACATTTATCACGGGTTCTCTCCTTACCTAGAAACGTAAAACTATTTTTGCTAAGAAGCTAACCCAAGACTGTCGTAATCATAAATTAAAATTTATATATATTTTCAAGTGTGATTTATTGTCTTACACTTGTGACCTGAAATTTTTTAATTTTTAACTTATACAAACAATACGAGTTAATCTCTTGTTAAATATTGTTCCGAAATAGCCATAAATCGAGATTTCTTGGGTTGAGTTGTTAAGAGGAGTAGTTGTATAAAAATAAATAAATAACACCTCTTGGGATAGATTTTTTTAGTAAATCTGTTAACGCTCCGTTGATTGCGGTTTATTAATTATTTCCTATATTTTATTTGCTTTTATCCAGAAAACTGTAACTGTCCTTTCCTTTGGAGCATTTAAATTTAGTTTGTCTTTTTATTTTTCTCTGGCATTGTATACAATTCGTCGCTCTTTCAACGATGTTATCCAATACGAACGGCGGACGTTTATTTTTATAACTTAAAAATAAGTCTCCGAAAAAATGTGAATCCATTACGACCTATCACTATTATGACGTGATTGGAGTAGAGGAAGAAAAAAAAAATATGAAGAAAAAAAAATCTAAATGTGTGTGGGAAAAGAAGATGTAATCCATCCCCCATGATTCTAAGTAGGGTATAAACTAGGGGGCGATGGAATTCCGAAGGATGGGGGAGACAGACAAGAATGGAACGATTGTGCGTGCAACAGCACCGTGGACAACAACCTCTCTACTACTCTTGGAGATTTAATTTGTTGAATTTGATAATGCGCTAGCGTTGGCGTGGAATTGTAATGATTTTCGCTGAAATGCCGTCTGAAACGTACCGTGAAAGGACTCTCTCGCTATTTTTTTTTCCCATAATAACATTTACCGCACATTCATTCTTCGCACGCAAAAGGGGATGTGGGCTCATCAAGTGGGAAAATGTGTTATCGCTTAGTATGTTTTCTTTGTTAATGGAAAAGGCGATAATTAATAACCCGATGCGTTGGTCCAACATTACGAAATATCATTTAATTTACACAAAATTCCAAGGCGGAGTGATTTATTTTATCCGTTTTTGGAACGACTACTCTCTCTATATAACTCGATAGTCTTTCTTTTGAGTAATAGCTCCTAGACCGGCCCAGACAGACGCATAAAAGCCTTTACGGTTTAAAAATAGTCAAGGGACTATGAATGGTTTTCTCTCCGACTCATACCTAATTATAACATTGTTTATCTGTTTTTTTCTTCCTGCTCATTTCGCCGGTATTTATAGCCGTAAATATTTGATAAAACCGGAAGCGCTGCACCTGATCAGCCAACCAAGGAAACAATATTTCAGTCCTAAACATATTTGCTTTTACTTTTCTGCAAGACTTTGAACTATCTACAAAGCACACAGATGGTAATAATTGTACGTTTGGTCAAAAGTCGAAAGAATAACGAGATTTCAGATAAGCCTAAAGCGATAAGCAAGTGAAAGCGAACCGAAAGATATTCGGTAGTTAAATCTAATCTAATGTTATTCCATTTGTATTATTATTATTATTAATAGGATTTAAATAGGTGCGCTATGTTAATATAGTATAGTTAATATATATAGTATGGTTTTCGTTCTCTTGCCTCTGTGTTTTGTAAGGTGCAATTGATGGTCTTCCAATTTGCGGTATTGGTGCAATTGCAGGCCGAGTGCAGACATAATTCCTCATCGCTATAATCCCTTTTGGAATTGTACGCGGATACACCATCCAGAAACATCACCGAACAGCACACCATCACCATAAACTGGACGATAATCCACTGAACACCCATAATAACTTTTCTTCATTATTTAGTCAATTCGCGACGCACATCGGCTTTTCTTTCGACGATGAGATCTTGATGATCAGATCAACAACAGAAACTGCAATAAGTTTTCCTTTCCCCTTTTTGTATACGGGTTACAACACGCACTCTCGTACACAACAACACTGGCCGAACCACAAGACTGGTTGTCGCAAGTTTAGAACCGCTCGCCGCTCGTTGAACTATTGGACTGTGTTGTTGTGGTGGGAGGAGACTTCAGCTCGAAGGATTCAAGCATGCCGATGGTTTCGGTCATCAAAGACACGAACGACACTCCCTTTATCTACTCGTTATCGCGTTGCATTTTCGTTATTAATGTTATTATTATTATTTTTCATTTTTTTTAGATTAAAATGTATATATGATGTTAAATTTTCTCTCTGCAGAGTGCAATCAAACGAGCGACTGTTTCTCCGAGATTTCGTGGGATGCGTGGCCGGGTCAAGCGGCGGTCGCTTGGCCCAGTGGCTGCAGCCAGGAAGTCGCGTGGATCCTTCTAAATGTCACGTAATTTACTCGCGCGAAGACATTCGTTGCGGATGGCCAGCTATTATCACACTGCTCACCTGCGACCAACACAAGGATGTCGTGCACGTCCCCAATATGAAGGTGCGCTCAACATCTTAATAAATTTTGCCGCCTGTCCGATCATTTATCGTTCATTCATCTTTCAGGTGGAAATTAAGGCCATCCCCATTGACAAGAAGGAATTGGGTGACTGCGATGCAGGCCGGAAAATGAGGCGCGTAAGCCAACCGGATCCGTTGACCTTTGGTGGGCTTCCGCCTCCACCGCTCCATCATCCTTACGAACCCACTGTCCGCGATAAAATGTGCTTCCATTCCATAACCGTGATGAAGGTAATTAATTCAATCGCATTCCGTGGCAGCTATTTACACGTGTGATGATCTTCCAGCCGTATCAGAATTATTCATTTGAGGAGCTCAGATACACCTCGCCACCTGTGAAGAGGTCAAGCGAGAATATGCTGGTCAGACCGAACGGAGACGGAACTTACTCCGCCACTTGGACGCCAGCTTCCGTCGGTTGCTATTCGTTAATGGTCAACATCGATGGTTACGAAATGGAGGAACAATTCAAAGTGGAAGTAAACGAACCTCCACAGGGCATGACGCCGCCAAGTCAAAACTTGGCTAAGAAGTCTTCGTATCAGCCAAGCAAATTGAGAAAATTCGTCGCGAAAAACTCAGCTGGTTTAAGAATCCGTTCGCATCCTTCGTTACAAAGCGAACAGATCGGTGTGGTACATGTTAACGGTACCATAGCTTTCATCGACGAAGTAAATTTCATTTTATCCGATAATGAACACGTTTCAAATATTAATAAAAATAAATTTCAGATACATAATGATGATGGTGTTTGGTTGAGGCTTTCCGCTGACACCATCAAACAGTATTGCAATAGCGCTATAATCGAAGCTTGGTGTTTGCAATACAATCAACATCTAGGCAAAACATTACTATTACCAGTAGAAGAACCTAAAACGATGTTAGATCAAGTGTTAAATGAAAGTATGCGAAAAGTTCCGGTCCCGGAAATACAGGATAGGCGAAAGACGCCATCCAATGGGTTCTCTGGTGGATACCAGGTGATCAAATGCGGTGCTTCCGGACATAACGTCCGATCCAGGCCCAGCTTGAAAGCACCGCCCGTTGGAATGCTCGTTTTAGGTAACAGAATCGGCGTTAGCGAGTACATTGTAAACCCTGACGGGTGCTGGGTGCTTTTAGATGAAGCAACCAAAGAAAAATATTGTTTTAATATCGATGGGGAGGCCTGGTCTTTGGCCATGGGTCACAATAACACCCTGTATTTGGGAACAGTAAATCCATCAGATTCAACCCCATCGATATCTTCGGTTAAAACTAAAGGCTTTGATTTCAACACCACTACTCAAACTTTTGTAGAACACCCCTTCACATTCGGAGTGAATCCAGTCCCGACACCTCCGGCCCGACCGGTGGAACCTCCGCAAACCTCAAGCAATCCTTTTGTATTTGGCGATGGCGGTAGACCAGATTCTCCGAAAGTTCCCAGACGCGAGAAAAAAGATGCTAAATTGACGAGTTTGCCGAAATGGTTCAAAGGCGATGGTGACGTCAAAGACTCTGAATTAACCGGTGTCTCAGTGAAAGACTTGGTTAAAGCCATCGGCGAATCACGTGCAAATGGTAACGGAGTAACACCTCCAGACACTCCTAAAAGATCGTGCAGTCCTCGTGCGGGACATTTCTCTCCGAAACCTATGAGCAGCAGAAGTTCCAGTCCAGTTGCGATCCCTCCAAGAACGAATCTAGTCCAGGATAGCACCTCAAGTAGTCCTCCAGTTTTTGGATCACCGAAGAGCATAGGGATTTCTCCTTTAGTCGCGGGTCATGAGTTAGTAAGGAGCAGCTCGAATCAATCGGATACAAGCGCGCTTGTCAGCAGTATTACCAGAGATTTATCACAGTCTAGTCAAGTAACCCAAGCTAAAGATTTATCTCCTAGTCCAAGTGGAAGTTCATTGCACACTCAATCTGAAAGTTCCAAGATAGAAACAATCTCAGATGATGCACCGAAATTGCTAACGCAAACCGGAACACAAACGTCTCCCGAAGACAGCAGTCAAACTCCGCCACCTCCTTTGAAAGGATCCTTTTCCATAGGTACAGTTAGCAAGGAAGACCGAGTTTCCCCGAAAATGATAAGAAAAGATAGAGCAATTAGTAAGGGTCGATCGAAGCGAGCTATTTCACCCACAAGTTTCCAGCAAATTCCGACAACCAGTAAAGTGCAATATCCAACTGTGGAAGTTGTCAAGGAAGCTATGAGCCCGTCTGTTGCTGAATCTCTCAGGGCTGTATTTGCCGCATTCTTGTGGCACGAAGGGATCGTTCACGATGCCATGGCCTGCGCTTCTTTCCTCAAGTTCCATCCAACTTTACCGAAAGAAGGAGCACAGGTGGTTACGCGACATCCCAATTCTGATTCCCCAGTGGATAAACGCAAGCAGGAACTAACTAAAGAGGAAAGAGCGAGACAAAGACATTCCGTCGAGGTGACGGGAAATTATTTACACATTCAACCATCAGTTTTGGAATCGCTGACCCGTTCAGCAGCCAACGCCAGTGCGAATAGAAATCGAAGTAGAAAAATTACAGAGAGCACAATTAAAGAAGACGTTGCTACTGGTGGCGAGAACTATGGTTACCACACGATTTCGGTGCTTCCTCCAGCTTTAAAATGCTTAGTTTTCCTTTGGGAAGAGTTGAGTACTAATTGTCTGCAAGCAATCACCCAGCAGATGACGACAAACGAAGCATCGACTAGCAAGTCTAAAAAGTACGAGAAAATGGGTTCCATGAAAGAGAAAGAAAAGAATTCGGCTCTGGACAAGGAGAGCAAACGGAGTAGAAAGAAAAAAGTCGTGCCGAAGAACTATATGGAGGAGATTGGTGTGCCCCCTGTGCAAAACAACAGTGAGAGGGATACACTGTGCGAATTGTGCGGAGAATTATTTTCTCACCCGGTTACGTACCACATGCGACAAATGCATCCAGGATGCGGGCAGCATGCAGGAAGTAAAGGGTATAATTCAGGTGGAAATTATTGTTTAGGATGGGCGGGAAGTTGCGGAGAGGGTGGAACGCGTAAGTGATTATAATTATAATTCGCTTTTCAATATTTAACTTTATATTTTTAGCTGGAAGTTCTTGGTATTTGCTGTGCGAAGGATGTCGTGAGAAGTTTTTGAAAGCTTCCAAGAATAAGAGTATGCCTGCCAAACCTAAAAGTGCGTCTTGCCGAAGGAAGAATGCTTTTGTGAGATCTTTGATATCGCCTTGCGCGACTGCAGGGAACGAGGCTCATGTCATCATGAAGAACAACGCTATGTTTCTATTGGAATTAGCGAGTTCAGCAGATACCGGCATTACACATCCCAGAAGACCGTCCTCGACAGTTATGCCTTCCGTCGCCGAGAATGGCAGTTCTCCTCCGGAAGTGTCCGGGCCTTTCAGTCCAATCCCGCCCTTCCAATGTCTACAATCTTTAGGAGCTCATGACGCTAGGGATGCGCCTTTCTACGAAGAAGTTCTTCGTAGGCAAAGTGCTTTAATAGATGGTTACCTACCAGGTCCTTCTAATGGTCAAAGGGTAAAAAATGACGACACACAATGTTATTTACTTTTATTAATTTAAAATAATTGCAGCCATTGTCAGAAGTATCTTTATCCGATGATGGAGACTTTGGGAAAGGCATGCGTTTCCACAGATCCGTTTCAATGGGAACCAATGGAATTCCCTGGGCCAAAGGTGGATTGGATGGTCGGATTATAATGTTGAGAAAGAGAAATAATAGCAGTTCGGAAATGATAAATGGTAATAACTCTTAAAATATAAACATGTATACGTTAACATTAATATTATTAATTGCAGAGGGTGGATCTTCGCTTCTTTGCAATCCGTCGCCAGCGCTACAAAAGTTAGTGCCCAAAATGGACAGTTCAGCAATTGTATCGAATCATTCGTTGAATTCTGAACAATTATTGGATGGAATATCGTTATTGCAAAGGCCGGTCATGCAATTTTTAGTGCAGCAGCACGATTTAATATCGTTAAAATTGGCCATGAAACAAGCATTAAGGTATTTATTGATGAGCAACAATAGTACGATTCCATTTAATTTGTTTAATTTATTAAAGGAAGGCGATGTGCAGAGTGTACGCGATGCAAGCTTTGAATTGGCTGCTGCGTTCGGTGACGCAACCAATATGTTTGCACGATTTGCTCTGGTGGTTCGTGACATCGTTAACCCCTGCAGATGTAGAGCTCGAAACGGAAGACGACAATAAACCTCCGAAGAAGTTGGACGAACAGGAGATGAACGTTTGCGAGCATCCTCTTTCTGATATAACCATCGCCGGAGACGCGGTCCATCCTCTACCAGGAACTTTTCACAGTTTATTGCAAACCATAGCAGATCTCATGGTACTTCTACCTATGGGTTCAGGGTTACAGCAGATGGCTGTGAGATGCTGGGGATTGCGATTTGCTACATCTGATCATACGTTCCTGCATCGATCGCAGGTCTTCAGTAATATCAGCAAAATATTGTCGAGAAGCGAGGAATTGGAGGACACGGCTGTGTCCATGCACGAGAGTGTCAATATCATTAATTGCTCTGTCGAGGGTCTCAAAGATTTAACTCCCTTATTAGATATCAAAGCAAGCAGCAGACAAGCCATGGTCGGTAGTTTAACAGATGGATCTACCGAAACCTTTTGGGAGTCCGGAGATGAAGATCGCAATAAATCTAAGAGCATCACTATTGCTTGCGCTCAGGGTCACCATCCAAAATTAATCTGTGTCCATATAGACAATTGTCGAGATTTGGCGGTAAGTTTTTTTTTTATAATTGTTATGCTAATCAAAATGTTGTGACTAATATAATAACATTAACTTTCAGAATAAAATATCAAATATAATATTTTATTCAGGACCTAATTCTGACGAACTAACAAAACTAAGAAGTGTTGAAATTGAGACAAGATTACTAGGTGGTTGGGTAAATTGTCCTTTGTTAGGTACTGCTCATTAATTATGATTATTGCATTAAATAATATATTTTTCACATTTTCAGATGGAAATCACGACAGCGTATTGCGTTTGGAATTGAAAGGTCCCGACAATTCGGTGCGCATTCGGCAAATATCTATTTTAGGTGAAATCGATGGAGAGAGCCTGAAAGTTGGAAAACTCTACAGTGCTTCCACTATTCAGCAGAGGAACTGCGAAGGGGAAACATTAAGGGTCTTCAGGTTGATCACTTCTCAGGTGTTTGGAAAATTGATAATGGGAGATGGCGATATCAGCCAAGAAAACAACCACCTGTCTTCTACTGTGGAAGGTGGAGAACCTTTGGAGGAAAGCAATGAATTGCGCGAACATATGGTTGGGATATTATTTAGTCGTAGCAAGTTGACCCACCTTCAAAAACAGGTAAACTCTAGTTATTTCGTTATTGAAACATATATGTAAATGTTTTTAAATTTAAGGTGATCGTGCATATCGTGCAAGCAATCCGCAAGGAAACAATACGTGTTAGAGAGGAATGGGAAAGCTTTCTTTGCAGTGCTACAGGTAATTCAACTGGAAGCTCTGGATTGAGCGGTGACGTGGCCAAGAATTCAGACACGTACTGCTTTGAAATGTTATCGATGGTTTTGGCGCTATCTGGAAGTTCCGTCGGTCGAACATATCTTTCCCATCAAGGAGGTCTTATCTCAGATCTGCTTAGTTTACTGCACACCGGAAGTGCTAGAGTGCAAAGACAAGTCACCTCATTGTTAAAGAGAATCTTACCTGAAATACATCCGGAATCCTTCGCTAAGATGGTTGCGGTAGATAACTTGCCGCCAAGAGATTTCAGCATTGTCTCTGCTGAAAACAAATCGGGCAATTTCGATACTCATCGGTACGATTAACAAATCGATGTACTGAAAATATTTATTAAAATATAATTGCGTTTTGTTTTAGCATGGGAATCTTGGACGTTTTCTTGAGTGTCATTGCTAAATCTTTAACTGTACAGGTAAAAGTTAAAGGTAAGAACGGTACCGGCGCTGCCACCAAAGAAATTAACACGGTGACTTTGGCAACTTCGATTCATCCGAAGGATTATGTCGGCAACAGGTGGTGGTTAAGAGGATGCACGAACAGAAAGTTGGCTGAAGTTATCGTGAACTTAATTAAAGAATTAGCTTCGGTAAATTATTATTTTTATTTACGCAATATGTATATTATTATGTGTTTGTTTATAGGGAAAACTTTCGGAATCTTGGGGTAACATCACCAAAGGTGCTATAGCTCAAAATATTCTTTATTTGACTCATCTAAGTGATGAACAAAGGGTACCGACGCATTGCCTTCGCACTCCAACTCTCTGGTTGGCTTTGGCTTCGCTCTGCGTTTTGGATAAAGATCATGTTGAAAGGTTATCTTCTGGTCAATGGACCAAATCAGATGGTCAACCAACTCCGCCCAGGCCGACATGCACCAATCACGATGACGGCGAAACAAACGCAGTGATCCAATGCACCTCTTGTGGGAATTTATGTGCAGACTGTGATCGCTTCTTGCATTTGCATCGGAAGACTCGGAACCACCACCGACAGGTTTGCAAGGAAGAGGAAGAGGCAATCAAAGTCGAATTGCACGAAGGATGCGGAAGAACGAAACTGTTCTGGTTATTGGCTTTGGCAGATGCCCGAACTCTGAAAGCCCTGATTGAATACAGAGAAGGTGGAACCAGATCCAGAGGGGCGGAGACTAGCGGTGTTTGCAGATTTTGCGGAGCCGTCGGCAGCTCAGGTCTTCTGGCTATTGGCAACGTCTGCGCCGATCAAGAATGTCAAGTGAGTGTTTCAATATAGTCCTGATGATTGCTCTTAAATTACATCTTTAATTTCGTTTCAGGAATACGCAAAGACTGCATGCAGTAAACTCATGAATTGTGGCCACATGTGCGGCGGAGTTCAAAATGAAACCAACTGCTTGCCATGCTTGCACGGTTGTTCTTCCGATTCCAATTTGAGGCAAGACGCTGATGATATGTGCATGATCTGCTTCACTGAAGCACTATCCTGCGCACCCGCGATTCAGGTACCGATTACAATAATTGTGCCATTGTACAATTAATTTATAAATCATATTTTTTTTAGTTGAGATGCGGTCATGTATTCCATTTGCATTGTTGCAAAACAGTTCTGACCAAGAGATGGGCGGGGCCAAGGATCACCTTCAGCTTCTCGCTTTGTCCTATTTGCAAGGTAATTGATTGTTCGTAGCTATAAAAATCAGCGTTTAATTGTCTTATTGTAGGGCAACATTGAGCATGAGGAGCTCAAGGAATTGCTGGAGCCTGTGGTGGATCTCTACAAGGACGTGAGGAGGAAGGCTTTGATGCGATTGGAGTACGAGGGGTTGCATACAACTGAAGCCATCGTAGCGCCGGGCGCTCGTTTTTTCAACGACCCTGCCACCTACGCTATGGATAGATACGCTTATTATGTTTGCTTCAAATGCAATAAGGTACCTATGATTAGTGGTCATCAATTAGAACCGATTTATAATGTTTTTTTTTGTTCGTTTCGAAGGCATATTACGGCGGTGAGGCTCGGTGCGATGCCGAGGTCGGGGAGCAGTACGATCCAGCAGAGTTAGTTTGTGGAGGCTGTTCCGATGTGGCCAGGGCCCAAATGTGCCCAAAACATGGAACCGATTTCCTCGAGTATAAATGCAGATATTGCTGTTCCGTCGCCGTCTTCTTCTGTTTCGGAAGCACGCATTTCTGCAATCCTTGCCACGACGATTTCCAGAGGGTCACCAATCTGCCACGTAACGAGTTACCCTCCTGTCCAGCAGGTAATTAAATATTCTCAGCTTCTACCGCATTCCTTATTAAGTTCATCGAGGAATAAATTAATTGCATTAACTATTTACATTTCAAATGCGCACAGTATATTGTATTTTATTCAAAATTCCAATTAACATTCGCGAGAGTGTTTGTATTATGGTGCGCTTCAATTGCATTTGCGATGGTAATTCTATAACGATACGCGACAGCTTTGATGATGGATAATAATTAGGTTTACAAAACAACAATATAAGGAAAAAAAAGTGCTCTACGACGAGTTCCGCAGCCGCTGCCAATTTGTAACGCGATATATTCTCTTCGCATTATTTTTATAAAACCATTGTAGGCCAACATACTTTGTCCCGAAGAATATCCGTTAGAGCGTCCCAGTGACATAGTAGACGCGATTCATTTCATTTTGAGTGTACATCTATAAAATCCGAAGATACACCAATTATCTTTAGTTACAGTTGATTATTATTATTTTTTTTAGGTTGAAGATGATTTTTAGGAGAATAATTTGTTTCAATTCGATTTGTAGGTCCGAAAGCCAAGCAATTGGATGGTGAGGAGTGTCCGCTCCACGTGAAACATCCGCCCACAGGAGAAGAGTTTGCATTGGGCTGCGGAGTTTGCAGGAACGCCCATACCTTTTAATCGCACCCACCTTAAATAATAAGGAAGGAAACCATGTCTCTTCATTTTTTTTGTAATCCCTTTTTAAGACTGCACTCGAGTATTTTATAACATTTACAGGAGCCACTCAGTATATTTAACTAATATATATATATATATTATCTAATGATTTTGTGATGACTATTTACATAATTAATGTATTTATTTATTTTATAGATTTAGTCCGTAGCAGTGCTCGCATTGCCTGTTTATTTAAGAAATTTGTGTCGGCTGCAATTTGAGCCCATTTAGCGTCTATTAGTCGAAAAATGAAAATATGTTTGCCGCAGTCACAGGATACGTTGTTTATTTTTGTTCTCTCTCTCCCATCATGCAAATCATCCGTTTCCCGATTTCCAATTTTCCGTGAAATTAGAACGAACGAAAAAGAAATAATACAACAACAAAAAAAGTATAAATTTGTGGGAGATTTTTGTTGCTAATGAACCATGGCACGACGAGAATCAGGAAACAGTTACGTATTTTATTTTTCTGTGAGAATAAATATATGTATATATATTTTTTCGTGAAGCGAAGAAATAATTGCTGTTATTAAAGTGGTAAATCATACGGACTTCCTTCACCTCCCGAAACCCGGCCGTGGCTTGTAATTTGACCTCGGGGGAAGACCAAAACATCCCTTTGTGTAATTCGCAAGGACACATATATGTTTGTATACACACATATATTTATAATATGTTTTTTTTTCACTGCTAATTCTATGCGGGTTCAAGAGTGTATCGAATGTCGTGTCGTCGTCGTCGTAAGGATTCGCTGCGAATCCGAAACCGGAAGGACGAAGATTATACCACCTTTTTATTATTGGAGGAGTCCAAGGCTGCTTCCGAAACGAAGCACCTGTACCGTGAAGTCGAGGATTTTTTTTTTGTTGAATGCAATACAACATTCAAACATCCATACATGTATATAATACACACAGAGGACAGAGAGGAAAAAATGAAAGTACACGCGGAGAGCGCAATTTCCGCATCAACGGGACTGAAAATACGCCGCGCTCTACGACGACTAATCAACGTTATCAGAGAGCATTCTTCGTCGCGCTCTGGAGCGATCAACATCGCAACAAATTCGTGTTTCTCTCGAGATCTTACGACTTAATTGTTATTAATTAGAACACACTATCTGGTCGCGATTGCACACGGAGCTGCAGATAACGGACTCTCACCGATATTTCGGCATTAATTTGTTCTGTGAGAAATTTGTGAAACTTTAATGCGTGCGTGCAGTGGAAAATGCGGAAAAAGTGGTGGCAAAAGGGCGAGAACAGCAGGATCAACGATGGCAATCCGGTGAGTCAATCATATCTTATTGCCAATACTAATTTAATATTATTACTTTTATTCAATCATGCTTTTGCGAAATCGATCGATAAAACGATATTGGATAGGACGGAGAGAAAGCATTGATATCCCTTATCGCGATATATTATTACTAATAAATTCATTAAAATCAACTAAAATTAACTTCATCTATCACCAAATGCACTAATTTATCGAGCATTTCAAATATCCAAATTATCCAAAATTGTAACAATTTTAAAATCCAAAACTAAATATTAACATAAACGATTATTTACCCAATTAAACAACAGAAACTAAAATTAAAAACCGCAATTACCAACATTTTTTTGTTTCTTTAGATACTTTGTAATTTTATTTATCAATTAGTTTATCAAATCACCTTCACAATTTAATTAAAATAAAATATATAGATAAACACGTTTTATAACTGTTGATCCGCTTTAATCCAATTTATTTATAAACATTGATTTTACTGTAATTCGTTTGAAAATCCACTCTTCCACTATGAATATTTCACGACGAATCCAATCAATGTCTATTTGCAGTTATAAAACCAATCCTTAATATTTCAATCAACGTTATTTTCTTTATCCATTTGAATATGCTGTAGTCATTAAAGAGTATTAAAGTTTCCGAGAAATATGAAATTTTGCAATCTTAATGTAATTTTCTTCAAAATTGTAATCTCATCTTTACTTAAATTCATTGTAAATAAACAGTAAAGTTTCGAATCATTACAGTAATTTAAGTTATAAACTAGAAGGTTTTGTTGATAAAGAATGGAACAATTTAGTACATATTAATATAAGATTAGATAAAAAAAAAAGATATTTGAAAATGATTGATAAATTCATGTATTTGAAAGTTAATTTCCATTTTGTTAAATTTTGTCATTTATTTTCTTATCCCATACATTAATGCAATTATAATTATATAAGCAAATATTTTCGATACTTAATTTAACGAAATGTTTGTTCTTCTCTAAAAGACTTATAAGAGCACCAACTGCTCAGAATATGCACATTTGCAGTTTGATTTTTAATGAAATGAATGAAATTAAGTTCATGTTTAATGAGGAAGAACATCGTTCTAACTATCTGCAAACTGCTTTTAATCGAATCTAATAAACCGATCGGAAAAGGAAACCAATTTACGACGACGACGACGGTGATGGTACCTCCTCATTAGCCTAGAATCGGATCGGAAAGGTTTTTCTCGCTCTCCAATTAAGCATAGAATCGCCGAAGCCGGAAGTCATCCGCGGGTTTGCGCAACGGCCGCGCCGCTATCCCGGAAGGATCCTTGAAACTGTTTACGCGATCGGCATCATCATAACCATCATCATCATCACATCATGAATGCGGGAAAAAAATTATATATGGTGGAGGAGCAAATTTTGAATTGAAGAATGGTGCAGCGGTTTTGCACAATCACCGAGTGGGAATCGTCCCTTGCGCAACTCCCATCGCTGTCGCAATACGAAGAGAACAACAACAACAGCAGCAGCAGAAGTATGCGAAAGAATTAATTCTAATTGAATGTTTCGCTGCGAATACATTATCCCATTGTCCTTTGATTATTATTTTCATATTAGATCGGAATCTAATTAATTGTTGCTAAATATCGTCGAGGATTCCGCTAACTATGTAATACGTTGCGTAAACATTCTCATGTTCTCTTGACACTTTTCACGGCTCTAGGAGGAAGTTTAGCAACGCGCGTAACGGATATCAGTTGGATTATTATTCTTTACCAATTGAGAACCTTGCGTTTCTATGTTCAATTCTGGAGGTAAAATGAATGCAAATCCTACAACTAAAATGTTTATATTTGATTCGAATGCTAATAGCAACGTAAAAAGTTAGCTCGCAAAGTCAGAATGAAAGCGATTGGTTTTAAATACTTTTTTTTTGTAATTTAATTAAATTTGTACGGTTTACGATTCCGGTCCAATAACAATAACACGGCTGCATACATATTTACAAACGCCACCTGTAGATATGAATGTGTGTATGTTTACGGACGCACTTTCAGCGCCGTTTTATTATTTACTTCATGAGTCAACCGACGATGATAATATTATGTCTGCGGATTTAATGGCGACTCGTTGACCACTCTGACCTTTACCATTACATGTTTTTATTTTTTTTTCATTTGCTCTCAATATAATAATACAAACAGGTCCACGTTTTGTAGCGGAAATTAAAAAAGAAACAGAAACAGAGAGAAATAATGCGTGAACGCAATTAATCCGATTTTCGTTTTTCACGGTAATTACGTAATCCCGTTCGCGACATGCAAAATCTGTTACCAAATGTGGAGGGGAAACAATTGTTTCTGTACTTGTTTTTTTTTTCTTTTCTTTCTCATTTAGTGTTTTGTTTTGTAAGAGTTCAATTATTTCCTCGGAATATGAAATCATTTCTGGTGGATTGCGTAACCGGTCGAATCGATCTGAAGCAAAACGCGTGCTAGTAATAATATTCTGGTTTACTTACTTAACGCGGAGACAGACTTATGCAATTGACTTGCATCGTACGTAACATCGCGCGCGCACGTTAAAATTACGTTCGTTTTTTTTTTTCAAATCATATATTTCATTGATAATTGCCTAAACGATCCGGAAAACCATTCTATTTATACAAATCGTGGAGTCTCTTTTAATAAAGCTTTCTTGCAAGTAATTAACGCTTCGGTTTAAAAAAACACACACAGAATATAATGGAAGGAAACGCAAGTTTCATTCGATGATTTAATTGTCTGACGTGCTTATGAAAACGTATTAGTTATGAGGTGATGGCATTGAGTGAGCGCCAGGCATGTTATTTAATTTCGTTATCATCAAGGTGAAACGGTTTGTGTGTGTGCATGTTTTTTTTTAACATTACGTTAATGAACGACTAGCGTAAAATATTACATTTCCCATTGGTGAATAAAACTATAACTAAACGACTACGTATTGTGTACGTATGTACACTACATAGATCTCGGAGATTTGCAAATCCTCTTACTTGCATTTCAACGAGAAGAAATTAAATTTCACATTTTCTGCTCCCGTTTTGTGTTCTCCGCAAAAATCTTGCACGCAATTTCATTTCGCATTCTTCTCTCCATCCACTTTCAATCTATATTCAAATTTCTAAATTTATTATTTAGAATACATATGCAATTTAGTTTACATAAATCTCAATTTCATATATTAGTTAAAGAACGTTTTTAGTTTAGTTTAAATCATAATTATCCATTAACATATTATGACTAAGTAGATAAAGTATACAGATTTTCTTATATTGAATTGAGAAAGTTTTTAAAGTCATCGAACAAATCTACTCAATGTTTTCACAAAAAAATAAATTACAATTAAAAGATGATATTAAAATTATATTAAGAAATTGTTGTGAATAAGCGAGGATGATTAATTTCCACATGTCGTCCCGGATGTTTTTAAACAATGAACGCATATTTCTTGTGCACGATCAAAAGCGCAACGATAAGAAGTCGATAAGTCGCAAATATTGTTGCGCTTTTCTAAAATAATGTTTATTTTCACGAAGCGTAAGAGAAAACACGATTGCAAAGTTAATTGTTTTACTAATGTTCTCAATATCGAAGGCTGCAGCGCTAACTATTATTCTTTTTCTTTTTTTTTTATATATATTTATGTATATACATCTAAAACGTTTCTCATGGACTTGGCGCGCTGATTCATCTGGGATCAAAGTGGGACAGGAAGTCGCGAATCTATACAGGAACTTCTGTAAAAAATCGTATTACGTACAGTAAAATTGTGTGAGCGTATATTTATTTTCGCGTGCGTTGGTATTTTATCGACTCTTTGTCCGGGCGATAACAAAAGTAATTCGGATGATTCACGAAACTCTACATTAAAATGTTATATACAGATATGCTACATAATCAAAAATTATTCAATTTACTCATAAACTTGCGAGAACACAAATATTATCAATGAAGATGTTTTTTAGGGTTTTAAGTTTAACTTTGAAGATTTGTTAAACGACGAAGATCTTTCGTTTTTGTTTCCAGAATAAATTAATGCTAAATATTAGTTGATTATTAGTTAAATTGGTGCATTTATATAGGTTTTGAACTTAAAAAAAAAACAGATTTTATTAAAATTTCGATGATTTTTAATAAATAAAACAGTAACTTTCGAAATTTGCAAATTGCAATTATTTCTAATTAATAGGACTTTCGTATTTATTTCTCCAGAATGCTGAATATTATATGTTTTTGAGACTGTAGAAATTGTTATTAATTTTAAACTTTTATAGCGTCTTGCATAAATAAATAATTAATTGTAAAACCGAAAGGTAACGGTCGTTAAACTCGTTTCGTTTGCGCATATCAATTCCGAATAATATTTTCGTGAGCGCAAATTCCGCTAAAAACAATTAATGATTGAATCACGCGAATCATCAACATCATCATCATCCTCATCATCGACTCATTTGAAGCCTTATCACATATCTCTTCAGAAATGCGGATACCTCTTCTTTGAGGTCACGAAATTCCGAGCTATACAAGTGGGATGACTCAGGCAAGGTCGACCTTCGCAAAAAAAAATAAATTCTAATTGCGCTTACTTGTTTTCTGCTGTTATTATCGATTCGCAAACGTAACTTCTTGTTTGATCAAGCGCGTCAACGGGAGCTGTTATCTCTTATCGAGCGGGTGCTGCGTTTTTCGTCCAGAAGCGAAAGGTGTTCCGGGAATCGCGCGCCCACTTAAAACCCAATTATTCCGAGGGGAATTTTTAATGTCAATCGGTGGAGGCACTCGCTAGGTGCAATAATTTCATTCGTTTCGTAACGTGTGCGGCGAGTGGTTCGTATCTGAGAGTTAGTTGTTGTTGTTGTTGTAGCGATATTTCGTTTGAAGCAGCGCCGAAATTACTGGGTTAGTGGGTTTTTTTGCTGTTCTTGCTAATTGTCACGGTTCCTCGAGACTTGGTAATTAATGTAATTGTTTGTGTTTTTAGATTGCAACGAAGTTCACGCTGTTCTCCGACGATTACCAGCCGAAACTGCTGCGGAAGGCGCCGTCGATGAGGGTGGTCAAGAATTACAACAACATCTCCACGGATGCGGACATGAGCGAATGCTACGATAATTTGACTTTCATCAAGGAGGATGGTGATATCCACGCCAAGGATTCGGGGAACGGAAGGATCGTCGATCTGTGCAACATACACGGTGATATGACTCTTTCCGGGCACATTTACACCACGGAGGATTGCTACGGAACCATGGCTTCGAAATCTTCGATGTCGAATACGGTGATGAGTTCGGATAGCGGCAAGGAGGAGCTCGGATCCACCGTCAAGCTGGTCTCTCCGAAAGTCCAAAAGGTCAGTCTCCATCTCATCTCATCCAATCCTAATTGTCTTCAATTGCTGTAAGCGGCTCGCGTTACCACCGGAGCCTGAGCGCTCGTTGCGTAACATTTTCGGGCCCTCAGTGCGCGCTTAGAGATTGCAGAACAGGTTTCGCGAATTCCTTTCGGAACAACAGCAGCAGCAGCAGCAGCAACAGCACTTGTGCATGAGTTTGGCTCGGTTCTTCTTCCCCTTTTTGCCATCTTATCGGACTATTTCAGGCTACACACGAAATGGTAAACACAATGGCCTCGGCATAGAAAATGCAATATAACACATACAAACACACACAGGATTCGAAGGCCAATGGAAATGCATTTCTGCTTCTACTGCCTGTGCTCTCCGTCTCTCTCTTTTCGTACATACACAACAGGAATACAACAGAAACGGACGCACCGAGATTTACTTACTATTATTGTTGTTTGTTCACCTTTTTTTTTTTTTGTCCATCTCACTTCTTCTACCTTCCTTCTATTTCTTTGCTCCTCGAACCGATCGGTTCCAAAGACCCCTTGATAACAGGAACATTTTTGGGTCCGCGTGAGAATCACTTGTCGCTGAGAGGCTGAGCGCGTCGGGCGTCTCTTGTGTCTTCTACTCGTGGTGTGTGCGTTTTGTTCTGTGCAATCTGTCTGCTGTGTGGGAATCTTCTTCATCTATTTCATATGTACACATTATATTCAAGTAAATTTTTGGAGCTGTTGCGCAAATTTTCGTCTTCTCCTTTAACAACCCATGAGAGCGACGAGAGTCGTATGCAGAACGAGATCAGAGGGGAAGGAACCCATCCGTGCGTGTTCTTCGGTGGTGTCTGTGTCCGTCCCCGTCTGCCGGCCAAAGTTATGGGTGATTAGTGCGTGTGTAGGTGCTGACTGACTCTCCAAGGTGGTTCGGTTCGTTGGGTCCATTTCATTCTTAACATGGACAACGCGCAGCAGGTATAATTTAATATTTTCTTCCCCTTTTACAACGATCTCTTCGAAATGCGAAATCCCAAATTCATCCAACCCCAAACATTCTACAATTTTAGTCCAACAATTAACTTAAAAAAAAACAACAATATCCAATCGCTAAATCCAGGAAGTAAATCCAATGTTAACAACATCTCGCAGTAATTTAGAAATTACGTGCCGCAATAAATTACACACCTGAGAAGAGAAGAAAACAACCTGACCAGCAACATATTTTTATTGTTAGTCATTTCGGGCGGAAATCCCCTTTTACTGTTGATCCTCTAGAATATTCTTTAAACCCATTACACAGGTAGTTGTTTTTTTCTTTAACTTATTGGATTTAAACCCATTAATTTCCTTAACCCAGACGAATGGGTCACCATAAATATTATCAACGAAAATAACTTAATTTATACAATAGTTTACCATTACTTAAGCAATTCAGTCTTAAACTTTTTATGTACTTATCTCCTGTTTCAAAAAATACTTAAAAATTTCAAGCGAAACCGAAGATGTAGCCATGTGGTTCCACTTTCCACTTCATTCAAAGTATCCCCCATTCATCACATGATGACTTGAGACAATCTGTGAACATGTTTTTCAGCAGTAGCAGCAACTAATGTTATGTAGAAGGTCAAAAGATTTAAATCTAATTTCAATCTAATTAATTATGAATAAGTTTCGGGGTTTTGTGTCAAGAACGAACCAACAAAAAAAAAATCACTGCTCGTCCTCTTATCGAAGTGTGTCAAAATGTTTGCTGTATATTATTTGCATTTGAAACTATGTAGATTTATTATTATTATTATTGGTGTGAAAAAAGCCTTGGAGTAATTTCTATCAATTGCAGGAATGCATCTGCGCCAATTAAATATCATCTGGCTCAATCATAACTTAACGCATTTGTTGTTTGCGCAGTGATTTGTCGTCTGCTCCATTTCGCAATTTGCTCGACTCATGGCAGAAACTTTCGAAGCAATTAATGGCTTTGTTATGTTATAATCCGGTTAAGTAGTTTCATGAATCACCCGCAACGAATCAAAACTAAACAATAAAATTAATCAAAATTTGTAAATTTCTTATCCCATAAAATACGAATTGTTCAATTAAGAAATTGCTCTCTCCACAATTAAATTCTCTGCATGGGTTTAAGATTAGTTAATTATTAATAAGTAGACTGTTGGTTTCATAATAATTCAGATTATTTGCTTAACATTTTATTATCATTAGAGATTAATCATAGAACAATTAATATTCGTGTTAAAATTAATATTTCTTTTGTAATCATCTATGAAGAGTTTTTTAAAATCTTGTTTTATTTAAAACTTGAAATGTTGAAATGAGTTCACGGCATTGAAATGTTTGTGTTTTACTTATTCATTGTACAAACAAGATTTTTAATTAATGTTGCGCAATGTCGTGCGTCGCTATTTGCATTTCATTCCGTTTTTTGATGCTGCAAATATTTGCGCTGTAATTGCGTTTCTGTTTGATCGTACATAATGCGTTTAAAGATCGGAGGTCGTCGCTTTTTTTTTTCGAAAAATCACACTTTTAATTTCGTTTTGCGCGAAAGTAAATAATGCATATTGTATTGTAATAATAATAATGATGATGATGGCGAGTATGGTGTAAGTTTCTCGTTGCGACAGAATCGTTTCTTCACGGTCATAACTTTTGGTGGACGGGCTTCATTCTTCTTGTATTGCGATTCTTCGTGTACATAATTAATTGGTTAATATGAAGGCATTGTCTTGAGCGCGAGCGGTAGTCGAAGAAACGATCGAAGAATGTGTAATTAACGTTTGGCGATGAGCAGCAATTAAAAAGGAAGTGCAAAAAAACCGGTGCGCAGATTTCCATAAATTATATTTGCTATACGAAGATTATTATCGCAGTTAACTGGATGTTTACTGTACGTGTTACAGCTATTAGATTCGTATACACATCTTGGTAATTATACCAGGTATTGTGATTACTAATAAATAAAGTTCATGAAGACTCTTGAGAGGAGCAGTTATTAAACGACTTGTTTATCTTGCGTAAGTTTGCTGATTAGATAAGCGGCATTAGAGGGAATAGTTCTTGAGATTACTATCTAAATAGGGGGATGTAAATATAAATAAAGCGCTTTGTTCTATTCTTGGAACGATGTTTCTTTTTTATCGCAACGGCAATTTACAACCAAATATCGAATGCGCTTTACTTGGAGGACGGAAGAACGAAGTCACCCACTTTGCTACTCCCAAAACTAGAAGTTTTTAACCGTTTCGCCAAAGCTATTATTAATTGCACACACGTATTGAGCAAGCAGCGTTTATTAATCGCAATTAGTTTTATTGCTAATCCTAGATAATGCCAATTAATGTACACACATAAATCGTTTATCTGTTTTCTTCTTCTGAGGCGAAATCTTCTCCGTACACGAAGGATGATGGCCTCGTTTAATGTTAATTAGAACTATTATTTTATGTCGAGATTTATGCATTTCCTTGTAGAAAATTAATATCCCTTTGTGCCAAGCCATGTGTGTTTCCCATCCCATTATAACTACAACAATTTACGATGTTTCAACCAAAAAACTTGCATCATTCATTTCACCCTCGAATGAAAGACAATATTATATACGATTTCGTTATTATTAAAAAAAAAATTAATGAATTACCTAATCAAGGAATAATTAATAACCTATTGAGTATATATTGCATAAGTTTTAAGAAATAGAAAGTCTCGTTCATGTTTTTTTTTTGTGATATTTGTACAAATATTTCAATTATTAGATAATTTTATGATTTTTTTTTTTTATAAATTTATGATGAATTAATTTAAAATCTTATGTTTTTCAATTTATTAATCGATTTAAATTAGACTTTATAATATTAAAAATGATTTGTTCTTAATTATAACAAAATAAAACTGTTTTAAACAATGTTAAGAAATTGATAAATCTATGAAGAAACTTTCGATTAATTGTTTATTGAATGAATTCGAATTTTGCACCGTGAACTTTTACGTATTGAAAAAAATGTCTTGAATCAATATGTTGTGAATGTGTAAATCTCTGCAGACATTTTTCCATTCATCGGTAATCGATTGCCAGTGCATTGAATACTAAAAAACTATGAATTGAGCATTAATCAATCGTTATGTGTTCTCAACTTTTATTTATTCTTAACGTGTTGACCTTCAACCAATGATTCGAAAACACAAAACATTTTTATTTCATTTTAAAATTAGTGTTTTAAATTATCTGTTTTAGTGGAGTATTGTTACTATACGTTATTAAATGATTGATGCAAGTTTAATATATTTGAAGCTGACGTGCTTAAGGTCTAAAGACTGAATGAATCGATATAAAAAAGTTATAAATACTCTAGTTTAGTGGAGTATTTTTACTATGAGCAATTTCACTGTAAACCCAATTTAAAGCTATGCATATTTCTTTAAAGAGCAAAGTTCGGAATTGATTGAAGCAGAGTGATTAGAGTTGGCAAGAAAGTGCATTTGTGTAGCTTTTTTCCCTATGCAATTTGCATTGCCTTGAAACGCCCGTACTGATACGGAAAGAAGTAAAAATAAACCGATTAATCTTCGCGACAGCCGGGAACTTCTTTCCGCGTTTCTGGTGAACGCAGTTTTGCACTCTACTTGGCCGCGTTCAATTCGTGGCAAATTAGCGCAATTAAACAATCTCAAAGTTAAAAGCCAAAAAGAGAGATAACGAAGATCGTATCTGTTCGCTTCTTGAACTGAAACGAGTAAGAAGAAATTGGAGTAAAATTTTGTATGCCGAACCGAAGACGGAACGGCGGCCTTTCTTCCTTCCTTCCTTCTTTAGCGATGGTCGTCCGTTTCGTTTTTCGTGTGGCAGCCGGCTCTTTACAGTCTGGTGATTCCGAATTCTCGGTGCTCCTTCAGGGGGGTTTCTTTCGTCGGTCGTGGTTGTGTTGTTGTTGTTGTTGCTGAGTGCACGCGGTCGGACGTTTGTTCTTTAGTTCTTTAGTGTTCGCGTGCGCCTCCCGGTGAAAACAATGCACATGCACAATCCGCAAAACGCTCATGAGAAAGTTTGAACGGCAACGGCGACAGTGTTGAACCCCATTCCGCTTTAAAAAAAAAGGAAACGGAAACGGCTCAACACAATACCGCAACGATAACATCGACGACAACGATAGAATCGACGAAAAGTTGTCGAAGATCCGGGAGCGACATGAGATGATGATGATGGTCCCAAGGGCGCTTTGCCATGATCCTCAACCATCCGAATCCGAAGCAGTACGACTTCTACCAGTACCACACGTATCCGCCCCAATTCTACTTGAAACGGGCGCAGGATGCGGGCGACTGGGGATACAAGTACAAGTACTTCTTGAGCACCAAAGATTGCATCAAGTTGTGGATCAAAAATAAAATACGAGTAAGGACAACAAAACATTTAAAAAATTCCTACAACCTCAATTACAAAGACACTCAGTTTAGTTAACTGTATGCAAATCTTATTTACGTTTGTTTTATGTTAAAATTTCATTAATTTAGTTTAACAACAAATAATTAAACAATTTCGATTAAAAAGAGTTAAATTATTCAATTTTCACTTTACATTAGTTTAAAAAAAAACTTTATGTGTTAAAGTGTTAAATTTATAGAGAAGAAGTTATGAAATCATTTTAATTAGTTGTTGTTCCACAATTATATAATGTACGTGAAAAAGGTACAAATATAAAAATAAAAACTAATTGATGGAAATAAAGTAGGTAATTGGATTAAGGAATGGTCGGAAAACGAGTTTTCGTAAATGCACTTTACACTCATTTCGAAAATTAAAGTTCGTGTTTCGTAATAATTTGCTGTAACATTGCAATATAAAATTTGTATCGGTTTATAATTATCTATCAGTTATTTTAATTGGCGTAGAAAGGGAGAATTTTTTGAAGAAGGTTTATAATTGTGTGATTATGATGTTGATTGGGCCCAAGGTATCCGGATATCCTAATTGTAATTGTTAATGATTCCACACGAAAGTCCAATTAATGAGAGCGCTGCCCATTAAATTCTTTCGGAAGTACATACATACATAGATGTGTTATGCAAGGAATTACGACAATTTGAACGCAACAGGGATTGAGTGTGCGTGTATAATTAGGCGATTTGTGCAATAACACTTCTTGTGTCACACGAGTCGACTCGAGCATGTCCAATCAACGGAGTCGGAGGACGAAATGTAAAAGAAAAACGAACATATAAAAAAAATGTGTGCATAGAGAAATCCTTCCGGCTCTCGAAATATTTTTACAAACAAGACCCCGTCGTGCTGTGTAGGTCAAGTGTAGCGCCAAAAATAACGTCCACCACGTTCGGTTTCTGTGCTTTTCGTTTGTTGCGTACGCCAATAGCAGTTTGAAGGTCGTCAATCATTTGGTTTTTAACATATTTTTTTTTTTGGACAAGGGACGATTAGATCGGAATTCTTAGGTTTATGGTACTTTAAATACCTTCAAAGTGGTTTTAATTACACCATTACCTGAAGAAATATTAATGCTTGTTTGAATGCATTTACATTTTTTTCTCTCTCTGTGATTGATAATTATGTGAATACAATTATCATTATTGTGGAAGTATGAATAATCTTGCGTTTGCTTTTAGAGAAATTGTACTTTGAAGGTTGATTGTTTGTACATTTCAATATTAGGTATACACATCAAGAATATGAATTGCCTAGACTAGGATAATCAATAGTTAAGGAAATATCTGAAGATGATGTAAATTTTGTTAATTTATCTGATAATAGTTACATTACGTAAATGTTAGTTTGTTTAATTAAAATAAAATAAATTTATGAAATCTGTTTTCGATTCGAGTCCGTAATCAAGTATTGCTTAATACGTAGAATGCACTTAATCTCCAGAACCAGTTCGACTTACGTTATACGTTCTTTATCTCTAAGAGATATGTTTACATGGATTACGTGCGAAGAGAGATTTACGAAACGTATAGGAAGAGGACTTCTTTAACAATGTGGCATTTATCGATAGTTATAAAATCGAAAATTTCACGTTGATTAACAGTTAGATGGGAATTTGCAATGCAAACGGTCGATCCGTCCGTGTTGCATAATACCAGGCGCGATTCTTTTCCTTCTTTCGTTTCCATAAACGTAATAAAGGCAGCAGCGGCAGCAGCACGCAAAAGTAAATGATTTATATGCATAAAACATTTCACTTCACCGTTACACGTGACATACAGCAATTTCTTTTAATTGCGCCAAGAAATACGAGCACAATCGCTCCACAATTACCAACCGGTCACGCAATTATCAAAATTTAAGATTCTTGTAAACTTTTGTAGGTACAATCTCGTGATGTCCATGCGTGAAGGCCGCTTTGCAATAATGCATCTTGAGAACCATCGCTTCCTGTCTGCTATTAATACATTGTTTTGTCTTCTCTTTCCAGTCATGCAAGAGCTGTCTGTCGCTGATAGAGACCTTCCTGTGCACGGCTTCTGTGGCTGCGGGCATCGGCAACCTCTACCGACTCCCGCAGACCGTCATCTCCAACGGCGGACTTCCGTTCCTCGTCGCCTACGCGATTCTCCTCGTCTTCGTCGGATTCCCACTGCTCTTCCTCGAATTGGGAATCGGGCAGATCGTGCAGGATGGCTTCATGAAGACATGGCGCGCCGTTCCATTCTTCAAAGGTAAGAATAACAAACGAAAATGACGACGTTCTTCGGAGGAAAGTTTTCTGCGACTTTCATTCCGATCCGTCCGCGTGGAATTGCGAAATTCTCCTTGCGTAAAAGCCTTATCGGGAACTCTCCGAGACGGACCGGAGGAATGCGCAAACTTTCTGCTTAGAAATTTATTTATTTCTTCATGCAACGCAATGTTTTTCCTTGTTTTAGGCGTTGGATACGTGAAGCTGTTGGCCGGCTGCCTGATCCTCGTCTACTATCCCCTGCACATGGCGATGTCTTTGTACTATTTGATTTGGTTCGCGAAAGCCTCGCCGCCTTTCTTGGAATGCGCCACCGTCCGGATGGAAAAGGTAATATGTCCACCTACAAATGAAGACACTTGATTTCCACACGTGCTTGATTTGCGTACGCCTTTTACGAAATGATGCAAAGAAAAAGGATTGTTTCGAGCACTTCATCGTCATCGTCCGTAATTGTTTTTATCTTTTGCGAAACGAGGAATTCTGATGATGATGATGATCCTCTCCGATTCACCGCAGAGATGCGTTCATTACATTTAAATTCCTTTCTAAAAAAAAAAACAACAACAAAGATAAAGATCCTGAATAACATATTCATACGTGCGTAATAATGCTGTTCTATCCCAATTGAATTTCAACGAGAACGATTAAACAACGGCTCTCGAGTTTCTGGAGCGAACAATCAATTCAATTCAAACTGATTCTCAATGAGAACAAGAACTGAAAAGATTGATGAAAAGAATATCATCGCATTGATGAAGCAACGAGAGTTTCAAGTGGAGCGATGAAGAATTTCGGTGCATCGAGTTTCTTCACATAATTACGCAATTGTCGGGCGAAACGAATTTCACCTGCACTTGCGTCCTCGGTTAGGTAATCCTCCACCACATACTCTTCATGGTTTTCGAGCTTAATATTAAGCGAATTTATACATATATAATAATAATTAAAAAGAACAGTGAAGAACAGTTAACGTGCTCGCTCTATTAAAGCCTGATTTCAATAATTTTAAAATTAATTCTCCTCGGCGTTACATACATACATACATACATACATACATACATACATAAATATTAGCTTAATCTTATTTTTTTGTTGTTTCTTGTTCGTTCACTGCAGTTTCGCTCCGCCTCTCGCAATTAATTAGATCATAAAAGCGAATTAAAACAAAGGCCGCTTCTTTGTTTTCGTTTGTCGCAGCAGCTGCGGTTATGTTGATTATAATGATGATGATGACCATTGTGACTTCGGTTCCACTTTCACAAATTCGATATCGGCGTTGAAGAAACGCTTTTCGGCTTCCAACATTTACTGATCAATTGGAACAACGGCTGTGATGAAGCGCGTTCGTTTCTTCATTTTTTAGAAAGCATTTCCTATTTTCCATCGGATTATTATTATATTTAAAACAAACCGTGCGATTTGGAGAGATGGAAACGCGGATGCTGGAATTCGTTTCTTCTCTCCACAATTGACAAATCGCGTTTGTTGATATTTTAAAAAAGAATCTGCAATGAGAGAAATGAATAGTATAATTGCATTTATTTAGAAGGAAAAAGTGCTTAATTACTATTTACCTCTATGAGTTTCAAATAGAAAGTATTCTCGAAAATAAAAATTAGTAAATTAAATATGAATCACTTTATTGCCGTTTAGTGCAATCAAATTAATAATAATAACCGAGATTAGTTAGCAGCGAAGTCGTTTCATTAATTATTACTTTATTAAATTTCGAATAGAAAGTATTGGCGAAAAAGGAAACACTTTTCATGCTTTAATAATCAAATGGTTTAGATTTGGAAAAAAACAAAATACTTGTTATATAATCCTATCGAATTTACATGGAATCGCACTTTGCCGGATGAAAGTCTTTACAATTAAGCAATTATTTCCAATTTATCGTTATTAAACAGCACTCTTATTATCTCCTTTCCAGGATGGTTACAAAGCCGACGGAATCAGCGGACAGGAGTGCATCCAGTGAGTGTTTTGCGTTGCATAATTTATGGGATTTGTTTAATTAATTGTTTTCGTTTTTGCAGGAAAACGTTTCTTGAATCACCTTTTGAAGAGCCCACCTGGTTCGGGATATACTCAGCATTGATATTACTGATTTGGTTAATCGTCATGGCCTGGTAATTACAATTACATTTTTTTAATATTAACTTGATAAAAGATGATGGTTTACTGATGATATTTCTATGCTTTTTTCAGGTGCATAAAACGGTCCAAAACGTACGAGAAAGCTTTGATAGTTTTTCTTCTGTGCACTTTGGCGTGTTTGATTGCTCTAATTGTTAAAGCAATCGAAACCAACCAGTTCCAAGGCATCGAGGGATTCGTGACAAACGTCGATTGGGACATCTTGGCCAAGTCTGAGGTGAGTTTTGAGTGTGAATGGAGGAGAGATCTTAAGTACTAATGAATTGATTATAATTAGGTATGGTATTTTGCGGCCATCCAAGTCTTCTTTTCCACTCATCTCGGATTCGGCGTGTTCACCTCTAACGCAGGCGTAATCTACAAAAAATCAAATCCTTTCTGGTAACTTTTAATTTTTATTTTATTAATTGATTTGAAATTGTTCATATTTATATACGTTAATTGCAGGACTTCTTTGGGTTACATTTTCTTGAATTTGGTGTTTGGTGTGCTGGCCGTTTGCTTGTACTACGCCGTTTCACACAACATTGATCCGGCGCCGAGCAACACGACCATCTTCGAAATCCACTTGCTCACCCACATCTACGATGTCGTTTTGCAAGCGGAGGATGCGGACATGCAGATCTGGTCTGTAGTCGCGTATGTTACCATCGTGTTTGCTGGTTTTATAAGCATGGTACGTAATAACTAAATCGTTGCTTTTATTTTCTTTCTAATCGCATGTTCTCCAACAGATAACCATAATGTATACAATCATTAAAGCGTTGAGTCTCGAGACGAAGAACAAGCTACGTTGGTGGCAGTTGAGCCTCGTTCTGAGCTTCATCTGCTTTGTGCTGGGATGCGCGACCCTTCTTTGCCCCGATCTGGACGTGCTGCACATCTTCGATTACTACATCGTAGGAAACTTGATCATGATCACTGTTATATTGGAAGTACTTTCTTTTATGATTTTCTATGGTGAGTGTGCTCTCATTATCACGAACTTGGCAAATCTATTATTGTTTTTTGTTTGTTTTAGGTCCAAAACGTCTTCAATCAGATTTTGAATTCATACTTGGTAATAGCTTGACGACGGTTTGGCTGGGGCTCTGGTATTTGTGTCCCCTGCTCTTACTGGGTATTTTCATTTGGTGTCTGGCGACGATGCCGTTGACCGGATACGATTCCGACGATCCTCTTTGGGTGTACGCCACTGGTTGGGCCGTTGTGGCCGGGGCACTAGTCTTCATAGTAATCGTTGGTTTTTACACGGCCGCCCAGCAAGTGGAATATTTTACATTTGGTGATGTAAGTGCGGTAATTATTTTCTTTAAATGCATATAAATAATTTGATTTGTTTCTTAGAAATTCGTGGCTTCTTTCAAGCCGTCGAGGAATTGGGGACCTACGGATCCGATGATGCTGCACAACTGGATGCAATGGCAGAGCAAGGCTCAGGATGGCGAGCGAGATTTCACATTGAAGAGGCGCGGTACCAAAGAGTACACGCATTCGGTGAAGAATCGTAGCAAGTATAATAGTAAAAGCTACACGCCCACCATCAGCGATTCCTCCACGATATCCGGAACATTGACTTACAAGAAAGGGGATCAGCTGAAGAACTACGAATCCTATTTGCGCAGCAACAGTTACGAAAAACCGCTGAGGGTGACTTCTTTGATCGACGTGATGGATTCCACGCCGATCAACACCTTTCAGAGGAACAGCGTGTCGGGAGGATACAAGACCAACTACAATCCTCTGGCGAATGTAAATAACACGCAGACCGTGCAGGTCAGTTATTTAGATGGTCACACGGATGGATCGACTTCGGAGGGTTACGGGACTTATAGGAAAGGGCCTTTCGTCATTGAAGACGACGGCTTGGAGCACGTCTGTCACAGGAGGAGCAGCTTCAACGAGCAGGCAACGGAACTTTGAATGGAAAATTGTAATTGAATGATTGTAAATACGTTGAGAGACGAAAAAGAATGAAAGAGAGAAAACGGATAGTGCCATTCCATTTGAAGTCAACCCGAGGCGACATTTTCCTTACACCAAATATTATCGTTTAGCATTTCGGCATTTTATTTATTTAGGGACTTTATACGTTTTATAAAATGTACTTAAATGCGAAAACCGTTTGTTGTATATATATATTTTGCATATAGTTTCTTGATTATTTTCTAATGCTACTACCAATATTTTTTTTTTGTAAATACCTTGAAGACTGCTCTATGTAATACTTATTATATATATATATATTTACTTAACTTTATTATTATTTTTTTTATATTGTCTAGGACTAAATCAAATGACTTTCTCTGAAAAAATATATGGAAGAATTTTTTGAGTCTACGAGATTGAAATATCTTTATAAAAACACGTTTATTCTTATTTATACAAACACCTAAATATCTAATTAAGCTTCGATGCTGAAGCAGCTGTTCCAGGCTTTCGCGTTGACCTGCTTGAGGATCGTCTTCAGGGACTTTCCAGGACCGCATTCGAACGTTCGCGGGAAATAATCGTCGGGGTTTCGTTCGTACACCACGTGCAACAGTTGCTCCCATTTCACTGGTTTTACAATCTGAAATCATTATCGAGTTTAATTATTTGCATGAATCGAAGTTTCTTAATTGTATATTTGAGACTGATAATTAAAATCAACATTCTTCATTGTTTCACAGTTAAGCAGGTGTGTCTCTTGTAATTCTATACTAATTAGAGAGTAAATATAGATTAAAAATACTCTCCAATTGATACGTTACTCTCGACACGCGCATTTGAGTTATTGCGTAATTGAAAGCAGGATAATGTTTGTGTTATATGCCGATTATTTTCATATTGTAAAGGAGATGTTAATTGTTCAGAAAGTTGACAAACTGTTATTACCTGTTTAGGTAATTGTTTCTTGATGTGGTCGGCGTTTCTGTACTTCTTTCCATCGACATTAGAGTAAACGCTAATTACGGGATCGGAGATCTTGAGTTTCATCAAGGCTCTTTTGAAAGGTTGAACTGCTGGTAGCATCAAGTCAGTGTGGAAAGCCCCGCACACCGGAAGCCGCCGGACTTTCTTCAATTTGAATTCAGATGAGTTTTTCTCCAGGAATTCGATTGCCTGTATACACACATACAATGGGGAGAGAGGATTAGCGATTAGCATGGCAATAAATGTGCGTTTCGTTTGCAGACCTCGACGTTTCCTGCTACGACCTTACAATGCGGGAACAGGTAGTTGGCTATGCGACACTCGGCCACCTCAGCCCCTTTATCCAATGCCCACTCTTTGGCTTTAAGACAGGCGAAATTAAGTTTGCTGTCGGGTCCGTAGAAGACCGTGGCCATGGCTCCTTTCGTGCTGTCGCTTGCCATTTGCATCGCCTCTCCGCGTAGCTGGACCAGCTTCAGGGCTACGGACAAAAAAAGGTCAAAAGTGTTATTGCGTCGGCTGTATAAAGAAGGTACTGCTGATTTCTAAACGTTCTCAATATACCCTGTTCAAATTCTAAAGCACCGGAGAAGACCAGGGCCGTGATTTCGCCCAGACTGAAACCGGCAGTCGCTACACAATTCTCGATAGCGTTCGGTCGTTCCTCCTTGAGCCGTTCCAGCGCCGCCAAAGAGGTGACAATCACAGCCGGCTGACAGTATTTGGTCTGATCCAGCTGATCTTTGGGACCCTCCAGACACATCTTCAGCAGATCATACTTGAGGATATAGTTGGCGAGTTCAAAGAGATCTTTGGCCATTGGAAACTTCATCAGATCTTTAGCCATACCGACGAATTGACTGCCTTGACCAGGGAACAGAATTACGCTCGAATCCCTGGGGTCCATCTTCTCCCTGTGAAAGACCTCCCCTTGTCTCCGTATTTTAGTGCCATCGAGGTACGGTAGTGTTGCCCATTGTTGTTCCGGTGTTTGCGCCTTCGCATCTTCGAACGAGGCGGAATCGTCCAACAGCTTCTTCAGCGGAGATTCGTCCTTGCACAGGCATCGCACCGTAGTGGACGAGACGAAATTAAAATTATTTTTAGGCAGTAGCAGTCGCCCCAGCGCCTTCGCCGAGAGCATATTTACATATTCAAATTTCGCGCTCTTTTTACAAGATCGCAGGCGGCGAAATTCAACGACACAGTAAGTTTTTCCTTTTATTAACAATTCACCCCCTTTAACCGTTCTCAATTTAAAACCGCTGCTGAGATTCGCCGAGTTCAGAGCCTTCTCCAACGAGGACCAACTGAAACCCTGGTGCAAAACTGCCTTGGAACTAATTAAAATCACACTTTCAACAGACCTCACCGAGGTTATGTTTGTTTAACTGTCATTATCACATGTCAGGGTAGCGGAATTTCGTTTAATACAGCGTGAAAGAGTGCCAGGGTTTCGTTTTCCTTTGCTTTTCGATGGCCTCAGTATAGATCATAGCCTGAATTTCCGGATATTCTAGGATTTCAATGTTATTAATAAACCCACCGCTTTTCCAGACAGTGGTCGCGCCGCCACTCGGCAGATGTCGCAGCTCGTCGCGGTTTATTTGAAAGATGAGCGACAATGAAAATGATCTCTTCAACTTTGAATCCGATCACTTGGCTTTAAGAGGAAACAGGGACTACAGCGAAACTCTGAAAACCATGTTCGTTCTGGAGGCGCAGAGGCAACAGGCCATCAAGGTATACATAAATAATGGATGTTTGAAATCTGTAAACTTATCAAATTTAATCTTAGGACTATAATCGAGTGATCAAGTTAAAGAATGAATGTCTGGAAGACCCTCTGCTGTGCGTGCAGAAACTCAGGGAAGGAGACCTGGGTGTACCGAACATGCAGATACTGGCAGAAATACCCAAGATCAATTGGTCAAAATTTAACATTAAGGTGCCGCAACAGTATCTAAAACAAATCACAAATGACTTCATGAACAAAGATGTTAGGATGGAGGAGAAAGATAATAAAATAAGAAGCAGTTCTTGGACCACAGAAGAACAAAGAAAGCTGGATGAGCTTCTAATCAAATATCCTCCTGAAGAGATGGAGTCCAAGAGAATACGTAAAATAGCAAATGAATTAGGGACTAGAACACAGAAACAAGTATCCAGCAGATTGCAGAAGTATTATTTGAAGTTGGTGAAGGCTGGACTTCCTGTTCCTGGCAGATTGCCAAAGTCCAGAAGCCATGACAAGAAATCTTCATTTAAGTCAAAAGTAAGAAAAAAAAAATGATTATTAATAATTTGAATAGCAACTATTTATTTTTATTTATTTTGCAGAGATTCGGGAAACATGCGTATATGAAGCCATCGACATTCTTTCCAGACTTAGACATTCCTGTAGTAATGAACGAATGCGAAGATGCACCAGGTCCTAGTCAAGCGTCGAAACTGCCCGATCCGAACACATCCAACTACTTACTCTCCAACAACTATCACGAAGACAAATCGGAACCGGTCAAATCGGACGTCGACATTCAACTGGATTTGCTCAAGAAAATCAGATTGGAGAAAATGTACGAGGAGTCTGATGGATACCAAAAGTTCCAGCATTACGGATACAAAGTAAATAAGCATATTAATAGATCCTATTATTTTATGCCGTCATCATTGTAGTAACGAAAGTAATGTATGTATTTTATTGTATTTGCAGTGCGATTATTGCGAAGAAGATCCTATCGAAGGTAGCCGATGGCACTGCACGAATTGCTCTTCCGATTCGGTGGACTATTGCACGGATTGCATGATGTCGCAGCTGTATTCGGAAACGCCTCATTCGCTTAGCCACAAGTTCATCATAGTTCGTAGCGACAAAGAGATCGTGAATTCGAGCAGCTCTGATGTGGATTCGCAGAGCGGCGAGAGTTCGGCGAAGAACGACGAATGCAGTAACTTCAGTACCAGCGAGTCTTCTGAGAGCGAAGACGAGTCTCCTCCTCCACCACCTCAGGTAGCTGAGACCGTTGTATCTCCGCCGAAGCAGCATCAGTTCACGGAAAGCAGTGATTTTAGTTTAAAGATTAGTGAGAGCTGCCCAGTAAATATATTTGAAACCGGTGATGATACGAGCATGAACAACGGCAACGGCATCAAACTGACTGACTCGCAAAGGGTATCTTATAACTACTTGCATTCTAGCCTGCTGCTGGACAGTTGACAGAAGTTTGTACGCAAACTTAGATTGTTAGTAGTTGTATTATCATGATTAATATTATTATTATTGTTCGCAAGTCCATCCATCCACATATATTTTTTCATTTTCTTTAGTTCGCAGTATACGTAGTGCATAAATAGGTATAAATTCATCTTTTATTTATATTACAAACATTTATACAAAAAAAAATCAACAATATTGTTTTACTCCGAATGCGAAGTTCCTGGTGGTACGACCTCGAACAGGACTTGTACATAATAAGTAATTTTGTCTGGAAAAGAACGAAAGATGAGTTTTTTTTTTAAATAATGTTTTCTATTTGTAATATTTACCCATGATTGCCGGCCTGTTCTTCTTGTAAATGAACCAGTAGTAGACTAAAACGCCTAACAGAATGAAGGCTACCGCAAATAGGTATTTCGGGGAGGGATCCGTGACGATCGGGACGACGGACAGGAAGATTGCCACGAGGATGATGAAGATTGCTATCCACGTGGGAACTCTGTACGGTCTCGGCGTGTGCTTTTTCGTTTTCCTGAGGGTCAGCAGGGAGCACATGGCGACGCCGTAGAAGATCCAGATGAGGAAGCTGGCCAATTCGATGAGTTGTTCGATGTCGCCGACAAGGATGAAGCCCAACGAGATGAGACCTTGCATCGCCACGGACGGACTTGGGGTCAGCCTTCGCACGTGGACGTACGACAGGTTTTCGAGCATGTGTCCATCCTGACTGGCCACGTAACACAGACTGAAACAGAGCAATCAACATCATCCATTCCAAATTTAATTTCTAAAGACACCTACCGTGTCACACTGAATTGGATGCTGAGAGCGCAACCGAACGTACTCAAGGCTACACCAATTGGAATCACGAAGGAGAAGACGCCCAAAACGCGCTCTCCGAAGACGACGGCGACGGCTTGCGCTTTCACCATCTCATCTATATCCAATACAGTCATGTACGAGATGTTCATGAAAACGTAAAGGATCGTAACGATCGGCACGCTGATGATGATACTCCTCAGAATATTACTGCAAAAAACAAATATATATATAATTGATTGTTTTTTTATATTGAAGATTTGCGAAAACTTACACTTCGGGCTTTTTGATTTCCTCTGTAACCGTTGTAACTGTGTTCCTAAAAAAAAACGAAGCGTAGATTCGGATGAATCAAATATACTGTGTTTTCTATTATCGAATTTGCGTTTTTTTGATATTTACCATCCGTCGTAAGCCCAGAGGCCGCTGTAGAAGGCAAGCGCGATGCTTTTCATGTCGAACTTGGTGCCTTCGAAACCTTTGCTCAAATATTTTGTGTTTCCCATGTAGACGAGCTCGTAGAGACCGCCGAAGATGACGATCAGACAGGCGACGACTTTGAATGAGCCGAAGATGTTTTGTATCTTGACGAACAGTTTGACGCTGCTCATGTTGATATAAGTGATGATCCCTGCAAAGTCACACATTAGAATATGTTTAATATAAAAATAATTAAATTTGTTGTAGATCTATACCTAATGCGAGGATTGCGACGTACGTCTTGATCTGACTGGAATCCACGTCGACTTGCAGCAAATCCAAAATGGGTTGGCAGAGGTATTCGGCGAATGTTAGCGTGATCACCGCCACTTCTGCTGGTCTGAGGACTAAGACGTAAACCCACGAGGCGATGAAAGCTGGTAATTTACCCCAGAACTTGTGCGTGGGTCCGAACGAGTCCATGAAATAAGCGTACTCCGCTCCGGATCTGGGCACGACCGTTCCCAATTCCGCGAAAGTCAAGGCACCTTTACACGGTCACAAATTTCAATTAGTTTAGTTTTAATAATTTACAACAAAAGTTCTAAGTTTTTACCTAAAAGCGAGATCAATCCGCAAACCGTCCACACCACTATGCACATTCCCACCGATCCGGAATGCTTGAGGGCCGTCGCTGGGGATATGAAGATACCCGAGCCGATCATCACGGCCAGGATCATGTTTATCGCCGAGAAGAGCCCCAGCTCTCTCTTCAGCCCCACGCCGCCACCGCTCTCCAGCGACTGCTTTGATTTCGACACTGAAAAAGAAAACATGATCATATTATGTATTCATCTATCTTGATAGGATTTTCATGCTAATTCCATATTTACTTGCTCAAATATACAAATCACAACCCATGATCCAATGAGACTAGTATCATTAAAGTCCCACGTTTCTTTTGTAGAAACTTTATCATAAACCACAATTACATGAAAATAGAGTCGCGAAGATATAGGAAAAACCGCAGCTATTGTTTACTCGGTCCCAATCATTGCAATTTTCTACGTCCGATGTGATTTTCATCTAAGAATATTTCCAATCGCTGTATCGATTTTCATTTAAAACCAATTTCGCTCGAGACCTCAATTATCAATCAATTCGAGTACTTTTTTTTTTGTTGATTTTTTGAAGACGACCTTCAATTCGTTCTTGATGCTTAACATACAAAAAAAACCTATTTTTAGATTATCAACACCGTTACAATTGATAATTTTTAGTTGTTTCGAGTGCGCTCATCGTAATTTCGGCACCTTAAAACTCGTGACATAATACAGTCTAGGTGTGTGTGTGTTTATGACATGAATGAGCCCGGAATTGATCGAACTTTGTATGAAACGATACGTAGTGTATCCATGCAGTAAACAGATTTGCGCGAATCGGAAGCGAAAAATTGTTATCAGCTTTATCGTTTTTTTTTGCCATTGGTAAATTGTTACGAAATCCGTGTTCGAAAGCGCCGTTGAAATGGTAATTGTACAATAATTATGCGGAATGTTAAGGTCTCTTCGACAACGGTTTGATCAATCAAATCGTCGATGATGAATGTCTTTGGATGAACAAAAATATGTGATTACGTCGACCCGTTATCCGAGATCGCTTATTTACCTACTGATAAATAATTATTACATCAATGCCCTCTCGGACGTACGCACATAAAAATAATAATAACATAACATAACGTGCAATAAACAAACACATCGGTTACGAAAGACCCTTAAACGTTCGTTCGTGTGTTTCGTAATGCACGAGTCTATATAAATAATAATAAAAAAACCTTGGCCTTATCAATTCTGCGATTAATAGTAAAGCGCGCTTCGATTCCAGATAGCATAAGGTTTATTCGACTTTCAAATGTTTCCATCTGAACTTGATTCTAACTACAAATAACATAATTGTTCAAATCTCATCTTAATCAAATAACTGAAAAAACAAACAAACAAACAACATTTAAATCGCAACAAACTTGATGATTGCGTAAGCTTCTCGAGTAGTTTAGAATTAAGTTAATAGTTCTTATCGTATCAGTAGTTTTAATAGGCATTTAATTTGAATGTAATTTGTTTGAAGTTTGATTTATTGCTAAATGTATGCGGCAATAATAATAATATCCAATGTAGAGCATCCTGCAATGAGTCAAGCCTGCATTATCGTAATTCGTATTGTATCCAGCATTAAGTTTGAGTCACGAGATGAATTTATTGTATTTGCTTCAACATTCGAAAAGTCGTAATCGTAAATGCACATGTAACGCACGAAATTTGAAGCGTGTGCTTTGGTTTTAGTTTATTTCTATATGGCTGCCAAGTCAAACAAGGAACAAAAAAAAATACGTTATTAAGTAACTTATCAGCACTTATGTTTTATTGATACATCAGTGTTACGTACGTACGTACACCTTCGCGTTTCCCAATTACAAAGTATATTCTTATCTATTCCAGTAAGTTCAATTGAACCCGAGATTTCTATAGCAACAGTTACAATTTTACTATATATAATTTTCGTTTTGTTCGAACAAGGAAATCGTTGAGAAATGTTTCTGGATTTTGCGAAACACAGAAGAATCCTTGAAAACGAGATTGAAAATCGTTTATTAGAAAAAGTTGTGCAATCATCGTTTATTTCTTTGTTCTACAAAGAATTTGTAAAACTATAATTGTTTCCTTTTTTGGTATTATAGTTATTTATGCAGCACGTGTCGCGCGATAATAACGAGATTATTCATAATTATTTCTATATTTCACTAGTGTGCATGTAATTACACTATTTTGTTGTTGGAATTCGGAAATATTCATTTTCAATGTGAATTTTAAGCAAGTTAGTGATGAAGTTTAAATGGAAAGTTTTCGCAGAGGTTTTCGTAAACATCATTAATATTGCTTACACATATTAAGATAATGGTTTTGTAATTGATTTCGGTTTAAAAACAAGCACAATTTTTCGGTTCGAGTGATTTTTCGCGAAACGCGAGTAACAAGATTATATAAGTAAACGGTTTAGAATAAGCTCACCTAATTATTTGTTAAGGCTTCCCCCCTATGCACACTGACATTATGTTTGCATTTCTATCGCAGATTACGAATTCTCAGATTCAACAATTATTTACATAACTTTTCGTTTCAAAGGACTTACAAGGAATATTTAAAGATTGAAAACTTCTAAGAAGATGAAGACATGAGGAAAACACTGTTGATTCTATTGATCTAGTAATTTCATAAATCAAAAATTGAAAATTTGCTTAATGAAAAATAAGAAAACTTGTATTGTAAATTGAAATTATTGTTGATTCTATTGATCTAGCAATTCGTGATTGCGAAAATTGTGTTCTTCACATGTTTCAAAGTTTCTTCCTTGCTAATTTCAGTCGAGTTAATCTAATTGAAACTAAATGAAAGATATTTCACAATTACTGTCGCAGTATAGGATTTGATTAATTTTCAGTTTCAATTAAAATTAATGTTCCGTTGATTCGAAGCGAATTATTATAGCGAAACAATGGGTTTTCTTTTTGGACAAAAAACTGTTTTTGAGCGTAAAAAAAGTATTGTTACCAAGTTATGTAAGTGTTGAAATTGCGTGCAGCATTTTATGGCGAGCAAACGTAATTTAATATTTTATGGTTCCACCGTAAATCGGCTTTGTCAGAGGTCGCGCAATTTTTTTATTTTCGGATGGTCTGAAGGACGATAATGAATGATAACAGCAGCAGCAGCAGCATGAAGAAATGATCTTCCTTAATTAGATTGTGATGTTCAGATGCGGCCCAATTGAGAATGTAAATGGAGTGCAATTATATTGGTATTTCCTCGCTCTTCGGTCAACTAACCCGAACAACATTGTTGATGCTTTTGTAATCTTATCGAGCGCTCGTATTTTTCTCTACTTGTATGTGTGTAAAGAGTCGCTGTTTTCAATGCGTTTCGCACGGAAAAGTCTGTTCCTAGATAACGCGTGCTAGCGTCAAGGGAAATTGAGTAAGTTTTGAAAGTTTTTGGCGGGCGGGCGCGCGCGGACGAAGATGTGCGTGGCACGCGTGAATTGATTGTGCGAAGGTGCGGAAAAAAGGGCACGTGCTGCTCCTTTTTGTGACACGTCCAGTTGAGAATATTTAAAATAAATAAGTTTCCGAAAGTGGAAACGCAAACTTACCTTCGGTCATATTTTTTTTTGTATTCTCTCTCTTTTTCGTTTCCTTCCTTTATTCGACTTCCCGCTCGGATGGAATCTTGCTGTTGGATCGTCTCTTTAGATCTTCAGCCGAATTGAAGAATGTTATTCTACTTGTTCTTTAACAAAAAATAATACTAATGTGGAAGCGGCGATTAGAAGTTGCATTCAGAACTACTACGAAGTCTGTTTCATGTTGTGAACAGGAGTGAGTGAGGCTCCCACTTGCGACCACTAACTAAATGCCACTAACGATTTAGAAATGTGTCTCGGCGAGAAGAGATACCAGCCAGAGATTAATTGCATGATAATTGATAAGAGTTCAAGCGATGATGTGATCCTGGCAATCGCGTTTCGCCGCACTTCGTTTCACTTCTTCCTCGATGGCTCTTCGTGCACCGTGGAGGAGTTTTCTTTTGCACCAATCACGGTCCGCTCTGATAACAGCACCGCTCTGCAGCGCCGAAACAACAACATCAACAACAGCAACAACAACAACATCTGCTACGTTTCGCATACGCCTATTTATCCCTAGTCGATGAATGCACAAATTTCGTTCACTCTCCCACCTCGGGTTTTTTTTTAACTTTGTTGCGTTTCGCACCGCATTTTGATTATTCTCTGTAAACGCACTCGGGTGAAATTGTATTTTTATTTATAGTCGCGCCGCGTTCATCCTTTGTCTCACACTATCCTATATTCTGCACTCGCCGCGCTCTATCTTTGTCTCCGCGGAAATGGAACAATGGAAATGCATTTATTCCATATATTCAACTCAACTTTGTATAAATCAAAACCATTTCCAAATCCTCTTTTTTCAAAGCATCAAAGCAAATCTGTTTCACTTTCAATCATCGTTTCTATTACATATTAACTATACAATAGTTGACTTAAGTTTTTCTTTCATTTTCTACATGTTTTTATGTGTGAATGCGCGGAATTCGAATCGCTACTGACGTTCCATCGGTCGCGGTTTTTGTTTATAATTTTTTTTTCATGAATCAAGCGTTTATTTTTTTTTTTCGCAATCGCGCGCGCTCTGTCTTTGTATTACTTCGCATTTAATTGCGAAAGTTCGCGTTTAGTTGGTTTACGTTCGATGAGAATCTTGACGAGGAAACGGATACACATGTGCTTTTTCTTTCTGTTTGGATTGTCATAATAATTAGATCAAACTTTACTAACACATTATCGTCATAGTTTTAATTCATTTCTCAAGATATATCAATGATAATGGTATGATGAAAACATCAAACACTTTGTGCAAAGTTGAAAGATTAAAATTTTACAAAAAAAAAAGTTGCGTATTCACATTTTAACCGATTATTTGTAAGATAATAATGGCAAATTAGTTATTGAATAAGTAGATTAAAGCTAAAACTATATAGAATAAAATGAGTATATGGAAATAATTGTAGCATTACCAATTTTCGTGTAAATCACTTATAAAGTTGACGTTTTCAAAAATAAAATATTTGCAGATTTAAATCAATTACTTGAAAAATGATGATCACAGATTAATTGTAAAATATGTAAATTAAAGCTATAACTATGAAGAATATAAAGTTTATATGGAAATAATTCTAGCACTAACAGTTTTCGTGTAAATTTCCAACAAATTAGAAACATTCACATTTGATGATTTGGAACAATAGTGTCTTCACATTTTGTTCGATTACTTGAAAAATAATGATTACAGATTAATTGTAAAATATGTATATTAAATCTAATAATATGAAGAGTAAAAAAGTGTATATGTATATAATTGTGGTATTAATATGTTTAGAGTAAATCTCTTGCAAACTTATAAAATTAAAATTTGACCTATCTTCACATTTTTTATTCATTACTAGAAAAATAATGATTATAGATTAATTGTAAAATATGTATATTGAAGCTAAAACTATTAAGAGTAAAAAGTGTATATGATATAATGGCAACACTAATATTTTTAGAGTAAATCTCTTGCAAAGTTATAAAATAAAAATTTGACGTTTCTTCACATTTTTATCCATTACTTGAAAAATAATGATTATAGATTAATAGTAAAATATGTATATTGAAGCTAAAACTATGAAGAGTAAAAAAGTGTATATGTATACAATTGTGGCACTAATATGTTTTGAGTAAATCTCTTGCAAAGTTTTAAAATTAAAATTTGACCTATCTTCACATTTTTATCCATTACTTGAAAAATAATGATTATAGATTAATTGTAAAATATGTATATTAGAGCTAAATCTATTGAAGATAGAAGGCTTAAATAGAATTAAATATGTACAAATGGTATTCTTGTAAATCAATGTTAAAGTTGAAACTTTTGACTTTTACAATTGTTTGCTATATTTTCAACGCGCATTTGGTTAAAGTAAACTGCAATTTCTTGATAAGTACCACAAACAAGATTTAATCTCAGATTCAATATTTAGTTCATCTACGCTCTAGGAAGTCTAGTAGTAATGTTTACTATGATATCGGACGGTTTTCTACGAAATGCAATTACAGTTTTCATCCACATTTAAACGCAAATGACTTCATTGAATATCTGCAACATCCGTATTTTCATTCATTAACTAAATGACTTGTTTACTCTACGACCTTTTTTTTTCTAATCACCAAATGCAAACGAAAACAAATTAACAAATATTTATCGATAACTAAAATATGTTGACTCGATATTTACGGAGAAATTGGCCAAAATAAATGTCTTACAAATTGATATTAATTGCGAAGGCTTACAATTTATACTGCGACGTTTATTTGAAGTCAAGATAAACTGTCTCAAGGTGCGAATTAATCAAATAACATTAAGGTATTTTGTATATTCCGAATGCATTCTCATTCTCATTCGGATGAAAAACATAAATAATTTTAATGATTTACTAATTCGTAAACAATGTTCACAAAGAATGAGGTGGAGGTGATTATTCGCTTTGCGCTGTCTAAAAATAAGCCTTTGATTCTTCATAAAGGAAAACGCTTAGTTAAGGCGAAAAATGTCGGTCATTATCCTACTGTGTACACTGTATAATAAATATTACTGTCTCTATTTCGCATATGGTAAAAAATATGTTTTCTTTTTTTATTTTTGGTTCACTGACAAAGTTAAACAAATCTTCCAGTCATAACACTTGATTTTTTTTTGTTGAACATTTTTTTATAAATAGGATAGAAAACTTAAAAGCCAAAAAATATGTTTTCCGTTAAAAAATACATGTAAATACATGGAACAACTAATAATAACATAAATAAATTTGAAACGTTTTATTTTGTATATTTATAAATAGAGTGAATCGAGTTATTTCGTGCTACAATTGTACGAGAATACGCAGCTTTTTTTTTGTTGCGATTATTTAAATGAATGAATTTGGTTGCGTAACGAGTCGCTCTTTATTTATGGTTTATTTTCTTGTAATCGGGCGTTGGTTGGAGCGCATTAAATTTAATAATAAAAATCTTGGGCTAATAACGCAGAGAGACAGAGAGGTAAATGGCAAATAATAAACAGGATGGTTCAATTAAGGGATTACGTGAGATGTTGTGCACTTCGGGGAATTGTTAATGGGGCTTTAACTAGTAGATAATGGAAATACCAAGAGAGCGCGTATTTTCACAAGACTTGTGTGTGTGTATCCTTCCTTACGTTAGGTTACGTTCCGTCCCGTTCGCAATTTGTTGCTCGGGCTCTAATTTAATTACCGCGTCCTCCCTCCCAAAAGACTTCGCGCTTTGTCACCGAAGCACACGCATATTTTCGTCCTTCCTCACGGCAATATTTATATTTTCTTGTGAGGGAAATGAGAAGGCAACTTTCTTGCTGCTTTATGTTGACCGGTCCTCGCATCATGACTTTGCGAGGCCCTAGGAGCAAATTGACGAAGGTGACAGTAGGCTCTTTGGAAAGGTGAGACATTCACCTTTCAATTGAGTGGTCGATCATGTAATTATCTTAAGGGGTTGTCGAGAAATTCACGAAATACTGAAAAAAAAATCGCAAAAATTGTCTATTCCCTGTTAAGTAACGAACATTAAGTAAATTTTGTTTCATAAAAAGTTGCGTAAATGTGGCACCCATCTTACGCAATCATGAAATGCAACAAAAGTTACGTAATTAAGGACAAACGTGAATACTCATCGGATTTCAACGAAACAACGATTTTTAAGAAAATCCTATTGGCTTTTTTTTCCAATTTCTACAGGTCGTTTCAGGTGATTTGACGACAGCACGAAGATGCCAATAGTTTCGTTGGAAAGGTGAGGTATTCGGCTTTAAAGTGTTTGGTCGATGATATAATTATCTCGCCAAATTGGATTGAGAATGAAATTAAAATGCTTAATTTTTGATAACTTATAGTAGATGCACTGATCAAACCACAATGCCGGCAGTTAGCTCATTGGAAAGGTTGTAGTTTTCTCTTTAATTGCGTATTTGATGGTTTAATGAGTGTTAATCGATTAATTTGAAAAATGTAAAGTTATTGCAGCAAATAGTTGAATAAATGGTTATATTCATATATATTTGAAACTTTTAATTTACTCTTTTAAAAAATATTTCTTTCGCTTTCGTTTGCTTCAAAACATATTAGTTTTTGCCAATCAATAAGAAAGTTATTAAACTTTAACGAGTTAGCAGTTTTCGCGATTCAAAAACATTTGTCGGAGTTATGAAGAAACAGTCTGCAACCACACATACGTATGCCTGCTGCAGACTATTTCCTAGAAATTCCGGCAGATGTTGCTGATTCTCTTAATTAAAATGCTTATAACTCGTAATCTAATTAGTATTTTAATTATTAGACTAAAGTAATAAGATTACAATTGTTCAAGCACTATTTTGATATGTTTGTTTATTTAAAATAGAACGTTTTAAGGGAAGTGGATTTTGTGCAGCGCCAAAATGCCTGAACTATAACCTTTGAAATATTGCTAACAGATGTCGCCAGTTGTCACAAAAATTTGGAAATTTATTTTTCGCCTAAAATGCAGGCAGCCAAACATACATATACAATTTAATGAACAAATAGAAAAACGTCTTAGATAATGACCTGTATTTTTGTAAACATAAGCTCTCATAAGAATGTTATACATGGATATTGATCTTGAATATACACTGTTGAAATTGAGAGTTTATATTAATTTGTAACTGCAATGGTGTCTTCATAATTGATTAACAAACTTTGCTATTTCAAAAATGAGTTGGCAAATTAACCAACTGGTGTAAATATTTTCAATTTTTGAAAAACAATTATTTATTGTATATTGGGTTGCCTGTATACAATTTTGATAACTGTTAGCAGCGCCAAAGTGCTTGAACTATCATATTTCTAATATTGTTTTTTTTTACTTTATTTCGTTAATTATCAAATTAATTAAATCATCAAATCCATAAGTTGATTGCATCAACAGAATGTTTATTACATAATTTAAATTTTATCCCAATATTTTCATAATTGTGTACATTTGGTTGCCTACAAGAATCATTGAAATTTTTAAGAAAGTATTTTTGTAATTATGGAATATAAGAGTAAATAAATTAGCAGTAATGATAAAATATATATATTTATTTATAATTTTAGTCATGCCCATAGAATAGTACCAAAATATAACATTAATATATCATTTAAGTACCTGCTTTTTTTCTATACTTACAAAGTTATAATAAAAATATGTAATACACAGCCCTATGTACATCTGACATAATCATCAAAGAACTTCTTATTTGGTGCTCATACGAAACTCTTAAAACTAAATAAATTATTTGAAAATAATAAATGTTAAAATGAAATGATTATAAAAATTAATGGTAATGGTAAGTTAGGTACAATATTAGCTCTGCTACTTCAGCATCTTGCTGATGTCCTCATTATCCTTCTGACTGTTCATCTTTGAATCTCTATAAAATAAGTGCAGACTGTAGAAATTTAGTTATTGCATTAGAAAGTTGAAATCTGCTCACTTGAGAAGTTTCCTTAAATTTTCATTTTCGTTTGCCTGCTGATGCAACTTGTCGTGCAGTGAATCAATAACACCGTCTTTCTCCATCAATTGCTGCTTTAATTGGTAGATTGTGTCTTCCAGCGCTTCAAAAATAGCCTGAAAAATTATGTTTTTTTTTAAATGTTGTAACTAAATCAACTGTAGTAGATAGAAACTCACTCTAGATTCTTCATTGGTTTCTGAGTAAATTGGGGGTTCATTTAGGCAAAAAAAATCTTGTATTTGTTGGCTGCTAGCTAATTCCGGCTCGGTGATAAGCGCATTCACCAAAGTCTGCAAGCTGCTCACTCTTTCCTCCAAGAAAGCTGGTTCAAAGTTGTTACCTATCAATCGTTTACGCGGTAAATGCTGTACGATGTTAGGGTAATCTTTGAAGCGATTGCAGAGCCGCACGAAATCCGTGTACCGCCTGAAGACGTACCAGCAATCTCCAGAAGCTTTATTTTCTATTCTCAATTTGTAGACCTTAATTTGAATAGTATGTAATTCAGGAAATTTGATTGTAAAATGATTACTCACTGTGAATCTGCCTCTCTTCTCCATCACTTCGTAGCCTACAATTGGGATCTCTATGTTGCTCAGGTTGAAGCTGCCGTTGCACAGGTTATAATTGTTTTCACCATCTGCTGCTAGTTGGGACGTCAGCGTTACAGTAGACATCTCGCTGGAGGTAGATGTAATAAAGTTCTCAAATCTGCATTTAAATTGGTTTCAATTGAGGCAATTGATGCATCATACTCTTACTAACCTTGATGTGTCCGACAGATATTCCTCTGAATCTGAAGTGACCGCCTCCTCACAATAATCCAAATCAGCAGTGGTGTTCAGGCCTGCATCCCTCACCCCCTTCAAGTCTACCTCAGTGAACCTCTCTGCCAATTCATTATCTGTGTTTGCCATAGTGAAAGACTAGAATCAACACTTGCATGTTCATTGTTGTGCTGTGATAAGCAAGTTAATGTTGTTGATAAATACCTTAATGACCCTCTCAGAACAACAACAACAACAACATTTCACTCTCCAGATGATTCACTTATTTTGAGTTGACTTAACCATAAATCACAACAGTACTTATCTAACTGAACGCTATGGTTGGTCCAAACTTAAGTTGCGCTTAAAGTTGAAAGTCGCGTGATGCTGTTTAGAACGTAACAAATACCTTTGAAGATCAAGGATGAAAGTGTTTTTTGTTTGCCTAAATTTGAGGCACTCAAGTTTGCGCGGCAGCGAAAACATTTGATTTGGCCGTTCGCAAATTGTACTAGATATTTACAGTTAATTGCGTTAGCGAAATCGAGTGCATGCATATTCCACACTCTGTTAATTCAATTACCGACTCTTAAATGACACACATTGTAATTCCTATTTAGAAATAATACTACAGTTACATTGTAGACTGTAATTGAATTTTAAATGTTCATCTACTCTATTTACTTTGTGATTCTTCACAACAACTGCTGCAGTTATTGAACTATAAATGCTACAAGTAATTATACTTACTCAAGAAACAAACATTCTGCTTGAAATTTCGTAATTAAATGGCAAATATCTAAAATTAGATATATAAACAACTTTTAGTGAAAATAAAAAACTGTTGATTAATTAATTCAATTTTCTAATATTTCTTTAACAAAAAAATATTTTTATATGATTAGTACATATTTCATTCATAATTATAATGAAAACACTTTAGTTATTTAATGAACAGTAGATTATAATTTAAAATATAACAATTTGCATATAATATTTAAATTTAAAATATTGGTTAGTTCCATTAATCAACATGACATTGTCTCGTTCCAAAATTTAAAAACAGTTATAATTAGCTTAATTATTGTTTATAGAATTAACGAAAGCCGTCATTCGATAGATTAATGAAAGTAAAATATATAAATCATAAGAAAGTATTTAAATGCGTGTGAAATCTAACAGAAATATCTAATATAGTTTTCTTCATAAACGGAAAATAATATTTGGTATATGACAAGTGATAATTTGAAATGTATAGTCATTAAAACCGTTTGTATTTTCATTAGCAGTTGCTCCCAGAAGAAATTTAAAATTGAACATTGATCTTGAAAATCCAAAGATTAAAAAGAGCATAAATACTTGTCTGCAGCTAATATAGTTTTCTTCATAAATAGAAAATAATATTTGGTATATGACAAGTGATAGTTCAGAAAGTAACGTTTTTGAAAATCGTTTATATTTTTATTAGCTCTTGCTCCCAGAAGAAATTGAAACATGGAAATTGATCTTGAAAACCTAGTGATTAAAATGTGAATGAATGCTTGTATGTAGCTTATGTAGTTTTCTTCATAAACAGAAAATACAATTTGGTATATGACAAGTGACAGTTCAGAAAGTAATGTTTTTGAAAAACGTTTATATTTTTATTAGCACTTGCTCCCAGAAGAAATTGAAAGATGGAATTTGATCTTGAAAACCCAGAGATTAAAATGAGCATAAATACTTGTGTGTAGCTAATATAGTTTTCTTCAAAAACAGAAAATAATATTTGGTATATGACAAGTGACAGTTCAGAAAGTAACGTTTTCGAAAAACGTTTATATTTTTATTAGCACTTGCTCCCAGAAGAAATTGAAATTTGGACATTGATCTTGAAAACCCAGAGATTAAAATGAGCATAAATACTTGTGTGTAACTAATACAGTTTTCTTCAAAAACAGAAAATAATATTTGGTATATGACAAGTGACACTTCAGAAAATAACGTTTTCGAAAAACGTATATATTTTTATTAGCACTTGCTCCCAGAAGAAACTGAAAATTGTAAATTGATCTTGAAAACTCCGAGATTAAAATGAGCATAAATACGTTTATGTAGCTAATATAGTTATCTTTATAATCAGAATAAAATATTTGGTATTTTGAATTTTGCGCCTAATGTATAGACAACTCAACATACAATTTTCTATATACTACAATTTTCTCCCATAAGAAATTGAAACATGGAAATTGATCTTGAAACCCCAGTGATTAAAATGAGAATAAATGCTTGTATGTAGTTTATGTAGTTTTCTTTATAAACAGAAAATAATATTTGTTATATGACAAGTGACAGTTCAGAAAATAACGTTTTTGAAAAACGTTTATATTGTTATTAACAGTTGTTCCCAGAAAAAAAATAAAATTGAACATTGATCTTGAAAATCCAGAGATTAAAATGAGCATAAATACTTGTGTGTAGCTAATACAGTTTTCTTCAAAAATAGAAAATAATATTTGGTATATGACAAGTGACACTTCAGAAAGTAACGTTTTCAAAAAACGTTTATATTTTTATTAGCACTTGCTCCCAGAAGAAATTGAAACTTGGAAATTGATCTTAAAAACCCAGAGATTAAAATGAGCATAAATACGTCTATGTAACTAATATAGTTATCTTTATAATCAGAATAAAATATTTGGTATTTTGAATTTTGCGCCTAATGTATAGACAACTCAACATACAATTTTCTATATACTACAATTTTCTCCCAAAAGAAATTGAAACATGGAAATTGATCTTGAAAACCCAGTGATTAAAATGAGAATAAATGCTTGTATGTAGTTTATGTAGTTTTCTTTATAAACAGAAAATAATATTTGGTATATGACAAGTGACAGTTCAGAAAGT